AATTGGGGCCATTGGGGCCGGGTGGTGTCACGCGCTCGGGCCTGCGGTCTCCCATGGTCTCCGATCATGAGCACAGTTGGCGCCACTTGGGGCCGGGTGGGCGTCACGCGCTTCGGGGCCTGTGGTCTCCCACGGTCTCCGATCATGAGCGCAATTGGGGCCAATTGGGGCCGGGTGGGTGTCACGCGCTTCGCGCCTGTGGTCTCCCATGGTCTCCGCTCCGATCATGAGCACAATTGGGGCCAACATGAGCCGGGCGGGTGTCACGCGCTCGGGCCTTTGGTCTCCCATGGTCTCCGATCATGATCACAATTGGCGGGCCTGCGGTCTCCGATCATGAGCACAATTGGCGGGCCTGTGGTTTTTCCCCCAAAATGGAACTGTTTGGGGCGCTCTCATCAGAAAAAAAGGGCCACGCGGTTGGCTAGACGGGTGGCACGCGCTTGGGTCCGTGGTCTCCCATGATCTCCTCATGAGCGCAATGGGGCGGGGTGGGTGTCACGCGGTCCATGGTTTCCAAGTGTCACGCGCTTGGGTCCAAGGTCTCCCCTGGTCTCCGCTCATGAGCGCAATGGTCCGGGTCTGTCCGTGATCTCCACGGTCTCCGATCATGAGCGACAGGGGTTGGGAGGGTGTCACGCGGGTCTGGTCTGCGTCTCGCATGGTCTCCGATCATAAGCGACAGGGGTTGGTCTCCCATGGTCTCCCGATCATGAGCGCACTGGGGCTGGGCGGGTGTCACGCGGTTCGGGTCTGTGTTCCCACGGTCTCCGATCATGAGCGAAGGGTTGGTAGGGTGTCACGGTTGGGTCCGTGGTCTTCCATGGTCTGCGGTCATGAGCGCAGTGGGGCTGGGCGGGTGTCGGGCGATTCGGGTCCGTGGTCTCACATGGTCTCAGTCGTCAGCGACAGGGGTTGGGAGGGTCTGGCGCGGTTGGGTCCGTGGTCTCCCATGGTCTGCCGTGGTCTCCCGTCATGAGCACAATGGGGCTGGGCGGGTGTCACGCGGTTCGGGTCCGTGCTCTCCATCGTCTCTAGGGTGTCACACGCTTGGGTCCATGGACTCCCATGATCTCCCAGCGCGAGCGCAATCTCGGCGGGTGTCACGCGGTCCGGGTTCGTGGTCTCCCATGGTCCGATCATGGGGCTGGCGGGTGTCACGCGGCCCGGCTCCGTGATCTCCATGGTCTCCGATCATGAGCGACAGGGGTTGGGAGGGTGTCGTGCGCTTGGGTCCGTGGATTTCCGTGGCTCCGATCGTGGGCGCAATGGGGCTGGGCGGGCGTCGCGGGATCCGGCTCCGTGGTCTCCATGATCTCTGATCATGAGCGACAGGGGTTGAGAGGGTGTCACGCGCTTGGATTCGTGGTCTCGCACGGTCTCCTATCATGAGTGCAATGGGGCCGGACGAGTGTCATTCGGGTCCGTGGTGAGTGGCAGGGGTTGGAGGGTGTCACGCGCTTGATGGTCTCCCATGGATCATCTGGGAGGGTGTCACGCGCTTGGGTCCGTGGTCCCCACGGTCTCTGAGCACGCTGGGCGGGTGATGCGGGTGTTATGCGGTCTGGTCGTGGTCTGTCATGGTGTCCGATCATGAGGTTCCCAACATCTCCGATCATGAGCGCAATGGGGCCGGGCGGGCGTCGCGCGGTTCGGGTCCGTGGTGAGCTACAGGCTTTGGGAGGGTGTTCGCGCGTTTGGGTCCGCGGTCTCCCACGGTCTCCGATCATGAGCGCAATGGGGCAGGCGGGTGTCGGGCGGGTGTCACGCAGTTCGGGTCCGTGGTGAGCGACCTCGCCCGTGCTTAGATGCGTTCAGCTGATCTCGCCTTATCTGTGCACAAAGAGAGGCTCGGGCCTGCGGTTCCATGGTGTCGTCTCCCATGGTCTCCGATCGTCCGATCATGAGCGCAATTGGGGCCATTGGGGCCGGGTGGGTGTCACGCGCTCGGGCCTTTGGTCTCCCATGGTCTCCGATCATGAGCACAATTGGCGGGCCTGCGGTCTCCGATCATGGGGTGCTCTCCTCAGAAAAAAAGTGCCACGCGATTGGCTAGACGGGTGGCGCGCGCTTGGGTCCGTGGTCTCCCATGGTCTCCTCATGAGCGCAATGGGGCCGGGCGGGTGTCACGCGGTCCATGGTTTCCAGGGTGTCATGCACTTGGGTCCCTGGTCTCCCACGGTCTCCGATCATGAGCGCAATGGTCCGGGTCTGTCCGTGATCTCCACGGTCTCCGATCATGAGCGACAGGGTTGGGAGGGTGTCACGCGGGTCTGGTCTGCGTCTCGCATGGTCTCCGATCATAAGCGACAGGGGTTGGTCTCCCATGGTCTCCCGATCATGAGCGCGCTGGGGCTGGGCGGGTGTCACGTGGCACGGGTCTGTGTTCCCACGGTCTCCGCTCATGAGCGAAGGGTTGGTAGGGTGTCACGGTTGGGTCCGTGGTCTTCCATGGTCTGCGGTCATGAGCGCAGTGGGGCTGGGCGGGTGTCGGGCGATTCGGGTCCGTGGTCTCACATGGTCTCAGTCATCAGCGACAGGGGTTGGGAGGGTCTGGCGCGGTTGGGTCCGTGGTCTCCCATGGTCTCCCGTGGTCTCCCGTCATGAGCACAATGGGGCTGGGCGGGTGTCACGCGGTTCGGGTCCGTGCTCTCCATCGTCTCTAGGGTGTCACACGCTTGGGTCCATGGACTCCCATGATCTCCCAGCGCGAGCGCAATCTCGGCGGGTGTCACGCGGTCCGGGTTCGTGGTCTCCCATGGTCCGATCACGGGGCTGGCGGGTGTCACACGGCCCGGCTCCGTGATCTTCATGGTCTCCGATCAAGAGCGACAGGGGCTGGGAGGGTGTCGTGCGTTTGGGTCCGTGGATTTCCGTGGCTCCGATCGTGAGCGCAATGGGGCTGGGCGGGCGTCGCGGGATCCGGCTCCGTGGTCTCCATGATCTCTGATCATGAGCGACAGGGGTTGAGAGGGTGTCACGCGCTTGGACTCGTGGTCTCGCATGGTCTCCTATCATGAGTGCAATGGGGCCGGACGAGTGTCACGCGGTTCGGGTCCGTGGTGAGGGGCAGGGGTTGGAGGGTGTCACGCGCTTGATGGTCTCCCATGGATCATCTGGGAGGGTGTCACGCGCTTGGGTCCGTGGTCCCCATGGTCTCTGAGCACGCTGGGCGGGTGATGCGGGTGTTATGCGGTCCGGTCGTGGTCTGTCATGGTGTCCGATGATGAGCGACAGGGGTTGAGAGGGTGTCACGCGCTTGGGTTCGTGGTCTCCCAACATCTCCGATCATGTGCGCAATGAGCCCGGGCGGGTGTCGCGCGGTTCGGGTCCGTGGTGACCTAAAGGCCTTGGGAGGGTGTTCGCGCGTTTGGGTCCGCGATCTCCCACGGTCTCCGGTCATGAGCGCAATGGGGCAGGCGGGTGTCACGCGGTCCGGGTCCGTGGTCTCCCGTGATTTCCGATCATGAGCGACAGGGGTTGAGAGGGTGTCACGCGCTTGGATTCGTGGTCTCCCATGGTCTCCGGCCATGAGCGCAATGGGACCGGGCGGGTGTGCTTAAATGCGTTCAGCTTTTTGCCTTCTAAAAAGTGCACAAAGAGAGCACGGCGTTGCAAACGTGGCAAGCAAGACCAATTGCGTTTTTTTAGGCCTGGCAGAATGCATGTGGGCAGCGCTTGGACATCCATGTCTACTGGTATTTACGACCAACATTTCCCCGACATGCATCTGAGGGCATTCCACATGCATTTTTCGTCGCCCGAAAACGCATTTGGCACTGGTTTCCTATTATGTTGCAATCTTGGGTTCTGCCTGCTCATGACTTCTTCGAAATTCATGTCTTTCTGCGCGTAAGAACATCTATATATAGGATTTGAACGCGTTTAGAACCATAATCACCGTTTCGCAAACTTCCCGAAAAGGGGCCTAACATCAGAAGCAAATGCCCAGATGCATTTTGCAAAGCAGGCAAGATGCATTCGCGCAGCTTGCTCCTTCCAAAACCACAATAAAAAACTCGCTTGATAGCTGACTTTTGTGTCAAAGACAGAGGCCCCGTACGGAAGAAACCAAAGTCCGAATGTATTTTTTGCCTGTGCCCAAATGCATTCAGCTGTTTTCGCTTTGAAAAAGTGCAGAAAGAGCACGCGGCGTTGCACATGTGGAAAGCAAGACCAAATGCGTTTTTCAGGCTTGGCAAAATGCATTCGGCAGCATCTGGTCATCCATGTCTATTCGGTTATCTTTGCTCCATTACAGCATGAAAAACAAACGAAAACAACGAAAGCAAAACAAAAAAATGGGTTGGTGTTTTACGACCAACGTCTGCCCGGCATGCATTTGAAGGGCATTCCACATTCTTTTTTCGTCGCCCGAAGAACGCATTTGGCACTGGTTTCCTATCATGTTTAGTCTTGGTTTCTGCTGGCTCATGACGTATTCGATTCTTCTGATGTCTTTTCTGTGCATAAAAAGTAGCTGTAGGAATTGAAAAACGTGTTTAGAACAATGTTCGACATTTTGCAGGAGTACCGAAACAGACCCAGAATCAGCAAAGGAAGAACATGCTCAGGTGCATATTTCAAAGTGGGCAAAATGCATTCGCGCAGCTTGCTCCTTCCACAACCACAATAGAATTGAGTTAAGAGCCCTTCGTCGTAAAGACAAGCTGCATACAGAAGAGGCGAATGCGCAACTGCGTTTTTCGCGCGTGCCTAAATGCACTCAGCTGTTTTCGCCTTTGAAAAAGTACAGAAAGAGAGAGCATGGCGTTGCAAATGTAGAAAGCAAGACCAAACGCATTTTTCAGGCCTGGCAAAATGCATGTGGGCAGCACTTGGACATCCATGTCAATCCATCGTTTGGATTGGGAAAGGGTTGTTCCGACCCCTGGCAGCTCCAAAGAGAAGCCTGAAACCCACGCCTCCATACTGAGCCCAATTTTTCTGATTGTAAACTCGGCCTGCCGAATTCTACGCGTCGCGTTATTGTTTCATGCCGCTTTCCCTTGATCTACAATCTTACTGTTTGGGGTCTTCGCCGGCATAATTTAATAACGAATTAATAATCACATAATAATTTAATAATTCATAATTAATGAATAATTAATTAATCATTAACTAATAATTAATGAAGTAATTTATTAATAATTCATGAATTAATTAATAGTTAATAATTAATAATTAGTTAATGAATAATTAACTAATTATTTAAAGCCCAGAAGCCAAGAAGCCAAAACAAGACAGCAAACCAGCAAGGAAAGCCCAGAAGCCGAGAAGCCAAACACCAAAAACAAAAAACTACAACAACACCTAAAACAAAGACGATTTCACCAGGAAAAAACCCTTTCCTGAGACGAGACTCGTCGGAAGCGTGCGCCAGCAGCTGGAGGCCTCGTCTCCAGAGTTGCCTGGAGGCAGTGGCCATTCCTTGCGGCGTCCTCTTCAATGCACACCACCGCTTTAAGGCAAAGAGAATCAGTGCAGTGTCTGCTTCGGTCTTGCCAAATCTCCGTGTTCCGCAAGAGCTAAGCAACTACGACAACGACGGCGGCTCCCACTCCCAGTCCCACTCTTGCTCCTGCTCCGCTGATACTGCTACTTCAGCAAACTCTACTACGATGCCAGCAACTATTACTGCTGTTGCTGATAGCCTGTCTTACAGCTACAGGACTAGGAGACTTCAAAGAACTGGCTTCCAGTCGGTTTCCCCAGTTTAGACATCAATCCAGAGAGGCGAAATATCGACAAGTCTTGTGCCGTTCCTGCTCTTGGGCGGTCGAATACGAACTAGTAACTAGTCCACAGTGCACGTGGGAGGCGAGAGGCAACATGGGTCCTGTCCATGCGAGAGCGCAGTTGGAGCACGTCCACCAAAGACGGGAGATCTGGCCATGGGCCTTCTTCAGCTTGCTCGCGTGCCGAAGAAGTTGCAGCAGCAGGATGAGCAGTACCATCTGCAGACGTGGAGTCGCCCTTCGACGCTTGAGAGAGAACTCCGTGTGCTGCTGCGAAATGCTGCATGAAGAGGGGATCCAAGGCGTGGCCAGCCTGCAAGCGCAGCCGCTCCTGTCCCAACACTTTCCGGACTTTCTTCTGCTCCGGCCCAGTGCGCAGCTGGAGTTCCGACCAGAGCCAAGCGAGCGCTTGCTGCACCGACTCGAGGCGGACTGCGGCGGACCGAGCTCGGGCCTGGGCACCGCCGTCACCTGACTCTGACATCTCTGACGCCTCTGACTCTAAGAGCTTGGTGTAAGCAGAGACGCCGTCCACGAGCTTCACCAGGCTTCGGCTTTGCCAATTCTCAAGCAGGGGACCCCAAAGGGACTTAGGGCCCGATTCCACGAAAGCACAGCCGCACCGTGAACGAGTGATGGCCACGTAGAGTGCCTTCAGAGCCCGGACCAGGGACGGTGTCCGCTGGCTGGCATTATGGGACATGCCGCGCTGGGCCTGTGTCCTGCGCTTGCGGCGCTTCTCGGCTGTCTTAGCTGCCTTAGCCTTCAGGAATTCCTCTACCGCATACCAGGATGCTCCGTCCCCACACACCTGAAAGAAGTCGCAAATCACCACGAAGTCGAACTCCAGGCCTTTGGCCTCCGCCACCGTCAAAATGGTGCTTCTGAGGCCTGGCGGTGCATCTACGAGGACAACTGGAAGTTGTAAATGCTTTAAATGCACTAAAATCACCTGAGCGCCTACTGCAGCCTGGCCTCCCGTTTAGTATAAGTGTTCCCCTTGGACAGTGGTGCATGAGAGCGAGAGCGCGTTGTTAGGGGACCCGGTGGTGTCGTAGCCTTTGCTTCGCATATCGTTGCTGAAGGTTGCCCGGCATGGATGCCCAGAGATTACGAAGCCTCTTTGCGCGCCCAAAAGATGTTACGGTGCATGTCGCCTTGATGGCGAAGGCGCTGACGAGCCGAGTCCGCGCCAACCAACACAACACAGCTCGTGGAATCCATGCTGCGAAGGAGGCGGTCGCCAGTGCCCATCACCTGGGGAAAAGCAGAAAGTCAGATCTTGGAGATTCTCAGGCACGAGCCTTTTCCACAAAGCAGGCTTTGACAAGGGACAATGTCCACAACCCCACTTCCAGAATGCGAGTGCACAAACAGCGGCACTTCACCACCTTGCGTGGCAGCGGCAGTTTCTTCCACGGCATCCACAGTGTCGGGGAACATCTGCACAAGCAGCTCTGAGACTGTGTTAGCCAGTCGCACGATGGATGGTGCAGAGCGATAGTTGAAAGCCAGTGACATCTGGCGGCAGTCCCCAACGTGATCCCAAGAGCACTTGGCCGCTTCCTTGTCAGGATGACCATCAGCAAGTCCTGCAAAGCATTTCGGCTCCAACCTCAGAAAAGCATCCAGAATGTCTTGGAATGAGAAGGCACTCCCAGGGTTGATCGTTTGACAGGTATCCCCCGCAATGGTGATACCATCGGCGTGTCCGCATAAGGACATGAGAGCAGTCAACTCAGCAGGTGAGAAATCCTGAGCTTCGTCCACGTAGATCTCGCGAACGAGCCTCAGTGTCGGCTTTGACAAAATATTGGAGGCGACCTTGGCCCTCAGTGCCCTCAGGTGAAACAATGTCTGATATGGCTTCGACATCCGCGTGCACAAAACCTCTTGGAACAAGTTCGGTGTTCCTCGCCATGGAGCGCCCCCTCGCTGGCATTTCGAAGTGCCACGGCCACATCAGTGCCATCGGAGACTTTGTACGTTCGCTTCAGGCGCAAGTACTCCAGAAACATACCTGAGAGTGACAGTGATGAGCTTCGCTCCCTCCATCTGCACAATCGCTTTGGCTCTCTCACAACAAATTCACCCTGCAGTCCGCCGTTCGGCCGTGTTAAATTCTGAAGCGTAGGTTGCGATTTTTTCCAGAAGTGCTTGGCCGAGGAACCGATGCACTTGATACGATAGCCAGTTTAGCCATTAGAAAAAGGATTTGACTTGGAGCTGCGGTGCGGTAGATTTCTCGCCGCTGCTGCGGCTGAAGAGGCACTCCCATGGCCGACAGGCCGTCGTCACCTGCGAAGCTAACTGCTACAACCAGCCAGTAGTATAGAGGCGGACCAGGCAGTAGTAACAGTAGTATAGAGGCGGAAGCTGCAAAACCTTGTGGAGTTCAGGTTCTCGGCATGGCGGGCCCTGTGCTCCTCCCCCCCCCCCCTTCACCCCTCCTCCGCCGCAGTGCCGACGGAAACGTCGACGACGACGGCAGCATAGGGGGAGGACGGGTTTTCGGAATTCCCAGGCACTGCAAAACGAGCAGAAGACTTGTCACGCCTTCCTCAAACTGGCTACGCCTTCCTGCTAGCATGGACTGTGTGGGCTCTGGAGTTGCACTGCCGTGGGTGGTGTCCTACCCAGCAGGGGCCGCAAACTACCCTGGGGGACAAAACGAATGGCCAAAAATAGCCGAAGCGAACTGTGCGAATCGAACCAAACATAAGTCAGATCGGTTCACAGTGAACCGTGCCGAGCCGAAGCGCGGCAACCCTATTGACACATCAACATGCAGCGCTGCATCAAGAAGCTGGCACGGCCTGCAACAGCTTCGCAATACTGCTCTTGAGTGAGAGAGTAGCCACCGGTGCTGTCCAGTGTCTTCTTCCTCATGCTGAATCGCAGAACGGCTAGATCAGCGGTGCGATGACTCACTTGACCCCAACATTCCTCGCTCCTCCTAAACAACTTGTGCTCGCAACAGTTCTGCGAAAGGCCTTCCGAAGACCGCATCAACAACCGAAGTGAGCCCAGGCAGCTCTTGGTACTCTGCGAAGGAGACTGCCCCGAGGCCCTCGAGGCCGTGCAACACGGCATCAAAGCTCCGCAGCCTGTTATGGAACTCTGCCCAAACCTAAGAGCCGTCGAGTCGGTTCGATTTCAAGGGATCGTGCTGGAAAAAAGGCCGCCGCTGCTAGAACTCCAAGGCCAGGGAGCCAAGAGTGGATCCAAGTCTGGTGGAGCTTTCAGGGAAGGCCAAAAGCGACTCGAGAAGCCTGAGTACTGAATGGCCGGCTTGGCCTCTGGGACCAACGCCTTAACCAACTCATCCCAGGTCACGCCTGCAGCAGTGACGGCAGTGACTCCGATGGGGAGAGTTTAGTACTCGTCTGGTGGGCTTACCGGCTTGGAATGATTAGGCATAATTTCCGGCCAGGGGGCAAACAGGTGTGCCGCCACTGCTGCCACGCAGAACAGCAGCATCACGAGATGTGCTGCCGAAAACCGCTAGCTGCTCCAGCACCTGTGGGCTTGTGAGGATGTGGTGATGTGTGATGGCAGGAGCGTTTTGCACCGAGCCGGCCTGTGCGCAAAGCAACGACGACCGAGTGACGAAGAGGCGCTTTGCAACAGGGAACTGGCGCCGTGCACGCAGGATGCGGTGAATGATGCAAACCGTTTTGCCAGTGCCGGAGCGACCCTGAAGAAAAAGACTGTGAGGGCATTCGATGATTCTTCGCTGGGCACGGGAAGGCTGCACTGCGCAAGAAGCAGTTTCAGACCGACCTCCATGCTGCGAGAGCCGTGCGACGATGTCTTCCATCAGTTCTTTGACAGATACTTGTACCCGACCGTGAATCCATGCAAGTGCCGAACTCTGCAAAGACGTCTCGCAGATCGCGTGGACTTTGAGGGCGGCATTTTGCACGTCCAACTCGCAGGCCTTCAAGCTGGCGAAACGTTCACTATCGTTCACTGCATCGGACAGCAATGGACTCAACAGTGTGTGTCCGCAGCGCCTGCAGCGCCTCCTTCGGCAAGGGCAGACTTTGCAAGGTAGCCCGTGCTCTGAGCACAGAGGCCTCGGCAGCTGCCAGCTCCTCGTAGATCTGATCTGCACCTGGAAATCCTTGGGTTCAACTGCAAGCTGCAACAGCATGGGGTACCATGTCCAGATATGTCCAGATCCTCGCTTCGTGCCTGGTTCTTAGCTTCTCCGCGTGTTTGTGTTTGTGTGTGTGTGTGTCAAAACCTGTTCCAAAGAGCGAATGTGGAGCCTTGCAAGCAGGGCGTGCCAGGAGCATTCTGGAGCCTTGCACCAACGAAGACCCTTCAAACAGTTTTTAACATCATGGGGAGACTAAGGTCTTGTAACATTGTACCCTCCTCGCCCAACAAGAGCTTTCATCACTGTTGCTTCCTGGCCTTGATGACGCAGACATGTAAGCCAAGAAGAATCGCTTCAATAGCATCTTCAAAGCACTGGCTCTCATTTCTATCATGTGTGTGTGTGTGCGGGAGGAGAGGGGGATGCACCAGTCTGGCTTGGAGGTAGACTTGCTGGTAGCTCATCCTGAGAGATGCTGACGCATTTCTACGAGGACACAGTCAAAGCTAGCTGGAAAGCTTTGGTTTCACAAGGGTTCGTGAAGCTTGGTTGGGAATGTGGAAATCCCTCAACCTGAGCTGCTGGATCCTGTGTTCACCACTCTGTGTCCAGCGACCTCTGCCCAGAAAGGAAGAAACGCTGCGCACGACGTAGGGGTGATCCTGCAAAGGCGAGAGGGGCGAGAGGGAAATCACTCCCGACTCTTAGAATATCCCTTCGCAAGGGCACGAACACGCGTGAAGAAATGCAACAAACGCTGGGGTCCTCGGGAAGGTCGGGGCAAAGTCCCCGCTCCGCTGCTTGCTGCGCGCGGCGCTGCAAAACCTGAAGCTCCGACGCCTCGGCAGGGTGTTGACAGGGTGTTGACAGGGCCTCGGGTCTAGAGAAGTGTCGTCAGCAGCTCAGCACAATGAATTCGGGTCTGATTGACAGAAAGCGAGTCATTTCGAAGGTACGGCAGCGATGGGAACTTGAGACACGTGAGGCCGAAGAATTCCAGATGTATGATGTACTGAAGGCCGATTCTCTCGTCTCTCCGTGGTGCCAGGGGGCCAGGCTGCATCTGAAGCCCAGCTCGCTACAAGGCGGTGCCATTTGCATGGAAGCAGCAACGCATGGCCATGGGTCTCCAGGCTGAAGGCAAAAAGGAGAAGTGTGCTGACCTGGTCTTTCATTCAATTTCTGGCTCGATCTTGCAGTGGATTTCACAATTTGCGGCAGCAGCCGCTGCGGCAACTACCATGGAACCTGGAGAGCCTCTGTCACCTGGTAGAACGCTTGATTCGCGAACTGTCCGCGACTTCTTTGCTTTGTCTTCGCCGGCACTGGCATGTGCTTGCAGCAACAGCCATTTGACGTATTAAACTGCATGAAGTTCATCTCAATTTGGGAAAAATATGTATATATATATATATATCATACATTTCTTATATTCTGAAACAATTCATGACTTTCATATTCCAGCTGAGGTTAGAAATGTTACAATCGTGAATTTCGCCCGAAATCTGAATTTTTATTTTCACGCCGAAAATTTCGAGCTTGCCATAATATCGGCGCGCTATTCTTGTGTAGCTAAGCTTTCTTCATATCGATAGATCATCCATTTTTCTCTTTGTATTCCTCCTAGAGTCCGAGAACTCTTCACAAAAACCTTTCCTTCTTGTTTATTTGTTTTTCTGTAGCTTTTACATCTCCAGTTTTGATATATTGAAAAAAACTCCCTCAGAAATCTCTCCTTTTTCGAATTAATTCTATATGAACATCTATTTCCATCGATTTTGATATGTTGATATGAATCTTAAATTCCTCAATAGATCGATTTTGCCTCATGTTCATTTTCCATTTTTGAACCCAATTTCGTCTCCTAATGAGCCATTCGCAGTTTCGCCGTGTAGAAGCTTATACTGAGACATGCATGGCTTAATCTTTGAGACAAGCATATGACTACTGGCAGGATCAACCAGGTTGCATCTCCACACATGCACAGAACCTTCATCGGCTCTGTGGCATGTGCAAGATCAGATGTATGTAACACATCTTTTCCATCATTGTTGCCAATGATGGCAGACACTTTCACACACAACTGTCCAATTGGCAAGCAGTTGAACAGTGTTTCCTTGCTCAGCAAAAGCCGAGCCAATCTCTAAGCAGCTTCAGTCTTCAATTCTATTCACAACTATATCAGCAAAATCTAGTTTTGAGATGTAAATACTTCCGAAACTAAGAGTCCCTTTACTAGGGCCCTCATAAAAACTTCGGGAAAGTTTTGACCCCTTATTCTCTTAGAATCCCAGTTCGGCGCATTCTTAGGCCCGCACCACCTCGCACCGAGGCTGGTGCTAGGTGGTGTGGAGCTGTAGCCTTTAGCTGCAAGCAGGAACCGCAAACCGTACAGAATCGAATCGCCTTTGACCCGAACCGCCCCTGTGCGGAACAGAAGCGAACCGGACAGAACTGTGCACTTCCTGTCCGAATTTTAACCTCGTAAGCCGAAATACTCGAATTCTACATAGGAATAAATGTTTCCTCATGATATCCGACATATGTCAATCCTCAATGAAAAGCCAAAGCATGAAAGTTAGATGTATTAAACGATCTTTTTTCCATGGGCGCTTGTCTTACATCGTCGAAGCACTGTACATGTTTGTTCAAATAGTTGGGGCTATCTCCTTCTGAGATTTGCACCTGAGGAGGAGGCATGGAAGAGGACGATAGCCCACGCTCCACGGACTACGGAGTATCTTTTTGGGAAGTCGTACTCACACGACTCTGAATCATACACCGCAACTGGAATGGGGCGATCAGGGCAGTTGGTGGCAAGAGGCCAACATGGACAGGCGTGCAGCAATGTACATTGGCAGCTTCTCGTCACTTGCATGAACCGGTATTGCGGAAGGTGACCTTCCCTTCTGCAGCGTTGTGGACAGTGTCCAGGTAACAGCTACTTGGAGAGCTGCGAACACAAATGCGAGAAAATATCTCATAGTTGCATGGTGTTGCATGGCTTACCAGCTTGTTACCGAACTCGCCAACAAAACCCACTGCGTCGTGATAACTATTGCAACGTCAGACATCAGCCCATCTTGCTGCTTTCGGAATTTTCCTGACATCGCCTCCTTTGGCCAAGTACTGGCCAGGTTCATCGCCGGCGTGACAGAAGTCCTGGTGAAGGATCATGTATGTGTATGTCATGAGCGGACCGTCGTGTCAAGAACCGAAGCATACCAAAGGCAGACCAAAGGCATCCAAAGGCTCTAAGGCTCTAAGACTCTAAGATATGGCCCCACACGACACTCCCCAGACCGCGCCTCTCCGTGAATTCTCACATGGTGGGAGACTCATCTCCTCACTTCTCACTCTTTCTCCCAAAGCTCACCGGTGGACCAGCTCAGGGAGCTCAAGGAACCGCTGCGAAAGTCGGCATCTGCCTCAGTGGCATAAGGTGACGACATGTGACGGCCTCTTCAGATTGCATGATTGAACGTGTGTGCATAGATGTGTTTCTTGGAAGATCACAAAGGTTGCTGAGGCGAATCAATACTGTAGGAGATCATCCTACAAACGAAGGTCTATGCGCGTGCCGCTCCTTGCTCCACTGCACACCTGTTGCAAAATTCACATGGACAGCGGGTTGTCACCCACGCTTGTGTGGTCTGAAGGTTTGCGTTGAAGCAGCCTGCCAGAAGTCGCCGTAGAGCAGGACTAGAATTACTGCCTCGCCATTGAGTCGAAAACATGAGCGCACGTTTTGAGAAAGGCAGCTGTAAAGGACCGGCGCACGAAGCTTGAAACTTTGTGTGGCCGCCAGCTGCATCAGCTGCAGAGTTCAGCATGAACATTGCCGCCTTGTGGAAGGTCGCGTGCTGAACCTTCACGGCAGAGGTCTCTCCGTCCTCGCAGCTGTATACTTCAATCGGCGGAGCAACGGCACATGGACCCCACATAGACCCCACTCTTGCACCAGCCTCAATCATCACCAAGGAGTCTGCGTGGAATCCTCTCACATCATAATGACATGGTGTCATCATTGATCACACGTCCTATCTGCATCCGGCCCTCACTGTTAAAACAAGCACACTTTCGAGCCATCTATGCCAAGTGGCTTCCCACAACGCCATAGGAGTCCCGCCAGGTCCCCGCAAGGTGCGAAAGCCAAAGTGCTTCAAGCTTCATCCTGGCGACGCTTCTGTGGGGTGCACTCAACCGCATGCAGCCTGAACCCAGTCGAAAGCACCGACCGCCGATATCAGCCAAGAAGCTGCTGCCTTTGTTGCGAGCAAATCTCTGAGTCCTGGCTTCCCGGAACCAGGCTTTCGGTGTGATACTGAATTTCACCATACAAAGTCCATCAACTCTCACGCTCGAAATGGTGGAACCAACATTGTCCCAGTAGGAACCCTAACTTAATTCACTTCGCGACGATTGTGAAGCGCTGCGGCTGGTGTGACAAACATCATGATATCAAAGGCGCTACTGCGCTGGCACTGTGGGCTCTGGGCTTCGGAAGTTCAGCCCAGTGCGGTGTCAACCTTGAATGGGCCTTACAGTAGTCACGCCAGGCCGCTTGTGATTTGGGCTGCGCTGCAAGGTTTGCAAGTATGCCGCAGTGACACAAGGCTGCACGAGCCACGTGCTGTCCCCATACGCAAGCGAGCAAAGCTCATCAGCTCTACAAGCATCAGCAGATATCAGGAGCACGACGCACTGCATACTGGTGCGGAAAGCGTATTCTCAGATCAGCCAAAAATGTTTCTTGGAACGTTGAGGTGCGAGAGCATCCCACCCAAAGAAGCTGGCAGCGCAGCCTAAGAAAACCCATAGGCCCATGGAGGCTTCATCTTTGCGCTCTGTGGTTTATCGAGAGCAGGCTGTAGCATCTCATGTTACAAGCATCTACAAGCGAATTGAAGCAGCACGCGAGAAGGGCCACAACAGGAGGGCGGACCTTCGCCCCTCCGGCCCCTCCATCTGCAGGGGCAAGCTACGGTGTTGGCGGTGGGCGGTAGCAAAGTAGACGAAGAAAGGAGAAGGGCTGCCTGCACTGAGGTGGTGTTCGGGGCTGCGTGGTGTGTTTCACACTGCTCGCCGCGGCCAGTCTGTGAACTGGGGGTCTGCGAAAGTATCGGCGAACAGAACCGGCATCATGGCGAGGGACGGTTCCTGTTTCCTTTGCGGCACACCGTTCCCGGATGTTCCCGGTGCCTGTGGTATATAACGCTCTGGGCATGGACCTCTATGAAGCTCCATATCCAAGGCAGAGCTTCTGGCTGTTGACGGGCCCGGTTCGCAGGCTTGCCTATGCAGAGGCCTTCGGGGAGATGAACATCACCGGCCCTCTTCAGAGGAAAATTTTGTGAAACCCGAGATGGTTTTCTTGCGACGCCTCTGTGCCTGACTGGGCCCCCTCGGAGCCAACTCGGTCTCGCGGCATCTTCGAATGGGCCTGGCCCGCACGGACTTCGTTGTGCTGGGGCACCAGTTCAGTCCACGCCCATGGCGCGAAACGGAACCAACACATATGCCCCTCGGATACACTCGCCTAAGGAAATCCTTCACGAGTATGCCCACGTGTGACAATTTCAAGCCCGAAGCCTTCAGGCAACCGGAGAATTTTGCCGTCCAGGCTGCAGGCGAGTAAGACGGACTAATTGCTCTATCAGTGGAAGCCTTCACCTCCATGGGGATTGGAGCATCAACACTGTACAGGCATCCGACAAAGTCATGGCATGGTCATGGCCCCTATGTATTTCCGCATGTAAACGCCAACCAAGAAAGTCATGAAAAGTCCTGGCCCCGCCGCTTCCACCAAGTAAACGCTAAGGCAACATGCACCATTACAAATAGTAAATAACAAAGCATTGGGCTTTTAGGCATTTCACTTGGCAACACCATCCAGGAGCAACCCGTACAGAACAGAAACCAGAACGCACGAGCTGCCGAAACACGAGTGAACGCTACTTTTTGACAGCGTCTCCCCGACCCATACGTATAGCGTCAACGGCCCAGGGTTGTAAGGCTTAACGGAAGGGGTCTAGGAGTTCAGAGTCCTGGGATTCTTGGGGGTTCCAGGCCTTACAGGGGCTCGAAAGAGTTCACCGTTTAGGGCCCCCAAGTTCTAAAGTGTTCCTACACGGTGTTGTTTCCTCAAAGGCCTAGCAGGGTATGGTTGCGATTGGGCAACTGGGGCTGGGCACAAGCCTACTGCGCGTAAGGCCCGCGTAAGGTCCGCGTAAGGCCCGCGTAAGTCCTGGCTTGGTTTGGTGACCAATGGCCAGAAAGGGAAGGGTTGCAAAAACGGTTTTCCAGCTTTGATTCCGAACTCCCCCAAGTAAACGCAACAATAGTTGACCAAAGAATGCCCGATCATGCACCAAGAAATTGTTGCGATTCCTTGGTGTTTCAGGGTTTGCATGTCGCGAAATGTCCAATGGTCAGGGATCATGGCCGAATGTTGCGATTCCCTGGTTTTTTAGGTCGGGCCACGACTTCTGGGTTGCAGCCTTCTCTGGGGTCCCACAAATGTGCCACGACTTTCACCATTCCCTGTAGGACCTCGAAGGGAGAATGTTGTGTGCCACACCAGTCAACGCGTGAGCGCAAACAGTTCTCTGCATGAACGTGGTAGATCAAGTGATCCGATCGCAGCGAGTTCGAGTTCGAGGCCGGACGTGTGTTTGCGACTCGCATCCTGGAACTTTTACTCGTGTGATCAGCACTGCTATGGACACTCATGTCGCTTCAAACGATTCACGCGGCAGTTGATGCAAAGCAATGCTTTGCCCAGCGGATTTTCGCTTGGAGGCCGTGTAGGTGAATTCACAATATGCGATGAGCAGTTTGGCTGCCGACATTATTGCATGCTCCTTGAGGCGTGTTGGGATGCGTACAGCAGTCCAGCACCTGAACGATCAAGATAGTCCACAGCCGATGGATGTTTGATGTCGATCAAGCTGCTTACATAAATGGCAGCAAAGGCAAGTGACTGAAAAGGCAAGAACAACATAAAAGGCGAAAACAAAACACTCCCCCAGTCTAGTCTGCACGTGGGCTTCTCCTATGATTAGGAACTAACTAGCTGCCAGCATCCAGCACACTGGTGTAGCAAGCCGTCCTTCAGCAACAGCTGGCAACACAGTTCACTCCAGCCGTGCTGTCCAGCTTGAGAGGAGATATCGGTCTGCGCCTTAGTCAGCCAACGCAGCCAAGCAAGGTTTCGTTCGATGCCACCATGTCCGACTAGCCTCTTGCCAGGCAGTGGCGCTTTCTTAGACGGATCACCAATTAGATTGGATCAACGTGAACAGGCCTCGCTGGCGCCATCTGATTCCATTGACCTGGTGGAAGGCACTCATCCCATTCTGCAAACAGGCTGCCAAATGTGATGCATGCAAGCAGCATGGCACAGCCACAATGTAGCAAGTTTAGTATGTTGCACGCTTGTAAGGTGTATCACTCGGCGCAATAGCAACATGCTTCGGCCCCTGTGTGCCGCCTTGACACAACCTCTGTCAATAGTATCAAACGGCTGCACTGCGTTGGGAAACTCCGCTTCGTACAGCGCACGAAGGACCCATCTGCAGCGGCCTCCGCCAGGATGTCCATGCGCTGAATGCCAGGCTGAGCGCTCTGTATGCCCGGCGCGCATGCTGAGCATCGCAGCTGGCCTGGAGCCCGAGAAATCTCAAGATCTGCACTCTTAGGTCTAAGGCGCTTCAGGTCAATGTTGCACTAACATGGCCATGGCATGCGGACTGTGGAGCAACATCTGACCCAGTAGGCCTTTGCCGCTGCAGCTTTTAGTTCCCTGGGCGAGGAGAGGAGCAAGAGAGGAGCAACCGAGCCCCGCTCATCGGAAAAGTGATCTCTACTGCGACTCTTCGGCGTGCATCTCTTGTCTGTAGAGACTCTAGAGCCTGTCAAATTGTGGAAACATCAGGATCCGAACCCCTCTCAAAAACTTTGCTTTAGCGACAGTCGAGGATTTGGGCCTGAGGATCCAGGAGCCGCTCTCGGCTAGAGATCCACAGCCGTTCGCACGCTTTCCCTCTTCAACCAGCTCATTGTTGATGATGGCAGCCATGTCCTATGCAAGGGACCAGAGGATCAGGCAAATCAAGGGGACCATCTTGGATGCAATGTACTTTTTGCTTGATGCCTATTTAAGTTCTGTAGGATCCTTTATCCATTTTTTGTTAGTCCTTTTTTAGCTTGTTTATCCCTATGCCTATGCCCCATATCTCTCCAAATCTCTCGCTGTCTCGATGCCCATTCAGCCAAGAAGCCGAGGGAAGGCCACATTTTACCTTAAGTGCAGCGATAGAATTTCAAAGATGTGCATCAAGGATTTGATTCTGCTTTATGCGCAGCTAGTCCGGCAATTTGAGTGCTCTAGGGACTCTAGTGATTCCAGTGTTGTGGACATGTGTTTAGTTCATCGCATCTCTCTGTCAACCTCGCAAAGACAGTGTTTGTGAGGGTCATCCTCATCTACTCGGCCATTTTGCTGTAGTTGTACACTGCGTACGAAGCCATCGAGCTAATGTTCCTCGCCTGCTTGATACTGTGGCTCGCGCATGCTTAAAGACCTCGCAGGAAGGTATGTTCGTAGCCAGCCCTGAACTGTACAAACCTTGATGGACCAAGACATGCCGCATCAAACCCCCAATATAAATGACCAAGTTGCAGTCAGATACGATCTGCTTTGGGAAGTTCTGAAGCCCAAAGAACATGCGTGCAAGCCTTGGAGTTGCTGTGCTCTGGGCTTTCACGGGGCTCACTGCGGCACTATGCACGAGCTGCACAAAGGCAAATGTCAGTTCCGAGCATAGTCTTGGCTCAATGACCTGCGCAGGAAGAACAACAAACCACAGCTTTTCTTGCCTTGCAATTTGGGGGGGCTCGGGGAGGGGACGCAACAGTTCAAAATGGACTGCAACGACGGCTCTGCGAGGCTGGACCTCACCCAAACCAAGCTGTTATAAACTTTTGACAGATGCTGAGACAGATGTTGACGGAGATGCTGACGGTGGGGCAACTCCAAGCAACTCCATTTTGAGACGTGAGAAAAGAGGAATCCGTCTGGCCTTCGGCCTTAGGGCTTTTAGGGCTTTTAGGGACTTTGGGCTTTACTGGCTTTTAGGCCCTTTCGGTGGAGGGGGGGGGCGTTTACAAACGTTCCCGTTTTGCACCCAGGACACATTCGCACTCCTGGGGCTCGTGGGGACTGGTCAGTCAGGTGATGTGTCGTGCATTGTCTTAAGCAGTCTTTGCATGCTGCTCTGCCAAGGTGGAGGGGTGGAGGGGCGGAGGCGGAGCGCCTTGGTGTGGCCTTTAGACATACTAACACTATCAACGGCGCTCTTGGAACGGAGCGTCTACGTGGGTGAGAATCCAGTGTTTCGCTTGATGCCCGCCAGCTAAGTACAGGCTCGAGACCAATAGCAAACAAATACCATGAGGACGAGGGGCGTAAGGGGGCGGAGGGGAACCAAACGAACCCAATATTCCAAAGACCAGATTGACAATCCTGTCATAAGCCTCCGTATATCGCATTCCCAAAAACGACATCTCATCAGCAGCAGCTGCACACTTCAAACTGAAACTCTGGTGCGCTGCCTTTGCGAGCCCCTTTGATGCACGCTGGAAAAGGGCGACGTCGCCAGCAAACGTGGAAGAGTCGAGATACTTGGCCTAAGTCTTTGACATTGTTGAGGGCAGAAAGGCCTCCAAACGAAACATGTTAAAGTGCGTGAATAGACAGATTTTGCCTTCAGCTCAGGTGCATCCCCAGCAATGCCAGCTGTTTTCAGCCCGGCTGTCGTGCCAAGTTCGGCAATGTGGACACGAATCTGATGGGTGCGACCTCTCGAATCGAGCTTCACTGAGCCACCAGATGTCAGCAAAGAGACCGCTTCGAGCCCTCGAGCAGTTGGCCTGTGATGATGCGGAGCATCATGAGAGTAAACGGCCTCCCACTTCTGCGACCTGAGAGAAGTGCTAGCAGCTGCTAGCAGCTAGCAGCGATCATTGCCAGCACATGCAGAATTCAAAATTGCAAACCTGAGGCCAGCACACCTGTAATGCCGCAGTGCGGCATAGTGTGTGATGGCGCTGAAACCTTGCCACGCAAGCCCAGCAAATGCAAACAGTGAACGGCAGTTGCGCATGGGCCCAGCTTGCCACCTAGCTGCCCCATTCAGGATCCACAAACGTCCTCTGCAGATCACAAAGTTAATAGAGTCGAGTTGAGTTTGTCAAGCATGTCATGTAACCATAATCACTCAAGACGGTCAGAGTCAGACTTCATATTCAGACTCCATTGTCTCCTGTATCCTTGACCCTCTCGCTCTGTTCGAAGCTTGGACTGAAGAGTGCCTTCCACCTCCAACGATCTTCACCGTGTCACAAATGTTACGCTCCATCAGGGCATCAGGCTTTGAGCTTTGACTGATCACACACCCGGCTTGGGAGGGGCACAAACATGCACGCATGTGGGCATCATTGGGCATCTTACATTGTTACATCTCGCGCTAGATGCGAATCTGCCCCCCGTGCCTGGCTGGATGGCAGCCACCCGTGCATCAGGCAGACATAGTTCTGCAGTCAATGCGCAATAGGCAATAGATGTCCAACAGGGAGTTACGTTTAGTCCCTACTGTGGCATGCTGCTGATATCCACGAAAAGGCACGCGGGAGCAATGAAAAAGCATCTCTGGTAAACTCGCTCGTAAAAGAACTTCAAGCATCCATCCCATCATGGTAGAGCCCCCGCACGAGGGCCTTACACCAGCTGCGTGCATTGCGCTGCCGAAGCAGATCATCCAACACATCTGGATCCGAGCCCACCTTGGCAAAAAATAGCGAATGCATATAAATAGAGTGGTGTCATGCCGCACGGATGCTTCCAAACGGATGCTTCGCCCCAAGGGCTCAAGCCAAGATGCAAGGAGCAAGCCACTCGTCGGAAGATCCAGCCGATGGCAAATTGCCTTTCAAAGTCACGCTTGGTTGCTGATGGCCTCCTGCTTTTGATGCGTTGGTGCCGTGCAAACGTGAGGGTTGGCACGCAAATTAGGAGTCTGCAGGCTCAGGAACCTCTATGAACCTTTGCAACCTTGAGGTCAATGGGTCAAGGGTTTATTGGGGTCATTTGAACGGTGCACCGCGAACTCTTGAATGATTTCAGCCTGTTAAGGTCTAAGTCACGTGATCAGTGTCTTCAATGCCCATCTGATGCACGTATCGGGCGACGCCGATCGTCGTATTTGGCCTTAGAGGTGCGCAGTGTCAGTCATTGATAGCACAATCGGCTTGAGAGAGAGAGAGAGAGAGAGAGAGAGAGAGAGAGAGAGAGAGAGAGAGAGAGGGAGAGAGGGAGAGAGGGAGAGAGGGAGAGAGGGAGAGAACAACAAAATCGGCCATCATAACTCCCATCGTGAAGGCATTCCTTGCAAGCAACAGCCGCAAGCAGGGCATCCAAGGCACGGTTCACAAACGCACTTGGGCGGCTTGAACAACACGAAGAATCCATCTCCACTGTAAACCACCCGTGGCTCCTGGTATGCGTCACAGCTCATTGCGGATCTCTTGTGTAGATTCAGATGTCACGACGTAGTCCTGCAGATTTTTCTGGGGGGGTCCGGTCAGGATCCGCCACAAGCAGACGTACTCTCTGTGCAAGGACTTCACGCATGTCAATGTAGTCAAGCATGCTTGTCAGAAGGGGTTTCCTGTGCATCCATAGCCGCTGCCACGACCGATTGGTCCTTAAACCGTGCACTGACCAATGCGACATTGGAATGGGGCAGTGGATAGACTAGCCAAGTATAACCTTTGACAAAGCTTGGAATGTTGCCGGCCTCCTTTGTTGTAGAGAGTTCAAGAACATTCGAGTGGGAATAAGGTCCTAAGGGTTGCTAAGGGCCAAGGGTTCGGTGCCGTGAAATTTAGCTGAGCCTAACCCTAACCTGCATAGCAAGTCCTAAAACAATGGCATACCAGCAGCGGCACCTGCATTCTGCAACGCGTACAAGACCCTCAAACCCCTCAGACGGTTGACCACTGCAAGTCCAAGCTTCTGCGATGGCCTCATCGCCCCTCAGACAGTGGCAGTGAACAATGAAGCGAAGGCAAAGGTGCACGCTTGATGCAGAAGAGAAGCTTGCCCTCCACCATGTCCATGCCTCCAAGCAGGACTCAAGTGATCTCAAAACAACTTTTCCAGGCATCTGTCAGGGCTCTTATGAGATACAACGACGGGGGATGTGGCTAACTTCGCGAACCGTCTGACTGCAACCTCGCCTGACTAACCGCCGATGGGCATACCATCCACAGCACACACACTGCCCAAGGTGGCCCAGTGGCCCAGTGCCAAAGCTTATGTAAACATGTAAACATACCACCTTCGGCGTCTGAGTCCGGTGGCTCATCCCACTCGCTTTCCTGGTGCAAGTACGACTCAGCATTCGTGATATTTTAGGCGTACTCCAAGCAAGTCCGGCGCCGCCTCAGAATCGAAGTCTATCTCTGGCTCTTCGACCATGTTTATGATCTGCGCTCCTGAGCTCATGGCAGCATGGACCGCCACAGCTTGGCAGTCTGCCCGCAACTGCTCACCTAACAACATCCTACAATCCAAGCAGCTAGTGCAGTCATCCATGCGAAGTCGCGGCCAGACCAGCGTTCTGTTGTCATCGTACTGGCTTGCCTCACAGAACATGGAAGCGTTGGGTTCCCGATCTGGCTACGAGATGGCATCTCATGAAAAAGCTGTCATGGTGTGCTTGCCATCTCAGTCATGGCTATAGGCACAGCCATAGTCTGTCAGAGTGCACGCGGTGATTTTGGGAATGGCGCTGTAGGTAATCCTGTTCTTGCAGACCAGTCGGCAATGCTTGTGGGCCGTAAGGCCAAGGAGTCTTGGTTTCTTTTCAGGTACCCGCTTCATCCTCTTCCCATGGGCCCCGTCTGATCATTTTTTGGGGCGGATTTGGGCATGGGATGGCCAAGGATTTTGCTGTAGGGTTACTGTGCTGTGCGGGGGCAGAAGGCAGGGCTTTGCGTCCGTGGGGATTGCATGGGATTGCCAGAATCCGCGTAACATTTCGTAGCCAAAGGCCCGCGAACAATTTCCGCTTCACCCTGGAAGGCCCCTGGAAGGTTGCCAACAAAATCGGGTGTCAAAGAACACCTAGGCGTGGATCCTCCAGAGCTGCGACTTGCCATAAGGCTCGCTGGGTCTGTGGACGATGCCCAAGCTCTTCGGAAGGTTTTCAAGCCCAGGAAGCCTCTTGAATTGAAGCTTTGGTGGTGGCGGGCGGAGGGGGGCGGATTTCAAAGCTCCATATCTCCCGACAAGGGCCGTCTCGACCTCCCATCACTTTTCAGAGCTGTTCCTTCAAGTCCATCAGGACGCTTGTAGGATAGAAGATGCATGTATATGCATGTATAGCATTCCTGCCTGAGGCCGGTTCGATACCAAAGCTACATGTTCCCAGAGCCGCCCAGGCGGCCGCGAAGCGCTAAAGCTATTCTGTCAATTCTGCTTGCTCGCCCAAGCTTCATCCGGATCCTCGGTGCTTTCGGCATCGGAATCAGGCTTTCCCACCTGACGATGCAGAATTCAACTGGCAAAGCCAAGAAGCGAATAACAACTGTCCCTCCATCCACCCTCGTGAAGTGACCAACTCTGTCGGAAGGTTTTCGGCGGAACTTGGGCGGCGAATTCGTTGCAGGCATGTCCAACGGGATTGTTCAGCTCGGGGTGGCAATGCTTGTCGCGCGCTGGGAATTACCCCATTTCAGGCTCAAGAAGTTCGGCACGTCTTTTCGAGGGTGCCCGAATCGTGAAAAATAATAGAAGACACTTTGCACTTTGGAAACATTGGGCTGACCCATGCACTGACTGCAAAGAACAAAGGAAGTCAATGGTTGAGAGAGACAGACAGACAGACAGAGAGAGAGAGAGAGAGAGAGACAGACCCGGCTAATTCGACTCGTCCCTTCCTCCAAATCCTTCCCTACCCCCTACCCAACGTTGCCCACCCCCCTTTTAGCTCGGTTTTCGGGCTTTTCAAATGAGAACAGAGAATTCGTTTGGGAATTGGGTTCCTCGGGCTTGACTTATCGGCGTAATAAGCACACGCTGCCTGAGAGGATGGGAGGGGGGGGCAGGGTGGGCGCTGACCATGGACCCTGGGGATCGGCTATGCACCTCTCAAAACAATTTTGGGATGTCTACGTGTGTACATTTATGGGCCAACCCTATATCCCAAAAGCCTAAACGCCTCTGCACGACGGGCCGGGCCGAAGCGGGTGATGCGCAGCATTTGCAGCAATCGGACAAGAGGGAGAGGAAGTGAGCCACGGAAGGTAAACAGGGAGTGACAGAGGTAAACATGAGGTTCTGCACATTCGCTCCCAGCACATGCTTACATTTTTTGTCATGGACTGGCATAGTCGCATGTCATATTTGATACGCATTCGAGATCCACAATTGCTAGTCCGTATGCTTATTGAGGCCCTGATTCAGAAACACAGGCACCTTGAAAGGTGCCATCAACGATTTGTGTATTGCCTGCAAGCTTTTCTACACGAAGTCCCGTGAGTGTAGGGCTAGTTCCTGCGCAGGCTTTGGGGCCTGCTATCGGTCAGAACCCCCCGAAAGAAACATTTGCCTCTGCCAGCTGTGCAAGCTGGTCGCGTCGGACTTCGACTTCCTGGGCTATCAGACATCAGGGCTCACCGTCATGGCAGATACACTGCACTGTTCCGCCGAGACATGGCAGCTAAGCTACCCAGGCAGCAGCGATGTCGAGCACCTGCACAACAAAGACTGATTACAGAGTGGCACAGGAACCCCTGCTCTCTTGGCGCACCAGGAATTCCATCTGCATCCGGGCCACTCGATGCTTCAGCCCGTCGTCCATTTCGGCACAGTCTGCAGAATCACCAACCATGAGGTGCTGTGTTATTGAAACTGAAGCTGTTATTGAGCAAAGTGTGAGCTTGCCCCTGCGCGTTGTCTTGCACATGTGAGGCTTTCCGGTACTCGTCGACAGTACAATGACAAGGCATAGCCCAGAAGGAACTCAAGGCAGTACCTAAGCTTCTAATTACTTGACCCGCCCCACTGAGTCAATGATTCGCCCCGTCTGAAGTTCGCATTGGACTCCGGGCGACTTCAGCACGGGAGCGACTCTCATGTGCCAGCCTTCTGGACCTGCCCGCTGCATACTCGCATTTCTTGGGCAGGATAGCCTCGGATCTCCCGACAATTTTCGAAGTCAAGCAATCGAATCTAGCACGACTCGCCCAGAAAGGTGTGGCCTGCATCAGGATGTCAGTGGCTTCCACACACAGGGACAAAGGCACATGTGGAGTCATGTGGGGTTTGGCTGCTTACGGTTTCGGCACCGGGGGGCCAGAGAGCGGCGCTGCTGAGGTTCCCTGCGCCATCCGCCAGTGCATCCACCGGCTCCTGGTGCTCCGCTTGGTGCTCCGAGAGGGGCCTCAAAAGACTTCAAAGAGAAAGAACGAGAGAGAGAGAGAGAGAGAGAGAGAGAGGGAGAGGGAGAGAAAGAGAAAGAGAGCGAGAGAGAGAGAGTGAGTGGGAGGGGGGATTTTCCGTCGATCATCATGGGAGCACTTAATTTGCAAGCGTCTGGGCACTTCATTCACTCATACTTCGTAGCAATGCCCTGGGCAAAAGCGAGCTGACTCTCAGTCTTTGGCACAACTTTGCTCCGGCTCACCATGAAGCAATTCTGCACATCCTGAAACATAATCGGCTTTGTCAGTGAAAACAGCCGTAAGAAGACGTGGCCTAGTGGGCCTTGTGGGTCCAGCCAGGGAATCTTTGCAAGGCGCACAACAAAGCAACATGTTGTCACAAAAGCTAGATACGCACATCTCCTGCTGCATTGTCTCAATGTTCTCTTCGGAAGAGCGGCCTCAGTTACTTCAGATTAGCTGGCTGGGTGGGCAAACACTTAGAGCAAAGAGTGACAAAACTCCGAGCCGAGCGTCCCCTGCTCACTCGAGTGACACTTGGAGCTCTTCCAAAGGCCGAGGTCCCGCAGCGGAGCGGCAGAACCTTCCATGACTCCTCCCGATCCGAATTCGGCAAATCGTAGAAAGCAGAAGAAAAAAAAGGTAGCGAAAACAGAGAAGGATAACAAAAACAAGACTGTGGGAGGCGAGCAAGCACCAGGGTGAAGGGCGAGCCACTGGAGGTCTGCGCTTGAGATGCCGCAGAGGTTTCGTGTCGGAGATGGAGTACCTCTCGGCCTGCACAGTAAGCGGCATATTGGGAGCACCAGGCGCACTTATGACTACATGTCTTCGATTCGACAATACATTGATCAGGACGTGCGCCCGTTTATGGGCGACAAGGCTGATAAGAACATGCGACATCATGCCACTCTGTGGTCCCGGTATGGAAGATATTCATTTCGCGCTACACCAGGATGATTCACAGAACTTCGACTTGATGTCTGCACAGTCAACAGGCCGTGACAAACGCGAACCCAATAGGCGCAATAGTAAAACAGGAGAAGTAAGGTTAAACACCAGAAGCGAAGCCCGAAACCGCCCCCGAAGCAGTGGACATCTTCGATTCCCCCAACTGTATGCGCCGTCCTAGCCTCATGAAGGAGTACGGCAACCCTACAACAACCCTATGTTGGGCTTGGGTTATGGCACGACATGGCACGAAGGATATTGACCGGTTCACAAGGTAAAGATCACGTGGCGAAGAAGTCCAAGGGTTCAAGCCTTGTCTTGCCGATGGAACCTTTGCATCGGCACCTCAAACAATTTCCCATGTGAGAATCAGAGTGACCACCATCTCCACAATCTCCATCTCTTTTCTCTTCTTGACTCTTCCTCTGACCCCTCTGGGGGTGCGACCTCTGCAGCCTCTTGCGCCGTAAAATGTGGGAGGTGCACCTCACAGTTGTTACGAACAAAGGGGTGCCTTCTGTCTATAGGGTTCTAAGCAGACAGTAGTACCCGCAGAAGACAATAGTAGGCAGGTGGCGCTCAAGGCTCGCAACGACTCAGGTTGACTGATATCAGGCAAGGCGCGCGCAGGCCCAAAGAACAGGACCTGAAACAACCAGTTTTTCCGGCGAGACTCGGGCCTAACGGGGCATACTGTAGTTGCAGATGTCTGACGAAAATCGCCACCCTTCTTTCCCTGAAACTTTTTCCGGACCTGAGACTGACCTGAAAACCATGTCCTGGCACACGCCACAACAGGAATCGAAACATCACTCGACAAAAGCCGTATTTGCAACATGTGCGCTATTCATTGCTTAGCACAAGCGAAGAAGTGGACAAGGTTCCAGGTTTCTAAGTCGCATAAAGCATCGGCACATCTTCAACATCCTGCCCTCACAAGCGTTCCCGAACGGCGCACGTGACACGGCCCTTTTCAGGGCATCTCCAAACCAAGATACGCCCGCCGACAGTTGTCTGTGACCTTCACCATGAATGTTTATGTTCGATGAAATCTCATGTGCCACTCTCAGCCATGTACTACGTGGTGGCCTAGGAATGTTACGTGTTCTTGTCTTGACAAGTTACTCTGCAGATGGACCGGCGCTCGTTGTCCCAGACCTCCAGGAGCGCTTTCGGATCTTCCACCCTGACCAGGGGGAGCAACACATAGCACAACCATATTAAACCTACGACCCAGCAGTCTAAATTGCCACCCCAACATGAAGATGCCAAGAAGCTTGTTGCGCTCCAGCCGCAGCCAAAGCGGCGGTAGCCCCTGAAGGCTAACAAAGGTCAACACACCCTGTACGAGTGAAGGCTGAGTCAGAAAAACGCGGGCAGTAAACCGGAAAGCTCCAATCAGAAAACGCGAAAACGAGCCCGGCACATTCAGAAAACGCAAAGGCCTGAGTCGGAAAAAACACGGGGTTCCGAGTCAGAAAAGCCCATAAACGAAAATTACCGCAAACACACACCGACACCAAAGGAGGCTGTCCAACATTCGCATCTGTCAGAAAAGTGCTACCAGAAAGCGAATGCAAAAACGCCACAAGCTTAACTAGAATCCGATGTGCAACAACATGTCCGGTGTCATGAGGTTTTTCATCGATGAGGCTTTCGTTTTATGGAGCAAGCGTGCATGTTTGCTGATTCTTTGCCATGTGAGACTGACGCCTTGGAATACGGAAAGAACGTGAAGCGTCAAGAAGTTTACCATGTTTTGCAGATGAGGATTTGGTTTTCCTGAATCTCTCTCTCTCTGCCGCTGCATCCCAATGGTCTTCCTGAATGCGCCTGTCCGTTTTCGGACTGGGGCGCTGCCGTTTTCTGACTCAGCAGTGCGGTTTTTCTGAGAAAGTTTGACGTAATGACGCCGGCGTTTTCCAACTGGCGCCACTCCCACCCTGTACATCCTCGGCCTGCAGTTTCTCAGCCGACAGAGCCGCATCGACAATGGCCTGAAGGCAACTACGGCAAACATCGCTGAGTTCGTTGAGTGCGACTGCGCAAATGTGCGCAGTGGGACACCGACATGCCAAGCAGTCAACATGGCTTGTCAAGCTTTGCACCTTCGCTCCCCGCGATGTGAACCAGTTGTGGGAGAGATGCCTTTGCTCGACACGAACCATGAACAAATGATCACATTTGCGGCTGGAGATCACAGCGGACTCAAACTCTAATTGCTTGCAAGACATTGACATCCGATGCAGCCAAGACGCATTTCTATCAGTCCCGGACTCTTGTGACCTCACTTGGGTTGGTGTCACAAAAGGGCCACCAAAGCCATAAGCCATGCGAAAGCATCTAAGAAAACCTACGAGCCCACAACAACAGCCGACTGGAAGAACGGTACGGACTTGTTGTTCAGGTAGGCCGGGGGGCCGGGGGGGTCCTGGCAGTTTCGAGATTGGCAGTCGGCTGACTGGCACAGCCGACAAGAGTCCGGAGCTAGGAGTGACCCTTCCCTCAGCGCTGAAGGCCCTTGCCAGGAGACGGGCAGTTTCCCAGAAGGCCGGCCAAAACAAGCGGCCATGGAATGACAGCATAGTTTGGCCATGTCTTCGCAGGTCGCTCAAGAGGATCATCGAGGGCCTCGAGCCTCGCCTCGCTGCTCTCTAGCAGATCTTGTCAAGGCGACACATGGCGACACAGGTCCACGGGGCCGAGCAGGAGAACGAAGGCAGATGCGCCGGCTGAACGCAAGAAAGCCCGTCCCACTTTGTACTTGACATGTAAATACATGTAGTGTAATGACGCGTGTTTCAAGTGTTCCGCATCGAGGTGCAAAGCGCCGTCAAGGAGACCGCCGCATCATCTGCCAGCGCATTTTTGTACAGCTTCACCTGAGGGCTCCCGCGAGTCACATGATGGCGCACACCTCTCATGTGCAAGCACTAAACTCACTGGACCGCCGCAAGAAAGGACAACGCAGAAATACATTTTCTAGCCGCAGCTTTGTAGCCGAGGTGCAACTCGCAAACTCCTCGAAGCAGGGCGGGTCTACGCTAGCAGCAGCAACGATCTACCATGAACAGTTATTGCGTGTCTCCCACTTTGCTACGTCTCTATACTAGATGCCAGCTTGCAATGATTGCAGAACCCTGCTTCAACATTGCAAATCAAGCGACTTAAAGGAGCAGGCTGCCAGCAAGCATTCCAAGCCCGCAGCGGTAAGGCGACTCCTCAAACACGTCTCGCGAAACATGCTTCATGAGAGGTTCGTGATCGTTCACCACAGATGAAAAAGTTCAAAACCACAACGACAACAATCATGAGAATCACAATTGCAACTACAACAAAATCACAAGCATGCTTACAATTACACACTTACACCAGCGAAGACCCCAAACAGTTAAGAGTGGCATGGCGCGACCTATGCACCATCAATAGTTGTTGGAGGTCGGGCAAGCACGACCAACATCCACGTGAGAGGTGCATGTTGGGCCCGTTCCTACTTCTCAGGGTCGCGAAACAACGAAGACCCTACTGCTTGTGAGAGAGTATAAGGCCGAGCCAGAAAGCAAGCGGGAGCTGTACAAGGGCAACGGCCGGGATGCACGGAGGATGCTGCTGTGGCTTGACTGACCCGGGCGGAGGCCGAAAAGATGTTGGGCCAACATCCCCGCTTCAGGGCTGGGTGTTGAGCTAACATGCACGAATGAGCGGTGGACAATGCGGGACAGCATCCATGCTTGAGGGGTGGATGTTGGGTCAACATCCATCTTCCGGGCTGGATGTTGGGCGGGCCACCATCCACGCCTGAGGGGGTTGATGTTGGGCCAAAACCCAACCCTTCTAAGTTGAGAGTCCATCAAGAGAAATGCCAATCGACTTGCCAGCTAAACTTTTATATGGCGGAACTCTGTTTGTCCGAATAGATGCTGCCTTAGCGATTTCCTGTTGAACTGCTTGATTTCTGCTGTTGTGGCCCGCGGCCTTCTGCTTTTCACGTCTGTTGATTCTGTCCCATTCCTCTCTTGTCAAATATTTCTCGTTCTTGGTATCCGCTTCTTTCGCCGCTGTGGAGTGCAGGGTTTGTCAAGGGGGTGGGGCTGAGGGTAACATTTACAGTGCCTCGTGACTGGTGCTACGTGCTGGCCTTCAGTCAGGACCATGGCTGGAATGTGTCCGTTTAGGTGGGTTCAAGCTGCTTTTCCGAATCAATGGCGTGGCCATGCTGCCCTTTTCGGACAGGTATTTATACGGATACTTCGCCGCAGGATTCGGTCACAGCTACTATCCCCGGAGACTGCACTTCAAGGGCCCTGGGATTCGAAGCTCTGCGGGAGTTTTTTCTGGGTGGGCACTGAAGGGATACTTGGCGGGATTCTGTAACAGATTCCGCTCCAGGCAGCTCTGCGGGTGGGCACTCTGGGGTACGGCGAGCACTCAAGATACTCAGCTACTCAGGTGGGCGCTCCTGGGATATGCGGCGGGGCTTCGAGCGTCTCTGTGGGTGGGTACGCTCTCCACACTCCTCTCTGCGGTCTTCTTGCGCGGACAAACAAACAAAAACCAACAAACAGACAAACAAATAACCACAAAAAACATATTGAAGCAACTTTGCGCCCTTGATCCATGCCACCTGGAGAAATCCAAGGATTTCAAACCTTCGTGTATGTCGTTCTTGGCCTTGGCTGCCGACAACATTTTCGGAGCGCCACAAATCTCCACAGGCACACGACAACTCCAAGACACGAGCATGAACATGTACAAAATCCGGTCAAGGCACCACGATAGTAGGCAAGTCCTCATCCCGCACACCGCGCCTTGCCTGAGAAAGACAATCCAACAGAGGATACTGATTGGCGCAAAGAGTTCTCAATACAATGTACGCGACCTTTCAAGACAACCAGCTTGCAACCTGTCTCGCAATGAAGAACAAAGTGCGAAATCCCGTCTGCTCGCGACTTGTGCAGGTGCCATCACCTGCATGGACGCGTGGCAGATGCAGGCAAATCATGATGGCAAGGGTTCGGTTCACATGGGGTCTGCACCAGCGGCCTGCGAGCGCTGAGACACGCCTCCATTTTGACCCAACTACTGAGCAATAGAGCCAATGTGCCAAGCATACAAGCTATCTTGGCATGCAACATCGATGGCTAGCACTTCCATGGCACAGACCTCATTCCAATGTCGAAATTATTTCCTTCAAATACAATGGTTAACGTAATGAGCTCCTTCTTTCTTGGGGCACGCCATATTCTCTCTCCCCGTCTCTCAGTCATCCAAGAATTACTTTTTTAGCAAATAAACCGGGTAATGCGATTGAAAGGTAGGTCTCCTATATGCGTAAAGAGAGAAATTACTCAAGTCTGAAACCCAATATGTGTAGGACATGTCGCTTAAAACCCGATGATAAGATGAATAAAATAGCGAAGTATACTCTTCATCTGCAATTCTTTCGTCGATATTCTTTCGTCGATATAAAAGGACGGAGTTCTCAGACTCGGGGTTTCGCAAGGGATAGTATTCCAGAATGAATGACTTTCGATGTGAGATTTCGAGGATTTCGTTTGCCGCGAATTTCCTGGGTCAAACAATCGAACGACAATTGTTGACACCAATGAATCCAAAGCTGGCCTTTTTGTCTGGAGTTTGCCGGAAGGCCACATTTCGACTTCATCTACATGTACATTGACTGGGTAGCCTTTCGGCCATGTGCACAGTCTCAGCTGAAACAAGGCGCGAGGAGCGTGCATGATCTAAACCGCTGCCTCACTGAAACAGAAGCCCGAAAGTCAGATGTTTCGGCGCGGAAGTCCTGGATTCGGATATCCTGCTGAGGTCTTCGCGTGGTCTTGCTCTACGGCATGTTCTTTCAATGTGGTGCAGGTCGTGCCTGCCGTTGTGCAACATGGTTGCCATGATCTGGATCCTGATCAGCAATTTGCCGCATGTTCAACGAACACATCCCTGTTCATGGGCTGTCAGCACACCGCAACCCACAGTACAACTACATTCAAGCGTTGTGTGCGTGGCAGGGTCAGCCGTCAAAAATCTTGCCAGAAAAGAATTACTACCTGTTGGAGGCGCTGAACGAGCAGCCTGCGTATTGTGGATGTGCAGGGGCATTGACGGCATTGACTTGGGTCCGAAGTGGCACCTTTCAAGTTGCAAGTTCTACATTCTACAGGGATGGCATGCCCATCATGAACGTGAATGAAGATACTAAGCTGCAGAAAGCCTCCATTAACGACTCTATGCCACTACGCAAATGCGCAACGCATTTTGAATGTATTGAGTCTCAGTGTAGGTCCGAATGAAACTTTCTAGAACCGAGTGACTTGACCAGATTGTACGAACATGTGTGGGCTTTTTCTTAGTGCTGGACACTAGGACTAAGAGCTGGCTAACAAGAGTGTAAAGGCTGAAGCTTTGTACAAAACGTTGCTGAAGTCCGCCGGCTTAGAAGAGGAGCAAACTTTGGACTTCCTGAGTCTTGGACGTGTGACTGGTTGTGACGTACAGGTACACCTGATACGGGGAGGCATGCTTGCCGTGGCCACAACCATTCTCCATTTTTGAGATCGCCCAACAACGGAATCTGCCTGGCACCATCGGCTTCGCAGCTGGCACCTCAATTGGATTTGTGAAGCTGTTGCAAGTCTGAGTGCCCGCATGTGGCAAACACATGACGCACAGCACGGCTGACTATGTGCTCAAATGTTCTCAGTTCTGCACGAGCATTGACTTGGCAACTCCCCCTCGCAGCTTCAAGAAACCCATTCAATGTTTTCATATGTTTTCGCCCTTGTCGCAAATGCAGAGTTGTGCAACCTTTGCTGGCCGTGCTGAGGCCAGCCTGGAGGTAGAGTCACGCTTCCAACCTAGGTTTTGGTTCAAACGGCGGAATTCCTACAGTGCGTACAGAAACCGTAAGTGCAAGCATGCGGTATCCATTTCTTATCCACAAAAGTCGCTTGCTACTGGTGCAGGCAGGCTCTGCTCAGCATGTGTTCACGCAGATACTGTCTGGCAGCGCGACCCGAGAAGCACATCGCGCTGTCCTGGACAGCAGACATCAGATTAGGTGCTGCACGCGCAAAACGGTGAAGGGTTATGTTGTGAGCAGCTGCCAGCATGATTGTTGCGTGTGCGTGCGCATGTGTCTGCACGTGTGTCTCCGTGTGTGTGTGTGTGTGTGTGTGTGTGTGGGTGTGTGTCTCTGTGTGGGGGGTTTTGAAGCAGGGGAAGCCATCTCCCGGAGTCCCAAGTTCCGCAGCCTACCCCTTTTGAGGGTTGCACCCGGGGCAAGGAACGTGTGAGGGAGCTGCTTAACGGACGTTCAAGGTTCTCTCATTTCTATTTCATTATTCTTACGCGTGTTGTTTGTCAGTGCCTTAGCTTTGTTTCTTGGGTTGAGCCTATTGAGTCTGAGAAGCCCTACAACATCTTGACTTTTGAGGTCTCCACGTGGTGAAGTGTGATTATCTTGCACATGGCCTTCTGTGCCTGGTGGGTTTGGTGCTGATGTTGTGTACACGTTTTCAATGCGCGAACCGCTCCCAATAAGCGCTTGCGGAAGACGGAAGTCCTGTGTCGCCGTGGCAACTCTCACCTTTGGACTGTCCCAGACGAGGCTACGTCACTGGAGGCCCTTCACCCGTGCGTGTATGTATGTATGTATGTACGTAAGTAGGTAGGTCGGCATGTATGTATGTCTGTATGTGCGTGCGTGCGCGCGTGCCTGTGTGTGTGTGTGTGTGTGTGTCTGCGTGTGTGTGTGTGTGTGTGTGTGTGTCTCTGTGTGTGTGTGTGTGTCTCTGTGTCTGTCTGTCTGTCTGTCTGTCTGTCTGTCTGTCTGTCTGTCTGTCTGTCTGTCTGTCTGTGTGTGCGTGTGTTGTTGACAAGTACCACGCCTGCCAGTGTTTTCAGCATTTCGCAGTCTTTATTTTGGGGATGTGCTTTTGCGATTTCGTTGTCGGGCTTTGTGTTTTATGAGTGTTCAGGGTGGAACGGGGTAGCTGCAATGTGGTCTTATGTTGAAAAGTGCCACGCCCGCCAGTGTTTTCGGCATTTCGCATGTTTTGTTTGGGGGCTGGAGTGTTCAGGGTGCAACGGGCTTGCAGTGGTTCAAGCTTATGGCTTTGGGGTTGCGAGGAGACGTTAAGCACGGAAAGCACGGTTTTGGTCCGAAAGTCACCAAGAAGTGCCGAAACTAGCGTTTTACCCAGGGCCGCTAACGCCCTCGCGAGCCAAAACTACCTGTAAGCCTGCATTAATCCACGTAACAACCAATGCTAAAGGAGCAGTCAGTTCCATGACCACTTCGAGTGGTGCCCAAGCCCAAAAGAGAGGCAAAACATCATGTACAGCCTTCAAGTTCTCAATTTCTTTATTCCATCTCACCCATCCTAAGTAGCGACAGTAAACTTCAGCAGTGTTTATTGCAGCTGCTCTTATGATTCTTTAGGCTCCGGTGGCATTGCTTGCATTGGATGAGTTTCTTGGAGCGGGACAAGTACGGTCACCACTTCTGCGCAGTTCGCAAAGGCAAAAGGCTTTCTGCAGTTACAAAGATGGAGCTCATGAAGCGAAGATGTAACATGGCGCAACTGTGGCCGCGAAACATGGTGAGCAGCCTGCTTGGGGCGGTCAGGCTGTAGCCTCACAATTTGAGCGCGCTTCTGGCTGTGACTGTGCGACCTGACAACTCAATCAGCTGTACCTCCGCCGAGTGGACGCAGCCTCAACTTGGAACTTGTGGAAACTTTGGTTGTCTTCCTTTGGCTGCAACTTTCATTCTCGACTGCAGTCCACTGTGAAAACTTCTTTGCCAACCATTGGACCATGTCGACCCTGAAACTGTAAACTGTAAATCTTGGATTGCCAACCCTGATTTGCACAGGAAGGCATGAATCGAGATCATCATTCGTATTCCAAGTGGCGCGGTCAGCGGTTTGCTCTCGCTCGGATCCAGCAAGGAGTTGTTGCCTTGGAAGCATTTACAGGTCCAAAATCACTTCTTCATGGGCAGCCAGCTTGAGGACATAACGATTCTGCAGCGTCCGTGAAAGAGGTGTTTTCAGGCTCTTGCTCATGCAAGGAAGAACAGGAAGAACACTCTTTCAGGCCACACTGCGCATCGGACATCACATGTCCGCACGTCGCAGGTCGTACTCAGACTTTCTCAGACTACTTGCTTGAAGCACCATACCTTCCACCATGTAATATCCTGCATCTCCCTGCAGAGGGCTCGCAAGTCTTTGTGAATGAGGAATCGCAGTCCAGCGTGGAGAGGGTTTGGTCTTTACATAGGGTTTATTGAGTTTATTGCCACGAAGACAAACACCAAACTGCAGCTGCATCATCGTTCTTGCTATAACCTTCACCTTTTGACCCCGTGGGCTCTGCCGGGTTCCACAGCTGTCCAAGCAGCCCGCATGATTCATGAGCACTCGTGCAAATGTCAACATTGTGCACTGCATGTGAGATAATTTTCCATGTTTCCCCATCGCCGTTTGTTGACTCAGCTACCGGATTCTGGATGATCCAGTCCATACTCCACCATATGTCTTGGAAGTGAAGTTTTGCAGTTGAGACTTTCAGTTTCGTGAAGCTGCCCTGTACTTGACAGATCTGCCAGCCTACGATCCAGAACAGATCAGAATTAATTCGCGCGGCATAGAAACACTTAGCCTTCTTGTCCACCTGCCTGAAGCAGAGACCGGAGACCACGATTCTGACGGTATTTTGGCTTTCTGCAATCAAGACACGTGCAATTTCGTCTTGACATGTCTCATGCAACTTATCAAAACTCTGTCAGGAGCCCCTCGTGCTTGCACATCCAGTTCCCGCAGCGGGATTTATCACTGTCACGTCACTGCACGATTCTACAACCTCGCCTGGAAATCAAACGGGTTTGTGTTTCGACGTACAACCAAGGGAAGTGGAGAATATGAAGTGAACATTAGCAGCGAGCGCAGCATCGGCTTTTCGCACGATGAAAACTGCCCGACCCATCAAGTATTCAAGTTGCAATGGCGAGCCTGCATTTGTTTGCCGGAGATAGTCGGTAACGGATGGTAGCGGCGCAGTTTCGGGAGCTCTGACAGGATGTCTTAAATATGCTGATCGAGAGAATGCATTTATCCGTCCATCACATGAAAATCAGTAGTCGAAGCTACTAGACCAGTCATCGATTGCTTAGTCCAGGTCGCCAAGCGGGAATTGTCTGGGCACAGTGCAGGCTAGGATTTTCTAGTGAAACATTGCACGGATTTTGCACGATTATGTTTGCCAAAGACTTCGCGGAAATGTTTCTGAAGGCTGCACTTCTCTCCGATGCTGCAAGCCCACTCACAGTTCATGAAACACAACAACTTACCGTCCCGGAATGCATTCGTCACCTACTCATGAACTCAAAACACATTTGCTGCCCGACAGCTTCATCATCCACTGACTTTCAGCATCACCGTTTGTCATAAAACCCGATGTCATGTTGCATCTAATTTGCCAGGCAAGTGGCCACAACTTCATGTTCATGACAAGCAGCTATCGCTGCAATCACTTTTTACCCTCCTTGCTCTTGAGTGTAGCCCTAGCAAGTTTGAGCCTGCGCAAGCAAATTCTCTCAGGCCTCTGATATGTCTGTGTCCCGGCACGTTGTTGGGGACAGCTACTTCGGGCAAAGACCACGAAGTTTTGGCCAGAACACTAGAGGAAAACGCTGAAAGCATGACAATTCTAACATCAGCATCCTACCAAGCCTGGTCAGAACAGCTCATGCCCTCATGCCGCCGAGATGCTCAACGAAAGGCTCAGCCGGGAACCTCCCATGAGCAAAACGGAGCCAACCAAGCAACTGACAAGAGTATCGCTGAGCGACATGGCTGGCATGGTATATGGCCCCATGCGCACTCTACACAGAAGCTCAGTTGTCATTTCCAGGCCTGAGAAGCCGAGGTTGGTGAGGCGGCCAGTATCTGTGACAGTGACACGCCAATGTTTCAAGTTCACTTTTATCATGCTCCCTTGCGGCTTTCTTCTATTTGGGATTGACGGGCACGTTTGCTTCTGTCAGGCACTGGCCGAAGTTATCTACGCGAAGTGCGATCGAAAGAGGCAGCGGGCGCCGGATGCTGAATATCACATGATTTGTAGCCAACGGGCCCCATCGAATGCGTCACAAACTACATGGTACGCATATCAAGCTGCTATGGCCAGCTGGGCTAAGCATGACACATTGCTAAAAGGGCCCACCGAAGTGCAGGCGGAAGGCACCCGCCTTCAGGCGTTGGGCCCATTGCAGCTTTCTGCAAGGATCCATCCTGCATCATGCGACATGCACGAAGCCAGCAAGGCTCATGAAGGCTACGTCATCGTGTGGGCGAGCAAGAGTGGATTGGATTGATGGCTATGGGCCGTTATGCTTCATATGCGTGTCAGAAACAATAAATCTCCATGCTGGTGATGCCTTTTAGCTCTCCTCACATGCCCAAGCCGTGGGGGCATGCAAATAATGATCGCGCCACCTCGTCACACGTGTCGATAGGCTTTCGCGGTGTCCTGAGGTCACTTTCTGGGCACCGCGCTGCCTTTCCATGAGCATCTGTGGTGCAGTTTGTTCCCCTCCTCGCACATGCCTCTGGAGAAGCTAAGGGGCAGGTGTCCTTTCAAGGCCAATGCTGGACATGGTACGTAGAGTGTAGAACGACTGAGGCCTCTGGAACATGTGCTAGGTCAAAGTCATGCACAAAGCGACTCTCTGGGTGCTCCTCCTTGGTAGCACCGGGCGGTCTCCGAGCCTTGTAAGCAGGTCTGTGTTGTTCGATGTTTTTGGGTGCCACACGGTGCCATCACTTGGACTCAATTTTTTCGCGCGGAGAGAGGTCTGCAACGCTCAGTGACTCACGCACCGCTACTGAAGGCAAGCTAGCAGCCGCCGGCATATCAACAGGAATGTCCCACGTGTTTCCAACCCGAACACTGTGCTGCACCACTGCCAAAAGGACTTCATCAAGGTACACATGTTGCTTCACCGTCTTCACACAAGCAATTTCGAACGGAAGGCATCTCTTGAGATCCGATGTTGAGATAGCGCCCAGTCGACATGGCTTGAGACGCGCGACAGGAGTCCAGCTGTGGCAGGCTTTCTCGCATGTGGCAGCGGCAAGGGTCAGAAGAATTTTGGGGGGCTGTGCAAATTGCTGCAACAAAGCGAGCATCAGCTTCCAGTGACCACCTCGCTGAAGCATATTCCCGAGGATGCCATACGTCAAAGCATCTCGTGGATGCAGGTGGTCTCTTTGGTCTCTTCCGCACCCCAGCTGCATCACCAACTCCCACTGCCGACCTGCAGAACACGCAGCAAGCAAAGAGTTGTTTGCAACCAGGTTCGCTTTGAGACCCATTGCACGAAGTTGGTGAAAGTACAGTCTGATAGCTTGCCGCCAAAAGCTGGCAGTTTCCACAGCTGAAAGAAGTGAGGTGAATGTGATGATGTCACCCTGACAACTGCTTTCACGCAAGTCGTTGAAAACAGCAAGTGCGAATGGCCAACGCCGTGCGTTTGAGCATGATGTCATTATGGTATTGAAGGTGGTGGTGTTGGGCTTGACGCTGTCTGTTGCCATTCTCGCATACAGTTCGAGGACTCTTTGCCAACGTTGGCCAGCGGCATAAGCGCTTGCGGTGGCGTTGAATGTCACAATGTCAACAGGCTTGGAAGTCAACCCTCTGTGCCGACCAGCTTGCGAGAACAGAAAACAAGCCACATCCCAGCGCCCTGCATTCCGACAGGCTGCAATAGCTGAGTTCAATGACACCAAGTCGCTAGAGACAACAAGATCCTGATAGAGCAAGCTAATGGAACTTGCCCATCGTGCACTTAAAGAGCATGCGGAAAGCAAGGAATTCAGAGTGATGACCGTGGGCTGTAAGCGTCGCTCGTGTGCTCTATTCCAGATGCTGAAAGCTTCGCACCATCGTGACCCCATGGATTTAATAACGCTGTTGTACAAAACGATTGTCGCATCATCCGGAGAGTGCGTCTCTACTTCCAGCAGGAGCGACAATGCTTCTCTCCAGTGACGTGCCGAAGCCATTGATGCCAACACTTGGCTCCAAATCACTGGATTCAGCTGGAGTCTGGCAGTCCACATCTCTTCCACTAGAAGTAAGGATGCCGTCCACCGAGCCCCCCGGCTGCAAGCAAGCAGTTCTGCCCCATAACTTCTCACGTCTAAGACATGCGTTGTCGAAGCGGCGCGGATGCGCGTGGCCAGCGCAATGGCCTGTTGCCACTGCGAGTTTTGGGACCAGCGGGAAACCCAGTAGGTGTACTTCTTTGGGGTCAGCCACTGCAAACTCACAGTTGCAAGGTCTGCAGCTGCTCCCCGGCTGAGGCTGCATCGCATTCTGCATCATACCCTTCCACTCATTCATGAAGCATTGGAAACGAGAAAATGTCATGCTGATGCACACACCTGAAGCAGGAGTGGGCAACTTGAGCCGATGGCGGCAAATGTGAACCGTTTGCAGCAGTGGGAACTTTCGCATCGCGGTGCCCGAAGGCTTTTGTCGGTGCAAGCTGCTGCCAGCTTTTAAGCCTTCTTTGTTCACGTTGCGGTCTCAACTGGGTAAGACGGCAAAACCTTGTACATTTCATTGGCCTCAGATTTCAGAGACGCCAAGGAGCAGCCGAGCAATACCATGATCATTCCTTAGACCAGCCGGCATCCCTATGAAGTCCCTGAGTGGCGAGCACCCAAGAAAGATGTTACGACTCGTCGGGTGGAATCTAGGAGTTACACAGCATAGGATCCTGCTACTAGTGTTCGGGCCATCAGTTCTGCTGTCATCCTGTGTTTGGCGCACTGCAGTGCTGACACGGCTCCGATCAGCTTGGACATGTTCGGCACTTTGCCGAGCAAGATAAAGTTCCTTACACATGCCCGGCTCAACAGGCAGCCCAAAGATGGACATCGCTTCGAGTACAAAGTCAATCTCAAAACAAGAAGAGCTCCAATACAACGACTTCAAGCAACAAAAGATTTGAACATGTATTTGCATATGCACATGTACAGACATGTATATGTAATGTATGCGGATTTGTACATGCTTGAAGCGCAGTGGTCAAAAATCAGCATCCGCCGAGGTGTCGGGCCGTGTCCCACCTCCAATCCCAACACCTGAAAATTAAATGGGCGACAAGGGCCTGAACGAGCGGGCGGAGGGGGCCGGGCCGGCGATGGGGGAGGGCGGGGCCGCCCACTTTGGCCCCCTCCACTCGCAAACACAAGGCTCGATTCACACAAGGTTTTGAAGGATGTCGTCTGCCGAGTCTACTGATGGCACGATGTTCATTGAAGCAAGCCTTGATCTGCAGTTGTAAGCCTGCTTGACGAAAAATCCGCTCTCATTGTGTAAACACCCAGCCTCTTGCTCTCATTCTATTTCCTTTTGTTGAACCTGATTTGGCTTTTTGATCTTGGGTAGATTTTTGACCCCCCTCAGTCCCTACATGTTCAGTGTTTGTGTGCATACATGCGCAAAACAAGTCTCGCCAGGCAGCAGGATACACATAGGGACCGAATTGCTGTCGATGATTGCAGTGGCCAACGCAGCCTTCGAGTCCGGGACTTCGTAGGACACCACGACTGAGAATAGCCCCAACATGGATGCCAAGGCATTGAACAAAGGCCAGACCAGAGTTGCAGGACTGAGCACGCAAATGTAGCTTCCGTCTGACAGAAGCAGTCGAAGCAGTATGAAACCTTCACGGTGTCATGATGGGGCAGACAACAAGCCATGAAAGGCCGAAAAACAGGTTGTGACTGAACAACGCGCACTTATCGCTAGTTATAGTGCTTTCCCTTGTTTGGCCGAGGCTGTTTCGAGAGGTTGCATAGGGTTATCTGGGCCAAACTTTTATGTTAAGAAAACGACAGAAATTCACAAAGAAGAAAGCCACCACCAACAACCAGAAGCCAATTTGCAGACTTTCACATTCAGTTCGGGCACAAACATCCTAAACACAGGGCTTTTTGAGAGCACAGACGTCCTCATCCATGAGAGTCCTAGCTGTCACGGAGGATATGGTGCAAGAACGCCGGCCACAAGTAGGCCATAGTAGGCCTGAGCACCTTCATGGGCAGTCTCGTGGAAGCCGGTCTTTTGAATCCGGTGGATCAGCCCCCAAATTATGACATTCCTGCTTCGCCCCCTGTTGTGCTCGTCTCTCAGGGCTGCCTCTTTTCCCTGAGATGCTGCAGGAATTCAAGTTTCTTTGCGGGAATCTGGATCCCAGCTGGTACAATCCAAAAGAGCTGAACAGCCCCGTATTTTATGCCGTGGCCCGACTCTCCCAACCGATAGTTCTCAGTCGGGGAACGGGCAACACCACATTCCAATTTTCTCACGCCAACTTGTAAGTACAAGCCAATTTGGCGAAGCCACCCGCCAAAAGCAGGAAGCTATAAAACACTGTGACGAAAGTGGACAGAACAAGTTGAACACGAGTTGTTCTAGCGTCACCCACATAGATGCATGAACCTGGGTTCTGGGGAACAGAGACGGCCCGAAAGATCTCAAAGATCTGTATCAGAGGCAGAAGAAGGGGCGAACCGCCTAGGCCCTAGGGCCTAGGGCCTAGGGCCTAGGGCCTAGGGCCTAGGGCCTAGGGCCTAGGATCCCGAAGCCTCGAGACATGGCGCCACCGGAAGGGAAGCCGAAAACAACCGTGTCGAGGCCTCTTGAGAGCCGTCAAAAACCCAGGAGAGGCTGGGTTCCGAGTCAAAAGTTTGAAACCGAGAATCACCGAGGCAGGTTTGAGCCTTGTAGACTTAGAAGGCAAGGCTAGGCACACACACACACACAGGAAACACAAACTGAAGCATTGCCTAGTCCTGAAGCAGTCTCCAACTTGAAGGAGACGTACAAGACATACAGAACTAGGTTTGTTCCGGATTCCTCCACTCTTGACATTCCTAGTGAAGCAACAACAACTTGGCAAGCGCCTAGCAGGCCAGACAAGAACACGATGCTGACGGTTTTTGGCCGTGAAGGTAGATCGGCTTCACCAGCTAAGCGGATGGTGATAATGGAGGCAGCGTAGAAGCCACACGAAACGCATATCCAAAGAAAGGATCCTTGGTTTCCATTCAGACCCATTTCTGTTGAAAAAACTTCCAAGTCACAATGGTCCAAAACATGCTTGCCAACAGGCCCTGGCTCGATCTTGCAGGACGGACTGATCGTCCGCGGGATGTGACAACAGGCCAGACATGTAAATGACACCAGCCATGATCAGGAAACATCCCATGATCTGCTGCCTTGATAAGGTCTCTCTGCTGTACATGTAGAAGAAGAAGCCCACAAGAGGAACGTTGGCAACCACAACAGACTGGTTTGGTCCTGAGTTCGCCTCGTCCAAGGAAAAGCTTAAGCAGCCGCATGTTTGTGCTAACGCGATGAACGCCCCGCTGCAAAGAAACCAAACCAACTTCAGAGTCGAGGCTTGCTCGGCGCAGCGCTTGGCTTCGCTCCTGCTCAGTGCCAAGCTCAAACAGCTCACTCACTGGTCACTCACTCATGGCAACCGACCAAGCAGCAGAGCTCTGCATCTGATTTCTAGTCCTGAAGCTTTCGCAAAAGGTGGCCAGCAGCAAGCTTCCGAGTGCGCTGAGAACGCCAACCATAAGAAGCATTGCCGACATATACTCGATCGGCTTGAACAGGTTTCCAGCATGGGCCACGAAGAAGTTGTCAAATCCGAAGAATACCTCAAAGGGCGCTCGCTCTGTTGCAGCCTTCTAGCCTGACCAATTCCTTGTTTGGTGTTGGCTTTGGTAAGCCTGGAAAGAACGCTGAAGGTCCGAAACGTCTACCTGTGAAGCAATGCTCGTTGAGCTTTCGCAAGACCCTTGACACACACACACACACACAACACACGCACATCCTTGGTAGCAGTTAGCCCTCGTTTGTGGTGCAGCGCTGCTCCGTTGTGGACCTTTGAAAACCCACGTCGATGTGGCGAGTCGAGTCAGCACGTAATGCTTAAAGGAGTTGCTGAAGCCAGGCTTGCCACGACGACCCAGCCACGCTTGTCCAGCGGCTTTCCTTTGTAAGGGCATGTGGTTGCTTGGCGCAAAGCTGTCATAAAACCGAAGACACATCAAAGAACAATAAATGCTTTGCTGCCCAGCGTGCGTAGCTCCGCGACGAGAGCACACACTGCCAGCAACAACAAGAAGGCGGCAAAGGCAAGCAGCCTTCCAGTACCGTTTTCGTTGTCCTGGCCGTTTGCTTTCGTGAACTGCGCTTTCCACACAACCTCGCCGTGCTGTGTGTCCTAGAGGGTCGCCGAGCTCGAAGGGCTGTTAGATGGGCTGTTAGGCTTGAAATGCTTTATGTTACCTTCTTGTTTTCAATCCTCAAATCCACAAACGAATCCTCCTAAGCCGAGGCCAGGGATTCAGGGTCTGCACAAAACTCAGCATTCAGTTCATTTGCACAGTATAGAATGAAACCAAACATACACAAATAAACACGAGAATGCCTGTGGTTGCCGGTGGCGCGCCATATCTCCTCGTGCATCCCCCTGCCCCCTCGCTTCCCGGACACCTCCCCTCTCCCACACCCTTAAAGAGCTGGCCTGCAGGTAGGTAGCTGCGCCAGCTCGGAGGCTAGCTCTCGTGACTTTAAACTCATTCCGTCCTCACTCGAGGATTGACAACAATCCGTATCGGACATGTTTAACGTCCAACCCTAACATAAGCACGAGTTTCGTTCATAAAATGACTCAGGCGAGACCAACCTAACCGTACCTAGCCCAGCATGGTACCGACTCCGGGGTTGGGTCTGGGACTTGGGTTGCGATGGTTGCGGAACAAAAAAACAACATCCGAACAGAAAGAAGCCCCCAGGCAGTCCAAAGCGACAACGTTCCCATGCGTGTCGCTGGCGTACGGCTTGCCGAGGTAAACGGCGTCCATCATCTACATCGGCAAGGAGTCCTGCTTCCTGATTGTTGACAAGTTGCGCATAATGCATACAAGGCTAGCTGCCTAGCTCACAGACTTTACGTTCGGGATTTGCCGGGGTTCATGCTCGTTTGAAAAAAATCTGCAACTATGGATGGCCTTTTTGCCAAAGGCTTCCGCTGTTGCCTACGTCTTTACCCAAATTGGACAACCTTGGGCCGAGACAAACTGACAGTAGCCCAGGTGCCACAACATCCTGCCATGTTGGTCGAACTTCTGCTCCCCATCTGCTGAAAGTAGCTCAGTGTGTGCAACGCACGGGGCTTGAAAGTCACTCTAGTTGTTGTTGAATTGGGAGGCTGCAGTGAGACCTCTGTATGGTGGAAAGCTGTTGTTGCGGGTCTTCAAGGGTGGGCTCCTTGGGGCTCTGTTTAGATGTTCCAAGTCCAAGCCGGAAAGCGGCGCGTCGATGGAGCGAGCTGCGAGCTGCGAGCTGCGAGCTCAAGAAGTGGACCGTATTTGCTCTACCGAAGCAGTTCGCGGAAGTCCAAATCCGTGACTTTTGCCTGGCACCTTGAGCTAACAAACCCATACTGACAAGCGATATCACACAAACGAAGGGGACCAGGGAACGAAGTGGAAAGGCAAACTGCGTGACCAGGGCTTGTTGCATCCTGTTCCACTGAGTTCGGGTGTTTCAAGCCTGCTACGCTAGTGCGGTCTTTGCATCCAATTCTGCATTGCACAGGGGACGTTCGAGGGGCCATGCGTTTTTTTTCTAAATTGAATTTGGGTGACTGTTGGCCCGGCCTTCGTGCGGTCTGGACTCTCAGGCCTGCCACGATCCAGCATCCGTGAGTCACGTGAGTGGATGGGGAGACTGTTGACCATACGTGAACTTTGTGTGGCACTACAGAATCGCAGTGGCGTGCATAGATCCCCCTGCCATTGAACTGCCATGGAAATTGCATGCAGCCTTGGGGCTCCTTTCTTTGGTCGCCCGGCAGGGGAAACCTGCCATAGAACCGTTAGCACCCAAACATGCTGGTCTGGACTGCCACGTAGCATTATGAAGATGTCATCCGTTCTTGTTGATGCCCAAGTTCGCCTGCTGAAGCTTAGGCTTAAACCCTTGCTGAATTTTGCCAGCTACGCTGTGGATGGAAAGCTTCCCATCTTCAAGCGAGGACTTTCTTGCCTGGCCAGGTTCTCATGACAAAAAGGTGGGGTCAACGCAGCAAGAACCGAGGGACATTCCACGAGCGAGACTCAGTGCAAGTCCGAGAGTAGGCTGCGGAGATGCTTTTCATGTTGCAACATGCAGCATCCGTGTTTGATTGTGGGGGAGAGTCGAATGGTGCCTAGCCACCCTGGGCACAGCTGAAGGTGCCTTGCAGCAATGTGTATAAAGGCAAAGAGGCTTCGTCAAATACTTCGTGCAAAGGCCCTGGGCCCTGCCTTGGGGGCAGTCAGCGAAGCCGGGATCCTTCATGGTGCGAAGTGGATGCAGTGACCGCAGGTGCTGGCTTTTTAGTTTTTTTGGATCTGGCACAAACCCCCGACGTAAGAAAGCGGAGACAGCTGTGATGCTACCGGCATGGTTTGGTATGTGGGCTATTTTAGGTGGATCTTGGCGGAGCGCCACCAAAAAAGGAACAAGAAACCACATGCGCACAACGAGGGGGCATAAAACGGCGAAGGCCTGGCAAGCTTCCCGTGCTACTCCAGAAGAGCGTTCTCATCTTCGGGAAGTTGATGTCTTATGCCAAGTGTCAATCACGTTGCTCGAAGACTTACAGGGAAGGTGAAGTATGGTTAGCATATGTTTAATGAGGCCGTCAGTCCATTGCAGTCCTGGAGATCTTGGGGCTCTCTGTGCGACTGGCCTTGACGCGCGGGCTGCCTGTACGCCTGCATCTGGATCGAGCTTCGGATGCTTGAACTATGCGAGCGCCAATCTCCGTCAAAACAAGCTCAGTCCAAGGCAACATTTGTTGATCCTGGGACAGATGGAGCAGCGAACGAAACTGGCCAACTGCAAACTCGAGTGAACAAACTGACCAATTAACTAGGCTTGCAACGCGCGGTGACGAGGATGCAACCTAACGACTTGCATAGGTCTTGGCCATTGCTGCTAGCCCTTGACGTGACAAGCCTTGGAATACCGCATGTTCTGCATGGTAAGAAGCACGCTGGTGACAAAGCTCGTACTGGAGAGTATGTGCTCCTGATGCTGGGTGGGGTTATCACGAAAGGCACAGCACAGCGGGGCCAAGCCCTATCAAGCATCCACCCAATGGCATGGACATACACGGGCCGACTTGCAGGCTCTTCGAGAAAGAATTAAAATTCAAAATATACACTAGACCTTCGGTGGCCTTGTACAGGGCACGTCCGTTCTCTTTGACTTTGTCGTAACATTGCTTATGCGTGATGGTGGAAGCACCTGGTGCACCTGCTACTCTTGCAGTTTGTGACATCACTGCAGTGCAAGCCGTGCATGGAGCCATCTTTAGTGATCTCGTCTCAGTGCAAGCCCAATCCCCTCAGAGTGCTGTTGCAATTGTGCCAATTCCGCAGTTGTGCTTGAGAAAACGAAGCTGACCACGTGCTCGTGTGCGTGTTCGCACGACATCGCGTGTGATCATGCGTGATCATATGTGCGTGATCACGAGTGTGTCGGTGTGTGTTTGTGTGCGTGTGCGTGTGCGTCTGTGTGTGTAACCCAGCAGAACAAGTCAAACCAAAAGGCCAACATGCCCGATAGCTCGGTGCCCAAAATGAAAAGGACTGCAATGACGGCGAGGACAAGTCATGTCTGTCACATGTCTCTTGCCACACTTCAATGACCAATAGAGCGAGAGAGAGAGAGAGAGAGAGAGAGAGAGAGAGAGAGATGAGAGAGAGAGATGAGAGAGAGCCCTTCTCCTGGCTGATGCGGGTGATGTCTGCAGATTGCCACCCTGCATCGCGACAATGGGAAGTGTGGGTGCAAGCGATGATGATAAAGGCTGTGAGTCTCCGACTGCACGTCGGCGTGATGGCCTGAGAAATCAGCATTCAGCATCTGGATCGAAGGCAGTTCCTTTCTGAGGACAGATCGCTGCTGTGGAGGGCTGTATGCGGGTCGGAGCCACATTCGCCTGAACAGTGCAAAGCCGCGCAGCTGTTCATGACAGTATAGGTAGTTGTGGATCAAAGTGCTGCAACTTCTCAGCCTGCTAAGAGCCTGCATGCGGTCGCTGGGGAACCCACATAACCAACCACTCTGCGAGCAGCTTTGCAACCTGCTGAGAACGCATTAGGCCGCATTCTTGGGGCTCTTGGGGATCTCTTACCTATGGGCTTCGTTATCGTCAAGGTTCGACGGTTGATACTGATACGCATGACATGTTCGGCAGCATCGGCTGTCGTCTACCTGTTGCGGTTGCGGTGGGAGATGTGGGAAGCGCGGAGGGGGGGGAGGGGGAGGGGAAAAGGGGAGGGAACAGCTCAGGGGCGGTCTGGTCCAAGTTGTGCACTGAGCTGTGTTGGGAGAGTTTTGGGCTTTGTCCAGTCTCGCACGGCCAGTGGATTCTTTGATCGGGCGCCTTTTCCTTAGAGACTAGAACCATCTCAAACCCAGCAGTATGTACCTCTTGGACAAAGCTACATGTGCATGTTAAATCCACAAAGAACTGTCTCATGGCCCCTGGCTTTGTGCAGATGTTGAGCTGCTGCAGGTAGACCTCTTCGTTTCATTTGGGAAGCATTGTGCAAGGTCTTGAAGGGGGGTGGAGAGGGGATCCTGACATGTCCTGAATGTCAGTCAGCTGGCAAATCGTTTACCAAGGCATGGCGCCATACGGAAAACTGTATGGTCTACGCTTCTACGCCGTCTACGCCCAAAACCCCACAATGCATTCACTAGGGCACTATGGGAAGGGAATGGAGGGGACATCATTGACAGTGGCAATCCAAGCAGCGCGTTGGATGGCAATGCCGTGCTAGCAGGGCCTCGGCACAAAGTCCCAGGTGGCCAGGGTTCCCGATGGTTCCCGATGGTTTCCATTGCTGTCACAGTGCTGTCTCTCTTCTTCAGCGAAGTCAAGACAGGCTTTGTTTTGCATCTCGCAGAAGCACAACGGTCAGCTACGAGCACTCCATGTACAGGACTACATGCCTGCATGGGACTGCGTGGCAAGGAGATGGCGGTGATTCTTGAGGCAAGTGTCCAGTCCAGTCAAGTTTACGCCAACACTCGCCCGCAACTTTAGACCTGCCGGTGCAGGAGCAGTACCGGTGGACGCCTGCACATTCAGAATCACTACCGCAGTTCCCAGTGGGAGCAGCCAATCACCGGCCCCACTCATCGATGAGATTGACGAATTTGACGAGTCCTGGAAAGACTCGGACTCCAAACCTGCATCCGACTGGAAAGCCAAGGTATCTTTCGATTCCACATTCTTCGCCAATGCAACAGTGCTTCAGCAGGGAGGGCAGGCGGGAAGTTTGGGAATCACTACCTGTTCCATGGTGACGAACATTTGACTTGCAATTGTACTCAAGCGCCAGTAAAATCATGGGGCATCTGCCTGCTGAGGTATTGCTACAGGGTACCGACGAGGCTGTTGAGTTCTTGTGCCTCTGGTGGAATCAGACCACGATCTCCGAGGCCATTCCACGTGCCCACTGCGCCTCAAGCAAACATTGAGGCGCTCTCTTGTTCTTTGAGTACCTTGTTCTGAGTGTTGTTTGACGGTTGATCCGGATCGACAAAAATTCGACTCTCAGTGCTGTCCGAGCTGCATCACTAGAAGCGCCGACAACTTGATCCTCAATGCCGCCCTCATTTGTTCCACGCCTCGGATCACACACAGGAATGTGATCAATCGCTCTGCCGTGTCTGCTGCCGCAGGCCTGATGCGGAAGAAGCCTTTTTCTGCCCAATATGGGTTCCAGGAGTTTGCTACCTGCCACATGCACAGAGCTTGCAGAGTTCGATGCGAGGGAGGGGAATGAAAAGAGAGCGATCGAGAGCGCGCGGGCCGAAGAGCTAGACGGCATAGTGCGCAAGGCGCCTTCCAGTACTTCACTCCGCTGTCGACGCCCCAACCCACCTTGCACAGAGTGTCAGCACTTGGCGTGGCAAAACCCCGTGCCCATCCTCGATCTTGTTGCATCTTGTTGCTGCCAGTTGCAGCTGTGGCACCATTCGCACGGCATGCCCGCCAGCCATCTCGCCAGTCACGTGGTGGTAAACCCTGACGCAATCACATTGACAAGGACGACTAACTACGCAAACATCTCTTGCAAAGGTGCCCATGGGTGTAAAGCTCGAAGTCCGAGTACACCTGAGGTGAGCAGGAAAGATAAAGAAGGGGCTCATGTAGCACAACTACGGCAACCTGGCTACTTGATGGCTGACCAATGACTCTGGCTTCAGCTCTTGTCTGGCAGCGTTTTACAAATGGAAGATAAGCCCAGAGCCGTGAAGGCAGTCTCCACTGGTCCACCAGTCATGATCATTTGTTGGATGGCCTTTGCAACGCAAAGAATTTGGAAGATGTGACTGGGCAACATGTGCAGTAGATTCAGCAGATGGTGTTTTGGGCCTTCTCTCCAGATGCCGTCTGTGTCTTGCCCTTGTAATAGTACTTGTCCTGTGGTTGAGCGATGTGTGAATGGTCTCTGACGGTCTCTATCTTGATCATGGGCCGCCCAGAAGGCGTCCTCCTTGAAGTTGTTGTGGGGCGCTTTGGCTGCGGCGTCACACTGCGTGGGTCCAGCAGGTGAGTCCTTCGGCTCGCCGCTTTCGAAATGGTGCACTCACACGCACACAGCGTCAACAACACTTGCATGTACCAAGCCGCACATAGGCACACCATGTCCTATGGAAACTAGCAAAGCTGCTTGTTAAAGTTATTCGCAAGTTGCAGTGTCCTCACTTGGGCAGCCAGGCTTGCCCTCAGCCGGGTAAGGGTCCTGTGGCAAATTGTAGCCAAGTCAGAGGTGCTCTTCTGGGAAACCTGTGAAAGACTTCACATGGCGCTTGGGCAGGTTCAGCCATGAATGCTTTGTGGCTTTGTCCCACCCGCAGCTGGACATGTCCACTCGGCAGGGCTGCAGACGCAACAGACGAGTTGAACATCGGAGCAGGTAAAAGGAACAAGCATCTTTGACAACTGAAACGCAATCCTGGCAACGATACCGCCGCTAAGCAAAAATGGTTGGGTCAAGAGGACATACATTACCCGACCTTTCCACAACCGGGACACAGTGAAATGGAGAGTCATTCAAGAAGCATAAGATTGACATCAAAGTCCGCATATTCCCAAGATGTATCTCAATCCCGACCGAGTGGGCCCTCTGGGCGGCACAGGGGCCGCGGGAACGGAGGAACATGCCCTACCAACATGCTTCAGCAAAAGCCATCTTCAACCAAAGATGCACGCCGGCCTTGCCCTGTGGACCATGGTGGTGGCAGTGCGGCAGCGAGAAGTCGCTGCAAAGGCCCGGTCCAAACGGACCGGTTCCTGAACCAATGTGTAGGCTTGGAAGTTTTGTAAGTCCTGGACTCCAAGAAGAGCACTTTTCTGTTTTTTGTCCAGTTGGGCCTTGGTACTGGCCACCGCTGACAGCACCAGTGTCCTGGAGCGTCAGGGCTTGCAAATGTTTTCGAACAGCTTTCCAAACAACGTTTCAGTGTAAACCGCTGGTGTTACATTCGAGAGAGGATTGTCACGGAGCTGCTTGAGGGGTGCCAAGGAATAGGCCAGTCATGATTCCAGCAGTTCCAGCAGTGCCACAATTCAGAAAACGTGCCGGGTGCGAGCAGTGAAACTTGAAACCTTGTAGCTTCCAACAGGTCAGTCAAGGTCAGTATGCCTGTACCCCCAAGGTCCACTTCTGACATTGATGCGTAGCATGGGTGTTATGTAGTGTTACGCCGCTATGCTGTCAAGCTCTCGCAGACGTTGCTCTGCCGTTGCCAAAGCACTCCTTGATGTACTGCCAGGGTGTGTCAATCTGACCGCCATCGCAACCATCAGGGTTGGCATTGAAGCACACGTCCTCTCGACAAAAAAACGAGCGGGAGACTGGCTGGAGTCTAGTTAGCCGTGAAAGTCGACGCAGTCTCTGACACAGTCAGACAAGTCAAGTTTTGAAAAGGGGCTGTGGGGATTTCGCAACATGAGCAGTAAGCAAGCACTGCACAGTCGCACCTTCGCAAAAAGGGGGCCATCAACAAAAAGTCAATGCAAGATTAAGGACATGTGTTGGTCTCATCTGGGGAGGAGTGAGGAGCATAGCCCAAGTACACACAAGGCAAATTAAACTATTTCGAACTTGGTAGATGCTCCACTCCAAAGAAAACGACTTTCATCGGTATGTCTCTAGATCCTCGCCAGCAACAAGACGCCTAACCGCAACCACATAGGCGCAGTGTCCATCCATCGAAAGCGATGCGACTACAATGGGCCAACATGGATCCCTGCAAACCCCAACTGCAGTACTGCAGTAGACGCCGTCAGCATGGGCTCTCCTCACCTCAAGTCTTCCCTCTGGTTCAGAGTGGCAAAACAGTGTGATCACATGCACTTTCCCAGCCGACCGCACCACCAAGCACTCTACAGCATGCCTGCTGCGCGTGCGGCGAAATCTTGTCTGACTTCTTTTTCGTGATAAACTAGAATGGAAGGTTGATCGACAAGCCAATAAGGGAGACTTCAGATCTTGCAGGCCTGCGCCGAAATCGGGATCATTGTCTTGCCCTTTGTTGCAATGCACATGCCTCGGGGGCTCGCGCCACTTGCAAAAGTCTTGCAAACGTCGTATTTTCGTGGGGACTCTCACAGCATGTGTGTAGGCTTCCAGACGGTCAGCCAAGAGACGATCAGAGGCAGCTTCTGCTCCAGCAAATGCCCAGCAGCAGCCTGACGTGGTACTGTCGACATGCAAGTCATGCGAGGTGCTCTTGTCGCTGAGAAACACAGGGCATGGGGGGTTCTGTGCTTATACTATGCTTAGGCTGGGCAGTTGTTTGCGATGCGACATGCGCCCTTCACCAGGTGAACAGAATGGAGTGACTGTGAACAACATAGGGCAGGGAAGCTTGAGAGTAGCAGCGTGCAACGTTCTTGCTGCTCGGTGATGCAGCTTCGTGGGGAAGATGGACATTGACAGCTGCTAAAGAATGCAACGCTATAGCTGATCCATCAGGCATTTTGCAAGCACCCAGCAGTGTTCTCCAAATTGCTCTTTGCGGTTTGGACGAGATGCCGCAGTTGGACTGGTCGCGGATGTCCTTCGATGCAGTGCATCTGCTCGATGTGCAGCTGCTCTCATCGACGTTAAACTTTAAGCCCTTGCAAGCTGCTTGCAAGCAAAAGATATGTGCCGGACGTTGATGATCTTCGCACAATCCGGCCACTGCTCCGCTGAATCGAATGCCTGCGCCGCCGAAGTTGCTTGCACATACGATATCACGCGCCTCGATCGAGCTGTATAATGCCAATTCATGCTATATACACCAGCTGAGCCATTCGTCTCCTTTTCCATTCTCTGCTTCCCCTTAGCCTGGCCTCCGCAACTTCCTTTACAATACTTAGACACCATCCAAGTAACCTAGATATGTGAACAAAAGCTGCTGCAAAGTATTGTAGAGTTGTCGACATCCTGGAACAGAAGCCCTGCCGGTGTTCAACTTTTCAAGACGCCTCTGGGATGTCTCCATCAATCTCCGCAACGAAGCGCTCAATCTCTCCACGCTTGACTGCCGACTCGATAGACTTCGTCATGTTGCCTGCCGGTGCGAGCTTGAACAGCTTGAACCCATGCACGTTTCCAAGAAACATGCGTACTCATCTGGACGTACATTGACAACGCCGTTCGAAACTACGAGCTCAGCGGGCATGCTCGAGTTGACCCTACTTTCCTCATCGCTGCTTCCGTGCTTCACTGATGGAATTTCGGGGTCAAACATTGTCAAAACGGGGCAAGGACTTACAGAACTTACAGAGGACCTACATGAGAGTGCTGAGGTGCCTTACCTTTAGCAATGGCCTCGCAGCCTCAACGGTCAACATTGAAAAGTCGAGGTTGCCTAGCCTGGCAAACAACTCTCCTATCTAGCCTATCCATCGCAATCACTGTAGCTGTAGGCGCTTCTAGCGTACTCACTCTCCTTCCCTGCCTTTCACACCACAAAGGCGCTTGGAGGCTCCGGGCGGTTCCATGGCAAAACGCTCGACGGCACCAGGGGTCCAAGTAACTCCTGCGGCAGTGATTTGATGAGTATTTCTTGTCTCTGACACATGACCCGATGCTTGAAGGTGCAAGACATGCAGCTGATCAGTACAAGTTGCAGGCAGTGACGTGCGATTCAAGCAAGCCTGGTGCACGCTCGATCTCTGCAATCATCGCTGCCCGATCGGGGTGCACCTGCGAAGCGCAACCGGGCCCTCGGCACAGCCCGACACACTTCCAGGCCTCTGGAAGCTAAGTACTGAGAGGTCCCTGTACAACTTGTCGGACCAAATATCGTAAACAATCGTGCGCACTTGTGCTTTACCAACAGATTTGACACGGCATTGTGCTTTGGAGGCTTTGAAGTGCAGCAATGTCGTGGTCACGACACCCCCTGTGATGCCAGAAGTCACACCACACGCCCGTGAAGGCGTACCCGGTACGACTTGAAACTTCACGTGAATAAAACCAGTTCGATGTCCTTCCCCATGTTGGCAGGGCTGATCACGGCATATGCTGCTTCCCAATCATTCACGCGCACGGGGTCAAGTTAAACTGCTTAGGCCAAAGCCAAAGAAGGCGGACAGCACTTCACGCAAGACATCAATCGCAGTGATCAAGGTCAGGCTAGCGACCAGCCACTTTTGCAAACGACTGTTGGCTAAAGTTTGCCTAAGGTTTCCGAATGTCCGTAACAAAGATCTAATCATCACAAAGTTATGCACATGCGAAGGCCCAGTCCTTCACTATCGAAAGACCTACCAGTACCATGTGAACCGGCAAATATTATTATCCAGTGGTCCACTGCGAATGGTGGATTTGCATGCGAATCCCTTGTCGTTCGCTGGCTCACTGCCAATTTCGGCAGTGGCACTCAACCCACATCCAGGGGCCAACAAGACAAACACATCCTGAAACATAGCGATCATAGCGGGAAAACTAAACTCATGTAAGAATCGTTGCCGTGTAAACCCTGAAGCGAATTCTCAATGCTTCGTGGCCACCATGCGACCTTACGCAAAGAATCCACCTCTTGGTACTCGTACAGTACCGACAACTTGGTGCGCGCCTCAGGCCTGTAAGTTTTGCAGCTCCTTCGTAAAACCAAACAAAACGGAAAACTAAATGAATTTAAGGGACCGCTGCTGCAGCCATGAAGGATCCTGACTTTCACACACTTTTGAGGTCCCATAGATGAGATGGTCGCTTCGTTTGGATGTAGGCTCAGAATCCTTAAAAAACTCCGTACCATCCAAGCGTGCTCAAGGGCGAGGCGCACGGACTAACTGCATCCCAGAGTTTTAGGTTTGATTCGCCTTGGCCTCCGGCCGAGAGACGTCTGAAACAAGCAGACCAGCTCAACCCTACCCCCAGACCCAAATTGGGGGGCTACAATCCGATGCTATGTGGGGTGGGGGGTGGGTGCCATTTCCAATCGTGAAAAAGGGCGACCCTGCAATTCTCCGGAAAGTCATGAAACGCCACACTTCCCTGAGACTTTGAATCCTACGGCACAGAGGCGTGCCCGGCCCTTACTGCTAGTCAGGTAAACAAAGCTTCAGGGGTCTTCCAGCAAGCCCGTACTTTAGACGTCTCCCCATGCTCACTCACGCTCGCGGTCGCTTCCCATATCTGCTATACATATCTGCAGCTGCTGCAGATGCTCACATACCGCTCCGAACAGCCTTCCGAGTGGAGGCTTCTCACGGAACCATCTTCGCAATTTCTCAACCAGAATCCCGTTGACATGTCAACAAGCAAGTAACCACACAGACGCAAAGCACATAACATTAGGGTCATTAGGGCCTCCAGCAAGTTAAACTTGAAGAGGCATGGAAGTGCTGGAACGTGCCTGTTTTCTTGGCCTGGAAGACCCCAGACATAGTAATACGGAAGCACTGTGCGCTTCCAGAGGCCTGACATTGCTGAGACCTCAAGTGCCTGAGCAGCGTTCTAGCCTCTAAGCATCTCTAAGCCCTTGTTCTTATTTTGCTGAGCTCCCCGAAATTGCTCTTGCGCCTAGGCCCAATTTTTCAGCGCATTTCCACATTGAATCCTTCGATCTTGGGAAACCATTGGACGCTCATGTCGACGGTCCAAGCGGCACATTTTGGAGTTGCCAGTCCACACGGTCGGGCTGCAGGCAAGACAGAAGAGTGTTTGCTTAAGAAAAAGATGTGGGGGCTGCAACTCAACACTTTTGCTTTTTGCTGACATGCCACGCTCTGTTAATTTGCACTGCCATTCGGACAGAAGGATTCGGCCTCCAACGAGGCCACCCCCATGAAGCCCAAGCCGAAGTGCAAAGCCCGGTACATGGCACCTGAGCTCAAGCCACAAGTGCTTGCCTGACTTCTGAACCCCTCCTAAAAGTATAACGTTTAGAGGCTCTTTATTGTGGCTTCTACAAACCCAAAAGGCCGAAGAGCTAGCCAGAAGAAAGCCAAGAGTGAACTGCACATCCTGACCGCCACTGCACATTGACATCGAGGCTTGCTCAGGCCGATGCGAATCGACGGGGCCACAAAGAAAGAGGTGCTACCTTTGAACCAGAGCCTGTAAATCGCTGCGCGCCAAAGAGGTGGCAAGTCACCATGCAGCTCTAAGCCTAAGCAAAAGCATGCTCGCAGTGAATGCGCGAAAAATGGTAAACCATGAGATGCTCTGCGGCTCCGTGCATGCATCATATTGCAGGGCTCCGCGCTTGCCATCCTCCACTGGGTGGGTGATCCTTGTGTGCCCGTCGTGGGGAAACCAAGGAAGGGCTTCAGGTAAGCAAGCGCAGTGCCTGAATGTGTGAAGGCACGGATGCATTGAAACAACGAAATCTAGCCAGAGCTGTGTGAAAGAGTCAGCCCCGGTGGTCGTGTGTCCTTTGCGCGTGTCCGTTGCCGTCACCTACCAGTGGCAAAGCAGCGGTCTGGCTTCTGCGGAACTTTGGAACAGCAGGCGACGCATCCAAGCGATTCTGTCTGCTGCTGGCAACCCATCCACCTCTATCCTCGTGAAGGTGTGGGGATTGTGACCATTGTGGACGAGCCTCAGTTGAAAGCTGACATCTTTTCAGCAGGCGCAACTACATCTGGCCGAGGTCCCAAACGTCACATCGCGTGGCAGGCGAGCTTCTGGCGCAGCCTTGGACTCCTGGAATTCTGCAAACGACAATCAAATGTGCACTGAAGGAAAAGCTGCAGCAGGAGCTGTCCTCTGCCACAACTGGTTTGGTGCACATTGACGGCGGATTCGAACCACCTTTAACCAGCAGCGAACACTAGATTCAAAGGGCGGCTCTGCGCACTGCGAAGAATGCGAAGAATGCGAAGAATGCGAAGAATGCGAAGATCTGCGGATGAGGTTTGCCAGCAGAAGCCTGTTTACTTCAAATGCAGGTCTTGTGAGGCTTGTGCGCGCCATGTGGACCGCTCTTGTTCTTGACATGCACACCCTTGCAAAGCACACACGCCTGTACGACGCCAAAAGAATGGCGGCGCGGCCTGTCGCCCCAAGACAAGAGCCCTTACTGCTGCATAGATTGCCATTCACGGGAGCTGCCTGATGTTGATAGACAAGAGATTGCAGTTGACGCAGTGCCGATCTTCATTCTCACATGCTCCCTGGCAGCCCACCTGTATCGGTACCGCGTGTGGGCCATGTGGGGAACCTGATGAGACGTAAGGGAAGCTGTCTTCTGCGGCAACCTGCCTGATTTACAAACTTGTGAAAAATCGAATGATGTCGTTTGGCCTTGCTCGCATGAAAGTCTCCGAAACTACAAGCGAAGCACCGCAAAGAATGAAACGATGCACAGGACGCTTTGAAAGCCAATAAGCAAGAGCTCGCACATGCGAGCCCTTCCCGGGCCTGTGGATAGCTCTGTGCGGCCTCAACCACGGAGCCACAGTCACAAGGATGGCAAGAATTCTTTGACAGCTCCCTGAGCTTTGATAGCCCACCCTCAGTCAGGCCCCAATATGCTGCAACGATTGTGAATAGCAGAGTATGCTGGCAAATCACAGTATATTGTAGTAGATTAGTGGCTTATACTGCTGGGCCTTCGTCGAAGCAGCTTTGTTCAGGATCTTCAACTTTCCTTGGTGAGCCTCAGCACGTAGTGCACGTAACCCTTGCAACCGCCATTGCAATGAAGGAGCTGCCGGTACTCTGAGAGCTCTGAGAGCACAGCTTGGTGAGATGGTCAGCTGACTCACAGGGGTGCAACAGTCCTACCCAAGAAGGAAACTTGCCAAGGTCCCTTCAATGTGGCCAGCTGTGGTGCTGCGCATCCTGGTTCTCAACGGTGGTGAGAGAGTGGCTGCCTCACCATGGCTCCAGAATGCTCCGCATGCAGTAGAGGGAAATTGCATCGGCAGATCATCGGCAAGCCGCAGCGGCACTTCTCTGGCTCTGTTCACCATTTCGGTACTTTGGCTTGTGAGACGAGGGGCTTTCTGAGAAGCAGAACAAATGCAATCAGCCTGCTGAATGCATTGACAGCACCTGTGTGCTGTAACACGTGAAACAGCTTGTATGTCATGATTATGCCATCTTTCGTGCTTTATGCTGGGCACCAATAGCTCAAATGATCAGGACGCATTTGAACGCTCTGCAAGATGTCGGCGTCCAACTTTGGCATGCTCAGGGATGATGTTGTTCGAGCAGAGGTTTTGCGGGCGCATGCGACGCCGGAGCCTTTATCTTCCTCAGCCCATGCCTTGCATAACGTCTGCAGATGCAAAACTCCGTGGTCCGTGGGCACAAGCGTGGAGGGCAATCTGCGACGAGCCGCATCAATAACCTTTTGCTCCCAATTCCCAGTGATTGTACCCGGGCCAAAGGGTTCGTCGCTTCGGTGACGGAGTTCAGCCCAGCCCGTCCAGTCAATACGCAAGCAACCAGGTTCCCCGGTGGGGGCAAAGGTGCCCTCCGCTATCTCCCAGCAGCATGTGCAGCTGTAGTCACCTGGAGACTACGCTGGGCGAGGTGGGCGAAGCTCTAGAAGCTACAATACATGGACGCAAAGTTCCACAATCTGCTTAGCCAAAGTTGGTTTGCTCTTAGTTGCTAGGGAGACGGCTTATATTTTCCGCTACTGTATAATCCTGTATACTTGGCTAGAATTGCAAGTTTCCGCTTGCGCGAAGTCACCGCTGTGCTCCATGTAGTCGCTCTCGTAGTGGTATTTGGCCAAAATTCGCCCATCCGGAAGCAAAAGCACGTGCTTTGTCGACTCCGTGCCCCCAAAGCCGCCTCCGCTGAATCTTTGCTTGTCCTCCTGCAAAGGATGCAAGCACGGGTCTGCGAATCCATGCAGCTATTTGAAGAGAGAGGCTGTTTGCAATCATCTGTCTTTTGCATGTCCTTCGCCAAGTTAAGGCAGCACTTCATGTCATGGAAGCCCGACGGCGCATCCTCTCACACATCTTTTTTGAGAGTGTTCTCAAATGATGACAAACGCTGCATGCTTGGCACTCTCACAGTGAGCTTGCGTGTAACCTAGATCAAGCACGGGTGCTTGCTCTCTTGTCTTTTGACTACTAGGATCCTCCCAAACTGGTTCCGAACCTAGTCATGCCTGACAAAAGTGCCGCCCAAGAAGTATGCCCGAACATGCACCGAACCGGCAAGAAACGCAGGCGTCCTGAATGGCGCCAAAGTCCCTGAGCACATCGATGGTGTCAGCCTCGAGGCCGGCCAACAAGCCTGCATCCACCCGAACGAGCGTCAGGCTCAGCGCACCTCATCTCAGCATATCTCAGCCGGATGTTGAGCTTAGGGCTTAGTTGCTTTCGGAAAAGAAAACTGCTGTGCCCTGAACCAGTTTCGAGCTTCAGCCTGGGCTCCATCGCCAGCGCAAAGCTCAGCTGACAGATCCAAAGGCTCCTCATGACTGTTGTTGCAAAGTATCGGTTGGAATTGCGCTTAACAAGGCCCTCGCCCAGGGGTGTTAGGGTTCGAAGGCGTGATCTTCAGTCTTCAATACACGCCTTGCGCAGCGTTCCATTCCAGCACGACCTGGGGGTGTACAACCGTACAACCTCAGGAACTTATCATCCACAGACCATCCTGGCTTTTGCTCCCACCTCGCACGTATTCCACGGCTCATGCTGGTGACATTTCCGGCCCAACAGACAGGTGCGCGGAGACTTCAGGTTGGGCTGGGCCGCAAGCGAAAAGACTCCAATGAGTGGTGCACAGCACCCGACAGCACTCGACAGTGCTTTTCTCAGCCGTCAACACCCTACTGGCCCATTGTTCACACAGCATCTTTTGCAAAACAGGTTTGAACTTTCAGGTTCGAGGTATCGCTCAAAGAATCTGATATTGCCCGGGCTCGCTGTCTCTAAGGAGCTTGTCGAAGCGCGTAGTTCCAGGAATCCTCTCAATGATCCTTTGCTGACCGAATCTTTCTGGACTTCTTAATGTACAATTATTGCCCCCTCCTCTCTCCCGAACCAAGCTGTCGACTAGAGCGTTCTCTCTGTGCGGTTCAGCCTCTGTTGCCCAGTCACCGGCTCGGGAATGTCAGTTTCTTCAATCAGCCTCAGGAGCTGGCCAAATTCAAATTTCTGGCCGTCATACTTGGCATAAGAAAACATGTACAGATGCTATCGTAAAACTTCCATGATGCTGCAAGGAATCGTTTCGCCAGCAAGGCTCGTCACGGCAATGACAACCATGGCTGACCAGACTTCACAAAGTCTTGTGGCATTGAGCACTTCGCAGCTTCAGTGCTTCGGAATTGGACAAAGAAGAAGAATCCCGGCTTTACAACTGGCACCAGCAACCTGCATCCACTCTGGGTCCCATTGCCTTGCGGCATAACTTCCACTGTGCGGCTGCTCGCATGGCTCAGGGCATCATCATCCCCACCTTAAGCAGATAGGCAAATGGTGCAGCAGCGCAGCATTCGTACAGCATTCCCAAGATATCCCAACACCGGGTTCGCACCGCAAACAGGCGCGTCCTGCTTGTCCACAGTTCTCACCTCAAGGAGATTGGTCTGTGAGAGTCTGTGCGCTGGGAAACTCAATCAGCTGTGCGAGGCGTGAAAAGAGTCAAGCGAATTGCCCAACTGTCCAGCCTCTGCATCTGGCGGGTACACCACGCACCAAGCAGAGGTTTGATTTCTCTCCTGCAAGCTCTCCAACCACAAGTCTTTCTTGACATCTCAACCGCAAAGGCAGGTATGGCAGGATGCTTTCTAAAAGTCTAAACGACTGTGAAAACCTCAACATGTCCCGAAGCAGTCTCGCCTTCAGGGCTGTCTGATCCGTCCACAGCCTGCGAAACTTTGCAAGGTCTTGTACACCGACACCGCTTGCTGCTCTCAAAGCAAACAGAAACTCTTCGTGACCGAGTTGGCCGCGCAAGGTCCATCTCAGATAAGCAGCCAGCCTGACAAGGGCCAATGCGGTTGCACGAAGATTTGGAAACGGACTGATAGTGCAATTGCCGCAGCTGGCCAAAGCTTTGAGCGTGTACTAAACTGAATACTGCTTGGGCTTGTTCGGCCAGAACCACAAAACAAAGGAACTGCTCACAGGCTCTCCTTGTCTGCGCTCGGGGGCATCGACATGCTGCGCACTGCTGAAGATTGATGGCTACATTCGGCTGGGGGGAGTGCGAAATACGTATACCATACTGTACTATATTATATTATATACCTATATATATGTATACATATATATATATATATATCTATGCATATGCGAGCACTGTGTGGGTTCCCCTTTATTGCTCCAATGTTGGGCGCGTGAAAAGCTTTCTGCCACAAGCTACTGCGCGTGTGCGTGGTTACGGGCATGGGAAGGCAACAGGCTAGTGAGTAGCTGCTAAGGGAATCCTGCTGATGCATGCCTGTCCGATCATGGGCCTCGTGCACAGAGTGGGCGCAAGCCGCTTTCACGCCAAAGTAGTCAATGACACAGGGAGCGCACGAATGCATGCAACCAAAACCACGGCAACTCCGAAATGTGGATTCGTGCTACTGGGATACCAAGTTACGCTGATTACACGCTGATTACGCAAAACAGCAGATCCATCAGATGCATCATGGATTGTGGGTGTGGCCTCGAAGACGAGTTTGGACTGAAGGAGCCTGAAGGGCCTGAAGGCTATAGGGCCGATTTTTGTTGCAGCCTGTAGGGCTCAAGGCCTGTGGCTTCAGTGGGTTTGGAAGCTTAAAAAGTTTAGCATGGCTTATAAGGTCAAGTTTAAGGCTCAAGGCCTCTAGACTGCAGGTGGTGTTTGTGCAAGAGAGGAGGTGAAACCTTTAGGACTGCGTGCTGGTAGTTCACCGCGCGCATCAGCCCAGAAGAGGATGCCAAAGATAGTGGATGCCCAGAAATTTAGACCGCAGGTAACTGCCCACCCCTCCCTCCACCCCGGCCACTGTGGGCTTCCCTTACACCCCATCTGTCTGCACGCAATTAAATTATAGCTGCCCCGCCCTCCCTCAGTTGTGCCTACCCCCAACCCCCCTAACCCCTACCACTCGTTTAGGCGGTGCGGGTACATATTTCGCAGCGTTAGGCTAGGGGGTTCGCGAAATAGATCAGCAGTGAGCAGCATGAATAGGCAACTAAGAGTAGCGTGAATCAACTGGGTAGAAACTGTCTAATTGAGTGTGAATCCCCAAAATAGTAGCATGTAGAATCCGGAACTGCTGGTAGCTGCGTGAAGTGAGCATCTCTCGTAATCAAGCCATTGGGCTCGACTCTGTCTGTTTTGGCGCTTCTCACATGCAAGCTGAGATGCGGCCACTGATGGCTCACATCGGCGTCTCTTCGGATAAAGACATGAAACAAAAGCGCCGCGTGCCTACTCGTCCAAATCTCGTCCCAACAGACCCCAGAGGTTGGTGAAGAGGTCAAGTCAAAGGATGAACTGCTTGATACATTGCTCGGGCCTCAGATTCACGTTTGGTACGCGACGAGGATGTCGACTTCACCGGGGCTATCTACGAGCACAGGCGGACTTTGCCTCCTGATTATGCCGGCCGTGTGTTGCTGGTAGCGCATCTTTCATGTGGAAGCCAGCCGGTCAACCACAATTACAATTGAAGGGCTGCTTGTGCAAGGATATCCAAGGGCAATGCCGAGATTGACTCAGCTGAACGATGCGCCCAGCCGAATCAAAAATGAATTCGGTGAACTCAGCTGTCACTGTCGTTCCAAGGCTGAGCTCAGCATATGTGCAATAACTGTTACAAGAACTGGCAATCACGGCAGATCAGGGGCAGATGGCTGCTAAAACCTCACAGTTTCAACGTGACAACGTAGAAGTCATCTCAAAAGGCATGACGCTGGCATGAGCCGAAGTCTGACCCAGCACTACGCAAACTCCAAGTCAAAGACGGACGCAAACTAAGCATTCATCCCTCAGGTTGAAATATTTACTCAACATCTGACATGACACACTCAGCTAGTCAAAGATGACACATATGACACTATGCCTGTGTTTCCCTGGGCATGCTGCACCGACCTCATTTGGACAGATCTGCATGGAGCCGATGGTGTGCCTTGCAAGCCCACTGTTGGGCTGTGCTATTTTCACTTGCTGGATTGTTGTATATCAGCCTCCAGCAGATGTACTTGCTGCATGACTCTCAACATGCCATGATGTGCTGCCAGCTCGCCTCTGACGGAACACACACCTCCCAGCCCATCAGGCTGTGGGCTCCACCTCCGCAACATGAACTACCGCCCGTGCCTGTGCCCTCCTGGGACGCACTTTGGGGCAGTTACGACTTGAGTTGGGCAGTTGCGACACAGTCCAAGCCGTGACTACGCATTTGGTCTGAGCTGGCGGGCGCAAGGCTCGGCGGTTCTCGTGAACGCGTTCGTCTCCTTTGTCAATTGCAGCTGCTGTGAAAGGACTACCCGTGCTCAAACTACTGCATAGAGTCTACAAACAAACCGAAAGACCTAAGTGCTAGGGACTAACTAAATATCACGGGCACTTGGGCGACACGTAGACTATCTGAGCGAGCTGCAAGTTGTGAATATTGACTTTGACCGATGACATTCTCTTTGTGCTGCACCCCTTAAAGCAATTTGCTTGCTCGTCATGTCAGAATCACTGGGCTCACTGCTCGCCGCGCGTCATTTGGACTGGCAGCCAGTTGCTTGAAACAGCGCTGGAACACCCGACGAGGTAATAAACAGCAGGCTGCAAAGCCGAGGTCCTGGGCCAGAGTGGCCAGACGCATAGCCCATGGGCCTCGGCGACTAATTTCAAGACCAACTGGGGCCACTGGAATCTAAAATCTGGGTATGCGTCGCTCACAACTGATCTGACACGCCCAACATCTCGGGCAACATGGGGTATGGGAGGTGCAACTCGGCACATGGCTCGCTTGATTTCAAGTAACTGATGTGTAGATCCGACCCAGATACACTCACTTGCGTTCACCAAGTGCGAAGCGAGAGGGAGCGGCGATCTGACGGTGTCCTTGCAAGTTTCGAACATGTTGTAACTTAAAATCCAGGACATTGATTGCGTGACTGCAGCCGAGGTGTTGTTCGTGGTGCCCAAGCTTTGATCTTGCGGGCATGTGGGCACTGATCCAGAAGAAAGTCGAGGCGTGCGCGGTGCTTGTGAGCCTGTGCGAGACGGCCTCAGGCGGAGTAGTTGATCCACAGCATATTGTTCGTTTTGATTCACACCTTGACTCAGTGGGCGAAGCACGTTGCGCAACACAAAGGCAATTCAACATGGCTTGGCTGAGGCTAGTGCACCCACTGTCGATTTGGCGGTGGCATCTCGGAGTGCGCTGCGTTAGGCAATGTTTGGCAGCAAGATCAGAAATTACAGGACTGTCTCCTGAACTGTAACGTACTGCAACACAGTAGCCGAGCCAGTCCGCGAGCCACAGGCACCAGTGGTGGCCAAGGGTCCTCAGCTCTTGCCGCCAGCATCCGCCAGCAAAAAGCAGCTGAGAAAAGCCCGCAATCCAAGCGGAATCCCCAAGTGCCAGGCTGACCAGCCCGTGACGGCCACCGCTCCTTGCCAGAAGTGCCAGAAGTCGGCGGGCCTTCCAAGCGAAGCCGCTCACATGACGATGCATGATGCAGATGGAGCAGGAAACGCCAGCGCCACCGCACACGCGGTGCTTACTGCGTTCCACACCACTACCACCCCATGATCTTCTACCCTTTGCCTGCAGTGTAGTTAGGTCGAGGTCACAAATACCACGAAGCTGCTGGACAGCCGTGGTGTACGGTGGCCTCGGCACAAGAATGAAACGGCTCTATGCTAGAGGCCCAGACCTGCATCTGCTCAGGTCTTGCTGTTCTTCAGTGCCCTGAAAATGCAGGCCAAAGCTCAAGGCATTACCCCGTGCTGACCATGACAGCATAAAGCAACGTAGAGACACGAAGTAGCCGGGTCGAAGCCCCATTGCATCTTTATGGTTTGCCGCGCAAAACCAGTATGTTCAGTTCAAGATGTGGGTTTACGACAATAAGGGACCTTTAAGATGTGTGCAGAATGCACCAATGACTGCAAGCACTCATGTACACCTGTACCAGATTGTACAAGGTTCTTGACTGTTCTTGATCTTGAGGTTTTAACAGCAGGGTTCAGGTCCAGGTCCTGAGAGTATCGGGTTCTAGTGATTCGTGCTGTTAGGGCTATGTGTCACACAAAGCCGAATGATTTCATTTCCAGCCTCATAACTCCTGCCAAGCTAAGCACGTCTGCGGCGCATCCATCCAAGCAATCAAAACGTGCCAACAGCACAGTCACGTGCTTTGCACAGAAAGGTGCTGCTGGCAAAGGCCGCAGCATGTCCTCACCATCTACTGCATGAGACTCATGTTGTCAAGTTCAGCTGGGGTCTGTGAGACATGCGCGGGACCTTAGCCTGGAAACCGCCAGCAGGGTTTGGAACTGTCTTTGCAAAGCACTGAGTCTGCAAAGTGCCCAGGCGCAAACCAAGGCTTCACTCGTACACGCTGAAAATCCGCAGGGCAGCTCCCCAACTGGGCGCTGCATGGTGTTTTGAAATGTGTTTTGAAATGTGCTGACTGCCGATTAGTTGCGGTCACCCTTATCGTAGCTCTGGCTTCATTCCTCCCCTGTGCCTCGGCGACCCTACATTGTGTCAAGCTGTTGGTGCCAACACTAATCAGCATGGGCCATTCTTGCGTGGCATCAAAAAATTAGCAAGTGTTCGCTCAAGTGCCACGGCACATGGACAACAAGAAGGCCATCTGTCGCCTCCTGTAAGTTTCTGGGTCCATGATTGTGACACGCTCGGTGTGCCTGGGATGAAGGCACGTGCGTTTCAAAGCACTCTCTGTGCGCTTCCGCACGTCCCAGTGAACCAAGAAATCAATGATCCCCATCCTGGACAGCTGCAAGGACCTGGCCGCTGCGGCTGTGTCCGGCATGTTGGCTCAGTAAGGGCGTAGACTGCTACAATGACAAGCTTGTGTAAACCTGAACCCTGCCCCTCAGCCCGATCCCCAACCACACAACCCGAATTTCCCTACGGACCTAACGCTGGCTCAACCCCAGAGTGACTAATTTATTAGTTGCCCCTGGAGCCATGCCTCTAGACCCGAAAGCCGACAAAAGCTGGGTCCCCTGAAGTCCTTAAACTCCCCTTTTATCCGCCTGAACTCCCCTGCAGTACAAACCGTCCTGCCTGTGAAGAAGCAGCAGAAGCCCATTGCCAGTCAGCACATACTCACCGCGAAACCCTTGTCTCCCTTGATCCTCAAACCCCTTCGACCTTCAATTGCCTTCAATCCCAATGCTTGAAAGCCCTTGTCAGAAGCAGGTATCTCGCCATTATCACCGAGTTAGTTGCCGTCTAAGTCAAAGGTGAGGCGCAGGTGGCGTCCCGGAGTGTCAGGAGAGGTGCCGGAAAGATCTATCGTTCAGAGGCATTTAGCAATTAGCAATCTGGGCTTGTGTACGAAAAGCCAAAAAAAACGAACAAAGGAGCTCAGACCGAGAGGCCCAGTGGACTTCTCCCGCTGCAGGTTCATGCCGTTGGGCAGGCTTGTGTTTGCCAGATCATTGCCTCATGACAAGCGGAAGTAAAAAATGATGGGCTTTGCATCGCCGCACGCTTTACAGAAATTCTGGGTCTGAAAAACAGGTAGTTGCCAGTTGGGAGCTTTCAAACATTCCCGTGGGCAGGATCGTGTGGGACAAGTTGCCAAGCTCATCCGGAAGCTGCCAAACGGAAAGCAGCACAGAATAGTCGACAAGACCCAACCTTATTTTTGCTCTTGGGATCTATTGAGTCAGGCTATTGGTAGTGAAGGGTGGGCAACGGGGGTGGGCAAATAGGCAGGCAAATAGCTACAGCCGGTGGGGCTTTTGACACCTTTGCATACGCAAAGTTGAAAATTGGCCAGGTCTTTGCCGGCCATCCCTATAGTTTGACCAGGCAGCGAGGCAAGAAATGACAAATCCTCTTCGAAGGTGTGCTGCCAAGTGCTGCCAGAGCATGGAAAACCCGAGGGGAAGCTGCTGCGGAAACCACCGTCCTGAAACCTGCCCAGCAGATGGAGATGAGCTTTGGCTGTCTCTGGCTCTTGTCCCGATACGATGTGAGGTGCTCGTGCGCGCGGTTTTTGCGCTCAGGATCGGGCACGTGCGGCACGGTCATCTGTGCATGGTCAGCACGTAAACATATGCAAACGTCACGTCGAGAGATGTAACCATGCCAACAAGCAGGCGCAAGATATCAAAAACAAGCCGCAGCTGAGAGCTTCAACTTCAACAGTCAATCACCAACAGCAACAACAATGACAGCGCATGTTGATGCAAGCGTGCTGCATGTACCACCATATGATTCTGCCAAATGCAGTCTCAACCTCCAGGCATTGCATGTTGCCTGCCCGAACTTTGGTTTCGATTACTGGGAGGGTTCCTTTGACCCGAATGCCGCATCGTGATGTCCTGGGCCCCTCGTGGTGTTCAGCACGCGTGCTCACGTAAAGATCATGCAGGTTGAACCGACTGTAAGCGATGGGATGTGTTGACATGCTGTTTTGTCCACAGGAGCTGGCGTTAGCCTCGTAGCTCGCAAGAAGGCGATTTTGCTCCAGACCGGTTCCAACGGCTTTTACATGCTTTAACGAAGGGATCAAAGGGCAGCTGTGGAAAATGTCCTGCCATGGGAATAAAAAGTTGCTAGGTGCTTTCAAGATTCTCAGACTTGATGTCGAAAACGCACGGTGCACAAGCTTCCGCAACTTCTGGATGACGGTCCTAAGAGCAACTTGAGCTTGGCCACTGCATGAGACATAGAGTTACAACCAATTTGAACCATGTCTACCTTTAAGTTGAGATCCCCGGACTCCCCCGACAGCATCAGATAGAAACAGTCGGATCAACCTCTGTTATCAAGGTGTGTCTTCAGAAGGCATGGGTCCGATATACTTGCAGGTAAGCCAGTCAGGCAGTCCATGAGAACTGCATGAAGAAAGTAGCCCAAGGAGTTCTTGAAGCTGAAGCAGCCATAGATCCGACACAACATGGAGTTTGCATTCTGTTCCAAGTGTTTGCGGTATGGCCCAAGCATGGCCCGCAGCTGTTTAACTTCGGATCGCGAGATCGTCTTCAAGACGAAGGTAGTGCTGTCTGCCGACAGCAGCAGGGAGCAGCCACTTTTGGCAGCCCTGCGAAGATCACTAACATTGGTGCGCAAGAGCTCTGCCAGAAGCTTCTGCCCATCCAGCGAACAAAGCCGACGTAAATATGCAAAGGAGCGCGGGGCAATCACGGTGAGGGTAGTGTCGGAGCTTCCAGTAATGGTCCAATCCCACTGCATTTCGGGGTTGTCATCGAGACACGCTGAAGAACGCAGGATCGCAGTCTGCGCTTCTGCTGCCTGCTTCAGGTCCAATCCCTGGCCTAAGAGCCGCAGCTGCTGTCCTAATTGAAGCTCCTCATCACGTAAATACTGTATCAGCTGCTCCAGCAACCCTGAGAAGTCCAGGAGCCTATAACCTTCGGCCCCCTGGATTGAACCGCTCATTGTGTGATGAATGCGTGAGCTGGTGCTGGAATGGTGGCGCATGGTCAGCCGGCTTGGGGATGCCATCTCCGTGCTCTCGGTTGCAAGAGATTCCCTCAAAGGGCTCGGCTCTTCTTGTCTCCACAAGGCGACCAAGCGATCCAGGCCCAAGAAAAGACCCAGTCCTGCAAAAACGACGGACGTGAGATAGCTGATGGAATCTTCTTTGCAATCCCGAGTGGTGTCGATGAGAATGAGGATGCTGCACATGACCAAGCTCGCAAAGTGGAGCCACTGCTTACGTAAATACCGCCTGACTGCCTGCAACAAGTTCTGACCTTCTTGGGAGCGCCGTGCGGCTGTTCCCAACAGCTGCCCAGCAGTCACATAGCGGAAGGCCATAATCGCAAACGCGACTCCAATCACCTAAGCCCACAAGAAGATTTCAAAGCTAGACTGCGGGGTGATGCGAGGTGGTGACGCTACCTCGTGGGGATGCTCCCACAACCAACTTATTGTGCCTCCAGGCGAGCATGTTGCAACTGGGCATCCCGCTGCAAACCCAACAATCTGGAACCTTAGTTTCATCTGTCATTTCGTTCTTCGTTCTTGCTCGAACGTGGGGAAGAGTTCGTGGCTCTCGCGGTCTGCCCTTTCCTTCCATTTCCTTCCCGGGTCCTAGACATGAACAAGCAGCTGGCTACCTAGCCATTTCACGCTTTCATGGATTCCTCCGCGCGAGTGCGGCCTTCACGCGACCACGTGTTCTGAACCAAGACCGTGCAGAAGTGTCCGGAAAAGCACGTGCCAGGCAGGAGAGAGAGTAGCTAAATGTAGCTAAAGATGCTGGACATGCCTCGAAGCGGCGCGCTGCTGACACATTACAATCATTAATTACATTCCATTGTGAACAATCAGGTTGCAACTGCCATCGTGGTCGGACACGGGCACATGCAAACAAACGCACACTTGTGCATCCAGCCAGTGCCATAACCGTACATCTCACTGGTTTAATTAAAGCAATCATGTCCGGTGAAGATGCTGATGATGGACATGGATGAACCCAGGAAACCCTGTGGGCTTTTCTGCTGGAAAGCGGTCCTGCCGGAGCCCTCTCCAATAGGTTTGAAGAGGGCAAAGAATAAGGGATGGCACCCCGAGAGCGAGAAGAGAGAGAGAGAGGGAGAGTATTTAGCTCAAGCAATCTTCCCAGCACCGTTGCAGCACTGATGGGGGTTCCGGATCTTTTGCCTTAAAAGAGATCTCCCTGTCCATCGAGGTCAGTATCTGACTGTAACTCGCACGCAAAAGCTTGCAACTGCTGTGCGTCCAGCATGCACCACACCGTGTCTGGTTTTGAACTAGCTGTCTGTCGGCACCTGAATGTTTCATGCGCCTCTGGCATCCCCCTTGACAAAAGTATGATACTTGGCCACAAAGTTGCGCACGCACATGAGTATGCACCCAGTACAGCTGCTACGATGTAAGCCCTTCTTGCATGAGACCCTGGTGCAGTAGAGCGTCCTAGCTCTTCCGCTCACCCCGTTTTTCTTCTGCTCACCGTGCACACGTTCTTGCTGCCTGAGGGGCCAAGGCAAATCTCCTTCCATTGTCTGACGCCGGAGAATACATGGCATCATGACAATTCGGGCCTTCAGGCAGGGCCGGCAAATGTGTCTGTGACTGATTTTGCATCCCGCAAGCACCTTGCAAACATCAATTTCGTGTTTTTTGTCGTGTCTCTAGGACTACGAACAAGGCTGCTTGACCTCGCGGCACACGGAGGTAAGCAGTCGAGAGCCATCTGCGTCGAAGGCAACCAGTGCAGCTAGCAGCCAGGTAATGGTGTGATACAACGCGATCCTTCAAGCGAGCAGTGAACTGCTGGGAGCGCTGTGAGAAGCAAAGGCGGCAGTTCTCAGCGTCAGCGGATTGAATATGCGTCCCGAGTTGCAAAGGGATTCCCAGCAATTTCTCCTTGGCTCTTGTGGCTCTACGCCCTGCGAGGGACATGAGTTTTGGGCACTCTGCATCGTTCAACTCAGTAACTCAGCTCTGCGGTGTGCTGCTCCAAGATTCTGGCGCTAGCGGCTGCAATGTAAATCTTGCCAGGTCAAGCAGCCTTGGAGAAAAAGTAGTGCAACTCAACATGTTTGGCAGGACCACGCTTGGCCCAGAGCTGCATGTGGACCCTAACACTGGCGATGGGGGTCTTGGATTTGCTGCAGCTTCCAGGATCAAAGCCATGGCCCAGTAATTGTCCAACTACACCCCGGCATGCTCAAATTCAGGAACTGCATGTTAGCGAGAAAGATGGAGAAAGATGCCGCAGGGCCACAGATACAAATAGACTGTGCAACCGCAAGAAAAGCTGCTCAGAAACTGCAACAATCTAGTTCATACGCAAACGCCCAAATGGTTCAATCTGCTCGGCTCTGGACTCTTTGGCAGCAAGCATTCCCGATTTATGGTAACTAGGATTTGTTGTTGCGACAGCTTCCAGGAAAATCTGCGAGCAAGCGGCCACATGATATTCCAAAGATATGACCCATACCCGAAGAACTCCAGCCAGGGAACAGCAAAGAAGCAGCAATTCCTCATCCAAGCGCGACGACTTGAACAATGTACATAATATACATAATATGCATCATCAACAATAAGTAATTAAATCAGCTGCGCCATGCCGCTATGCCAAGGCGCAGGAAGCACATTGATGATCCACCTGCCTGATGGCATGAGTCGCTGAACAAATCCTGGATCCCGGCTCCGCAACCTCCATCCCAGAGTGGCGACCATGAGTCCGACACAGCATACGCAATGTAGTATACACCTTGAGCGTTTGACGACTATGGCATGGCCCGGCTTTGGAGTTGCATGTCAAGTACATACCCGAACAAAAGGCCAAGTTATGTTCCAGGGGCAGGTAAAGGCTAAACAGAAGTCTTCTTAAAGCAGCGGCCCTGGTGCTGTAGAAGAAGTTGCAAACATTCGACCATCGAAGGCAGGAGGTCTGCCTGAAAGTCAGAAACTGATCAACGAAATGCGACAATATGAGGAGTGCCCCAACTTGAGTACGAAAAAGTCTTCGTCTGAGCGACGTCCCTGTTCGCGAACTCCGCATTTGTCGGTGCGAGATATCGTAAGCAAAAAGCAGCAGGCCTGAGCGTGGGAAACCTTGCAACCCCTCACCTCTGCCCCGGAACTGAAGCGCAAACGCAGCAGCTTCCTGCTAGAGTTCGAAAAAGCATACTCTCATCCAAAGCACACGCGCACAAGGAGGCACCGGCAAAGATGAGCATCAGCATGTCAACTGCTTCTCGATGCCATGTGTGACAGGAGCAGACTTGCTTGCAGTGGAGGTAGGTGGAGTCCGGAACTTCTGAGCTGAGGCAGGTTTCCACACCTTGTTGTGGCCAAGCTGTGCGAGCAAAAATGAGCTGGACTTTGCATTGCGAGCACGGCTGAGCACGGATAGCAAAAAAGCACCAGCCAGCATTTATTGTGTGGGCAAGACGGAGCGAATGCATGATCGGATCTTGATTACGCCAAGGTGCAGAAATTCGTCTCATTGGGAAATCGTCCCTTGCAAGACGTGCCTGGAGGAAATCTCCTGCCAGGTCTGTGCCTGCGACCAAATTATGCTGACCTCCTTCCCTCTGGTTTCTGCCTCCCGTCCACGTCGGAGAAGATCTGCGGCAGTTCGTGTCGGAACGCCATATCTGTCTCCCTGTGATCCCTATTCGCTTTTTGCAATATCCTACCGCCAGCTGGATTAACACAGTTACTTGTGCCGGTTGGATGCTGCCTCGGTCGGGCCCTTCGGACTGAGACTTAGACTTGCATTCGGCCTTGTGGCTTGAACTAAGTACCTGCTCCGGATTCACGGATATTCACAGATGCGCTCAATACACTGGCCTCAACTTCTTTAACGCGGCGCAGTGGCAGCAATTGGATGGCAGCTGCTGTACTGGCTGTCGCTGTGCGACGCTTTTTCAAGTTCGTGGCTGCTCTTCACCGGCACCGGGAAAGCTTTCCCGGTTGCCCGGCCGGTCTCTTTGGACCCCGTTCTACAAAACTTCGCGTGTCGATATCCCCAACTCGTTAAAGTAATGATTCCGCCGCGTTGTTTTGTCCTGTGCTTCCCGTGCTTTCTTCAAGTGTTGCAGGATTCTCCGACGGGTTATGTTTTTCAAGCATTGCCTCGAAACAATGTCATCGGCTGTAAGTTCCAAACCTGAACAATTGTATCATAAAAGTTGGCTGATCGCCCGTGCACGGACATGGCTAGATCGCCATCTCAGAGCTGGTCAGCCTTCGCGTTAAAGTCCTCCTTTGACCAGGCGCTTTCGAACTTATGAAACAACCACAGCCAGGAACTGAGAGCATATGCGAAGGAGCACACAGTGTATCCTGCAATGTCTTCTTTAACTTTCCCGAACCGCTTGCGGTCCCGAACCACGCAGTAGACTCCTGCAGTAGGCAAACGAACACAAGACTTTTTCGCGACTTGCATGCTTCCACTGCTCTCCGCACACAACCCTTCAACACTGTCAACGGTAGCACTGTTGCTGTCATTTGCTGTGGCCTGCTCTGGGCCCGGCCGTTCTGTCCTTAGATACCGAGCTCAGCAGCTTGGTTGACTTCGTGTAGCTCCAACCGATGGGGCGGGGGTGTTCTCTTGAGCTTGGCTCTGGCTTGTTTTATCTTGCGCCCCCCCCCCCCCCACCCGAGCTTTAACTGTCTTGCCGTCAATGGCCCGTCATCTTTCCAAATCCATCATACGAGCATTGTGCTTGCAAATGGGGCGGGGCCCGCTCTGTTAAGCTATGCTTACTTGCTTCAGAGAATATCGACAACTCGCCCTGCCCCCTCCCCCCCCTCGCAAGAGTATGAATCGTGTGGTTGACGCAGGGCGCGGGTGGCGATGATTCAATGTTCTCGACGGTCTCAGGCTCTAGTATTCTACATGCGGGCCAGTTAAGCTTTCAACGGGAAGCTGAAATATTATATTGCAGTGCAAAGGCAGATTGCATGTCAATCTCCAGAGCCGAGGGGCGAGGATCGTGTCAATATTCAAAATATTAAAGATCGTCGAGTATTGGGGGGGTTTTCGCCTAAAGGCTCGCAGGTCGGGCTAGGTCAACATTCAATATTCGGGGCCTTTGAATATTAAAATCTAGCCCGAATCGCCAGAGCCGAAAAGACTGCATTTCCATCGCGACCCTGCACCCACCACCACATTATACATCCTTCGTCTAGTGGGAGGGGGGGGGTTTGGGAGGGTGGAGCCTGCCCATTGGCAAACACCGGACGACCGCAGGATCAAGGGACCAAAGGACCAGGGATCCTAACAAGGGGGGGGGGGGGTGTTCGGCCAACCTTACCAAGAAAAGCCAGCCAGGGCCAACCTTAGGAAAGAAAAAACACCGGGCCCCAGCCCACAGAGCTATGGGGAAGTATTTAAAGCAAGCCTCTGATCCAGTCTCGCAAGCAGGTAGGCAACCTCGACCTGGCTTACCAGGGCCAATGCTTGCCCATGTACCGCGCCACTAGGTTGCTTGAACTCATTACTTCGACGCTCTACTGTCACAGGTGAGTTCACAGGTGTTACAGCTGTAGCCGCGTAGCCATATGCGGGGTCGTCTTCATCAGCAGCCTGTGTCTGCGCTGAGCCGTGAAAAGGAAGCGGTGTAGGCTTCCGAAATTGCTGCGTCAGCGGTCTTGGACTCAACCCAACAACTCCGAAGCTCTCACACGGTCCAAGTGGGCGCTCCTCCTTCTGCAAGACGTGGAGCAGAGCTGCTTTGGCTCGTGGGTTGCGAGACACTTCATGTGCTGATGCGCGGATTGGCTCACAAAGCTGGCGGCAGGCATATGGCAGCCTCGTGGATGCTAATGGAAACAGCTCAGAAAATCGCTGGGGAGTCACGAAGTTTGCAAACCTCATATCAGGAGCCTCATGCTCCCGTATGAAGCGTTTCACCTCTGTAGCCTCTCTACGCCGCATTGTGAGAACAATAAGCCGGCCGCCCAGGGCAAGGGATGCCAAACCGGCCACCAAGGTCTTCCGTAGCTCCTCCAACTCTCCGTTCAGGTATGCGCGGATCGCCTGAAACGGCAGCTTTGCCGGGTGTAGGCCACGGTCATCCAAGCCTTTCACTGCAGAGCACACGTCGGCCAATTCCAGAGTTGATCTGTATGGTCCTTTTTCGGCTTGTCGTTGCAAAATAGCCTCGGCCATCCGATAAGCCAGCAAGGGAGAAGCCCACTCCTCTCCGTACTCCTGCAGGACAAAGGCTAACTCAGATAAGGACACCGTCTCAAGCCAAAGTGAAGCCGTTTTCTGCACCTGGCCAATGCTCTCTTCCCGATCTATGCGGCCATCAAGTGGCACAGCCTCCGTAAAGGAAAGGCCACGGGCGCGCTCTTCAGCTGCAGACATCTGGGGGCTCAAATCTAGAACAATGCCCGCTACTCCAGTAACTACTGTGCTCAACTCGGAGGAACGCTGCCTGTGAAACTCCAGCCGTTTGTCCAAAGCAGCCATGTGCATGGCAACATCCTCTGCTCGCGAGTCTACGTCCAGTGCGACCAAACGGCCATCGGCGGCTAAGCGCCGGAGAATCTCTGCCGCATGACCGCCCTGACCAAACGAGGCATCAACGTACACGGCGTGGGGTCCTCCAAATTGCATCAAGGCCTCCACAGTTTCGTGGAGCAGAAGCGGCTTGGAACCATCGAAACTGAGGTTGGTGTTGGACCGCCAGTCTGAAACTGGTTCGTATCCAGCTTGCATGGCAGCTCACCGCATACACATTTCAACTTTGAACGGAACCCAGGACAACAGAAGGTCGCCATGGGCAAGGCATAATCAAACCAACATCGAGCATAACTAGCCGCTTCGTGGCATTCAACGCTAAACGGCAAATTCCGAATATGACTGCAAGCCTTGCAATGTAAAGTTCTCCCCTGAAGTAGTGCGGATTGGCGCTGGTAAGCTGCAGAAAAATAAGCTTGCCAAATTTTGCAAAGCAGTAGGAAACTAGCCACACGAACTTGCAGAACTGTTCAGCTACCACACCTCCTTTGTCAACGGCATGATGTAGTCCTCGAAGACTGTGCCTGGGCAGGCACCCGTTGGACGTGGGACACTTGCCTCATAAGAAACCTCATAAGAAAAACATGATCTGCAGCCAAACTGCCAACATACTCCGGGTTGACTTTGTACGTCGTATTCTCACCACCGGCGCCCTCCAAACACGACTGCGCAGGGTTGCTAGATTCTACTTGGGCGCCTTCAATCCCGACATGTTTCACGGGATTTGCTTTGTTTCTTGTTGGGATTCTTTTTTGTTTCTGGCCATTTGCCTAGCATAGAGAAACAGAAACTCTACTGCAGGAGCGAGCGTTGAGGGAGTTCAGGGCTTTTTTGCCACCTGATCCCTTCGTTTGGCGCTTTGGGGGAAGGCCACGTGCCGACCCCTGCAGGTTGGGACATTTCTATCGGGAATCCCCGGGAGTTCTTTTCGTTGGACAGGGTTCTACCTCTTTCGCCCCTCCGTGGATCCCTCCTTTCCCGGTTTGGCCAGTTGCTCGCATTGGTGTAGCGTCTACATCCGGCGCAAGATTCTCTTCTTCCAGGTTAGCATCTGCAGCACCTCGAAAACAACACCAAAACGAGACTAAAACCCAAGTTACCGTGAGTCTGATCAGGAAATGGCTTGAGGAGGTCGAGTCGGCCACCCACACTTGAAAATCACGCATAAAGAGCGACCTTCTCGTCTACATCTTCTCTGGCTCTGTGTGCCACTATGTTCAGAGAGAAGGGAGGCGCGTAGATCTTCCAATAAAACGGTAGGCGAAGTCCTGGATCTATACGCACCCGTTTTGTTTGGAAATCGTGGCGCTGAAGCAGCTTTTGCCCATCATTGCTTTTCAATTTTAGATCCTGAAAGTTTTGATTTCTGTTACTTCGGGAATCTTGGTAAAGGCCGAAGTTCTTTTGACATCCGAAATCCTGAAACCGGGGCTCCGGGGACTTCAGACTTGCAAGAATTCCTGAAGTATCCAAATTCTCAAGAACTTCTAAACTTCTAAACTTGTTGAGTGGCATCTCGACTCTCACGCTAGCACAAAGCAGGCAAGGCTCCGATAGGTTCCACTCTGAAAGGACACATTGGCCCAAAATTGTTCAAACCCGGGGCAAGTCGACCCACCAAGCAAAATGACCAACACGGCAACTATTTTCCAAAACTTGAACAGTTGTTCAACTCTAAAGTTGAGGAACTTGGTGTAGGCCGACATTCCTAACGTCAAAAAAAGTGGGCTCCAGGGGTTTGACTTTTGAAATTCCTTAAGTTCTCAAATTCAAACTTTTTGTACAGGCCAGTCCTAGAATTTCTCAAGTTTTTGGGCTCTGTACATTGTGGGCCTTCGGGATTAAGCTTTTTGGTATCCAGGCCGAATTCCGATAAAAAAAGGAAAGCCCTAAATTTTTAGGCGATTTCCCGGAACTTTGGTATTTCTAGAGTTTCTGTGGGTCTGTCAGAATCCTCAAGAATTTCTGCCTTCACCCAAATTCCAAAAATGCATACAGGTTCTAATGTTTTCGATCGAACCTGTCTTAAATTTCTAGAAATTGAACTTATTTCGGTCGGAGGGTCCGAAACTTTTCGAAATTTTGAGAATTTAGGTAACTTTCGACTCTCACAACTAGCGCACACGCAGGCCAGGCTCCACTTCAAGTAACTTTACAAATTCCAATTCCCAGGGTAAGCGCGCTCGCGATCTTCGCTTTTGAAGCCTGAAGCCTGAAGCTCGCCAGTTTCCCTTTGGAAGTTTGAAGTCTGAAGCTCGCGAGCTTCGCGCTTCGAAGTCTGACACACTCGGGAGCGCCGCTTTTGAAGACTGAAGTCTAAAGCGCGCTTGGCTCGAGGTCTGAAAATCGTGAGCTTCGCTGTTGAAGCCTCAAGCTCGAACTTCGCGCTTCGAAAACGGAGCTTCTCTAAACGATTCCTGGCGCTGTGCTTGACACATTGTCTGTGGACTAACACAAAACCTAGCCGGCTTGAAGTGGGGGGGTTACAGTAGTCCCTCAACCCAATCAGGCACCTGTCACACAGAAAGCTACGTGTAAGTGTGATGTATAAGTGTAACGAGTAACAAGGACAGAAGAATTCCCGAAGTAACAAAAACTTTAAAAAAACAGTCACTTTCAACAAGTATAAGCCGCATAAGCCCTCAATAATTCTTGTGCAGCCGAACAGCTGTGCACAAAAAAAACCTTGTCACTAGCCGCCGTGGGGTCTCCCCGACCCCATCCTAACAACCTCTCGTCGCAATTTGTCGCAGCAGCTTGTCGCGCCCCCTCAATAACGTTAACATGCTTGTAACCACTTTGGACCTTGTCCTTGTTCTTGGCAAAAGTGGTACATGTCTCCTTTATCGTGCCTGGGGCGCCCAGAACAAAGAAGCCGAAAAACTAGGGCTAGAGGACCAATCCTGACCTGCCTAGCTGGTGCAGGAAGCTTTGTCCACAAAGCCGACCCTGAAATTAGGGCCTGGCTTCGTCCCCCTCGGCCCCCCGGTACTCACAGCCTCCTGCCCATCAATGTTCTTTGAGAAGGCCTTGGCCTCTCAGGTTGAGAAGCCAACGGTGGTCGAAGTCGCTTTTACCGGACGCAGCAGACTGCAATGGACTGCGACGTCGCTCCCTTGTTCAGGTTAAGGCCTTGAGGATGACGCGCTGGACATTCCGCTTCTCCACTTCGGGTTTTGTGATAAAGGCCATCAGACCATCCTCACTCGCATCCTATCACATCAGTATCCATATGTCATATGTGTGAAGGTCCGTGTCCGCTAAGGCTGGCACTTCATCACGAGCCTCCCGCATGGATGTCTGCTAGTTGGCTAAGCCGTGCCCGTGTGCATCGTTTGCCTTGATCAGCTCGGTGGCTTTCTTGCGCTCACTGCGGAACTTGGATTCCGCCACAAACCTAGCACCGAAAGCAACCACAATCACGATCAATAGGGACAGGGGCTGGAAGAATGGTTCCAACAATGCACAGTAGCCACTTCCGACCGTTATGTAAATTTAAAGGTGTTCATGTTCACGCCTCGTGGATTTAGTAGGAGCCCGGGCTGAAGCTTTGGGGGCCGGTATTTGCAGAAACATCTAGCCGGTATCCGGTGTGCTCTCCAGATGATCGAAGAGTCCCCTTTCTCTCGTGTGATTGATTCGAGCAACTATCATCGCAATGTGGCTGTGCATGACACCCTGCGCAACATCATTCAGGTCCTATCCGTATCGGTTCATCTCTTATGCCTCTCTAAACCGATGGATCATGATGAGCTCTGAGACTCGCCCATGGGAAAGAATCAGGGAAGCCAGTGTGGTAGCAAGCAACCCTATGAACAACCTATGAATCTATGAGCAATACCGCGTGAACATGCAAGCACATCTGGACAGTTGACCAGAAGACGGCTGAGTCCTGAGCAGCCCGTAGTAGATCCTTGTGGAAATCGTTTGCAGCACATGCCTGCAAGCGTACTGCTTGGAGTGTGTGCAGTGTGCAATCAGTTTGTTGATAGTGACTGGTCTCGCTTCGCCCATCACTCTGTCGCCTATCATCATGAGTCTACGGTCTAGTGAGCTCGTTGACCAGGCTAGTCTGGATCTCAAAACCTGCATCTTCAGCGCTGATTTCGCAGGTGTGCGGACCCTCCGCATTGCAACATCAGCTTGCCCCCTTCCGCAGAACACTCCGAGTAGGCCCCTGGCACGTCTTGCACAGCGGTGGAGCCGTAGTTACCGTCGTCACCTTCCTCACACCTTGGAACCCCGTCGTGCACGCAACTACTCGTTACCACACATTATTGTTTGTTTTTATTCCTGACACTTTACAAGGCAAGCCACCAACTATGTACACAAAATCGCTCTTCCTCTTTGCAGTCCTAATGGTTTTGCAATGAATTCGGGGGCCACCCTTTGGTAAAGTTCCATAGCCGAATCTTTCAACCAAGGCGATGCATGCAGGAAACCATATTGACGGCATTCACCGATGCTGTCGCAGTAGTCGTATCACTCAGAAGGGCGAAGCAAGGGGTCTGCTACAAACCTTGGGCGTTCTAGGGATCCTGTTCCGGGACTGTATGGGAGCTTCTGCACTACCATCCACGTTATCAGTTCTGCAGTGTCAACATGCATGCCAGCATTGTAACTTCGTAAGTCTAGCACAGCGAAGGGACCATCTTCGTTCTGTAGATCTCCAGCAACTTCCCGTTCACCACCGCCTTGACATTTGTGAGAACTTGTGAGTGTGGAAGGAAACACGACCACGTTACCAGTGTTCGGAACTTGTTTGGATCTGCCTCCGGTGGGACGGGGGCCAAGACTGTCTCTTCTTCGCCTCGGTCTGAACCAAGTCGAGCAGTCTTACCAGAGACAGGGCAAATGTGTGGCTTATACATCCTGTGACCATGTAAATGATAGGCACCAGTAACTGCCAGCTGCCGTCAATTTACTTACTCGCATGTTTCATCTCACTCCTTGAGAAAAATGGGTCCTGGTCAAGTGCAGTACAGTGCTCCTAGTAGCCAGTACCATGTTGGGCAAAATTACTGGCATGCTGATTTCGTACATGTTCGCACTCTGCATTGCCAAACTCCTCCGTCAAGTGGCACCCAACTAGAGAGATGCCGGGGGGGGGGGGCTCTTCTCCTCCCCCATTTTCGCTTCCGGGTTTCTTTTTGGGGGGTTTCTTGCAACAAAATGACTTGTGTCTTCCTGTCTGCTGTCGCCATGAAGGTGGTCGAGGAAGCTTGCGATGTTGAAAGTCGACATGCCCCCACACTCCAGACTCGCAGTAGCAGGTGAAGCTTAGCAAGCAGCTTGCTGCCGACTTCTCATCGTACAGTCAAGCCATTGTACAGTAGTTGTGTCTGGAGGTCCTCCCACCTGCACTTACGCAGTTAAACCACAATGCTGGATGCTACAGCGCCAGGCTTGGGGGAGTAAATCGGTCGAGTGTCCCAGGACGTCAGGTCACTTCCTGAACCTACTACAACTTGAACAGGGTGCAGAAGAGCCATGCATGTCAGTAAAGGCTCGGAGCACGACATTCACCTTCGCTGTCTGGGAGGAACAAAGCATCGCAAAGCCCACAATACCAACGGAGCCTAGAGCAGGGAGGGGGTGGCGCTGAGACGGCACAGGCCTCCAACCAGCCGAAGCGGGAGAAGAATCGGAGCCGGAGTTCGAGCTCTGTGGTGGAATGGGCATCACACCGCCCAAGGAGGACATTGACGAGAGTGCACAATGGCACGCTCGACATCGCTCGACTATGTGGGAAAGTAGTGGGCCAGTGGGCCAGGGAGCTGCGCAGCATGAGGGGCACCCGAGTTGGGCCGCCTTTTTGCCCAGACCCCGAGACAGCTCGACAAGCTCCTGCGCCAAACTATGCAGCAACAACCTGCCACTGACTCAAGCCGGGGACGGGTTCCGACTCGAGCCAAAATGGCTTCTGCCGCCCTCTCTCTGCGACCATCTCCCTCTTCTTTATTTTCTTTCGTTCTCTCCATTGGATCGAAGAGGCTTGCTCCGCTGCTGGTTCCGCTGCCTGTCTGGCCCAGGCTAGGCCTCTGTGGGTACGCAGCGATTTGCTTCGTCACTCTATTTTCACTGGTGTGACAGACACTGTCAGGCACTGTGTCTTTTGATCTTCAAACCTGAGTTCCTGGCTCTGGCAATGGACTGAAGAATGAAAACTCTGTTGGGTGCTCGTACCTAACCACCCATGCATTCCGTTCATGTATGGCCGCACATCGAGCACACAGAGTGCGAATTTCTCAACTGCTTCACTCCAGCAGTCTGGCCTCTTCACTTGTGAGTGTAGGCACTCCGTCTGGTAGATGAACCTCGAAGGCGTCGCAGGATTACGTGCAAGGTTTCAGAAACTCCTAGGAGTGTGTTGCGTACTCACTTTGGAGCATCTTTGCCAACGGTTGGGACACGCTTTCGTGACAACGACCGGCCACCGGGCCTGGGCCTTTGGACGTGCAGCTCCTACAGAGGCTCTTATCTTGCAGCGGTCATCTTGCCTCCTGACCTTTGCTGATTGCAGGTGTGCCATGGTGCGGGCATCTGTTTTGTTGCTGTGCCCACCCCCCCCCCGCCCATCTCCCCGCCAACACAGCTGATACTGCCCTGTTTCAGCGGGACACATCTGGGAGGCATGTGGTGCACCGGGGCATGGGCCAGTCACCCAGGCATCCATTCGAGCCAGAAGACTTGAGTTGATGAAGCTTGAACCTGAAAACAGTTGCGAAGAGTCGGAACAACGAAGCTCCTCAATGAAGAGGCAGCAGCCCAGGTCTGCCCTGTTGGCTTGACGGCTTGGCCCCATGCTTTCCCAAGGGCTTGTAGTCAGGCTCATAAACAGCGTCTTGGCACAGAGAAAGCTTCCAAAATGAGCAAGCTGCAGCATGCAGCTGAGAGCTTCCTGCTTAGACGGAGGCTGTTCACTCGATACTGTGATCGTTCAATCAAGCTGAAGATGATCGAATCCTGCAGCGGGCCCATGTCATCTTGTGGTGCCCACACGTCGACAAACCCAGGCAAACCAAATCGGTCAAGTCGGCGAGCATGGTGCCTCCATCCTCTGCAGCACGCTTCGGATGTTGTTGAGGTCCAATGCTTGGTCGACGCCTGCCATGACAAAGCAGTCAGCTCATGTCAGCCTGAATGAGCCATCACGAGATTTCATCATTCAGAAAAACAACACCCATCTGTGCTTCCGGCTTGTGACATTTGCAGTGTTGGCTGCCATGTAGGCCCCCAGATGAAATGTAGAAAGGACCTCTGTGGAGCGCCCTTGCCACTGCAAACACGACATGCCACGACATGCCACGACCGCACATGCTGCTCGGATTGCATTGACTGAGTCTTCAGAGTCTTCAAGCGCAAACTTTGACTGGGCAAACCTCGCACCCTTTCTTGAGTCCTTTGTAAGGCCCGTGCGAAGAAAACAAAGGCCGAAGCCACTCTCATCTACGCATCCGCGTCTGCTTCGGGGCCCAGCTCCCTCTCCGTTGACAGAGGTGCTTTCTGCTTTTACCCTCTCGCTTTCTTGCTGTTGTTGTATTAAGAAGGTGCATGTGAATTCAGTATTCATGTTTCACTTCTTACTTCGCTGGAACTGGAGCCGAAAAAGTCGGATCTCTGAAATGTCCGGACCCGCATTGGCAAACAAACTCTCACCTCCTGGACAGCTATGCGATCGTATCAATTCAACGTGACTCGTTGGATGTTGCTTGGATGCATTACCAACTCTTAGCAAGCCAGCCTGGAAATGTTGTAAGGGCCATGCTGTTGTTGTGGCAAGAGCTTCTCTTGGGCTCGCCACCTGAACTTCTGCGAGGCTCCCCGCCCTGGCCTAGGCGGCCTAGCCTGTTAGGATTTCGAAAAACTCAGTGGATGATGCGTATTGAGCTCAGGCTGTCGCACGTGTTCCAGGTTTCGGTGCCTGGGCTGGGAGGTTTTGCCCATGCAACAAAGTGTCGGTTGAAGTTTGGTTTCTGATGTCATCTGACGACTCGGCATGAAGCCCTTCAAAGCATCTTGCTGTCGTTGTAAGTTGTGACCACAGCTCGACACTGTGGAAGGACTACTCTTTCTCAGCTCATTTCAGCTCCAAGCATGGGAAGGCCCTCTCGGACCAGCTGCTCTGCACGAAGCTGATCTCGGCAAGGCTCTCTTAGCACAGTCATCTTGTCACCGACATATCTGAAATTTTCTCTGCCACGTCTGGAAAGTCTGAGGATCCGGCTGTCTCCAAGTTCATGAGCATCCAAAGCCAATGCTAAATAGACACGTGCCGCTCCCGCCTTGGTTTCCGCACTTTGGACAAGCCAAGTACAAGCTGCTTGTACTTCGTGATGGCGTTGCGTGCGCAACAGTTGTGTGAAGTGGAAGCATCCCCACGGTCACTAGGGCATTCGTGAAGTCGAAACATCGATTTCGATAGTGGCATCCGGTATCCTGCGCTTCAGGGAGCGCAGAACCCATAAACATCGACGAGCGGCAGGAAGCATCCTCCCGAAAATTGCCATGACATGCAGCAGGCCAACCCAATGGCGTTCAAAGTGGGTTCAGTGAGTGTGAAGTACAAAAAGTAAGGAAAATCGATGCGCGGCACGAAGCATTGCCCTGCGAACACATTGACATGTGACAGCAGGTCAAACAAACTTTTCTTCAAGGTGTGGTTCTTCACTTGGACGCTGTGTTTTTGGAAGCAAGGCCTGGAGGTACTGTAGCCAGAGAAAACGTCATGTCCAGACAATGTGCGCCAAGGTTGAAGCTAAACTTGGTTCTCCTTTTGGCTGTGGCACAACCGGACCAAACTAGCACTGTAGTTGGCAGAATTTGTGGAATTGTGATTGATGCTAATTCAGCGCGTGGAAATAACCAAACCCCACCGCATCTCACCTCAGCTAAGCTCGCTGACTCACTTTAACTCAGGAACTTGCCTCACCTCGCTACATTCGTTTGCGGTTTGACGGCAACAATGGCTCTTGTAAATTGAAAAGCTTTGGGGCCCAGTGTTCCCAGTGGTAGCAGAGGAAGTCCTAGACCCTGAGACCTCAGTCTGAATGTCAGGGTGGGCGGCTTGGTTTTTGTTGGTGCCCGCCTAGCCATGCAAAACAGACGAACCCAAGGGACCCATCTTCCGAAACTGCAAGAAAGGCCACACAGGCCCCAACTGGCCCAAACAAACCACCAGCTAACATTCTTCGAGCCAGACAAAGCCAAGTAAGGGTTAGCGGCTAGCGCTGTAGGGACATGAGCAAGCTGCTGCAAAAACTACGTTCTGCAGCATCAGGCTGCCAAACAAACAACGAGGCTCCAGGCGCAATAGCGGTTTAATTCGCGGCGCGCGAAATGCGATCCTTTCTGCGTGGTGGGCACAGGAAGGAATGTTGCGCGAATCTGTGACGAAGCCGGGAATGTTGCGCGAATCTGTGGCGAAGCCGTGCGAAAATGCTTAAGCTGAACCCATCACCTTCGTTTAAGATCTCGGCCAAGCTCTTCCTGGTAGGAGAAGTGCTCGACTGGTTCACAGCCTCCTGCAGTGTTGGAATGGCCTCAGGAATGTCATGCCCAACTTGCTGCTGCATGTTTCGTCCTGAGGCACACAACACACACACACACACACACACACACACACACACACACACACACACACACGCACACGCACACGCACACGCACACGCACACGCACCCACGCACCCACGCACCCACGCACCCACGCACCCACGCACCCACGCACCCACGCACCCACGCACCCACGCACGCACGCACGCACGCACGCACGCACGCACGCACGCACGCGCACACGCACACGCACACGCACACGCACACGCACCCGCACCCGCACCCGCACCCACACACACACACACACACACACACACACACACACAGAGACACACACACACACACACACACACATTTTTTTGACATGCACGGCACCATGCTTCCTTTCGCTTCGTTTAATACCTCTGCTCTTCTTGTGGTAGTCGCGCTTAGGGCAAGTCAGACCTGGGCGATGCGCACGAAAGTGGACAATCAACAGTCCGTCTTTCGTTCCCATCTGCACATCCTGCACTTTATCATCCGTGAAGCTTTGAAGCTCACAGTTCGACAGGTCGCCGTGATGGTGGCGGATTTGGTCCCGATCTTCTTCTTGGCGTCGGCTGCAAAGAGTGCTGGCTGTGGCGTACCTGGTTTACGGCGTTCTGTGTGTGTCTGAGTAGTGGCGATGGTGTTCAGAAAATAGAGTTGCATAAGCATAACAAAGACACGCAGGTCAGTCATGGCTTGTCGAATCCAATGGTCTGATCCGAAGAACCCAATCCTGCCAATTGCAACCCATGTCGTTCTCAAGCGAACTCTCAACAAAGAACAAATGCAATTAATGTTTTCAGGCCCCCAAACTATCAGAAGAAGCGGCAGTGCGGCGCTCCGGTGGCGGCAAGCCGCCTGGCGAATGAAACATCCAAATGGGGGGAAGGGGGGGGGGGGAGCGCGCGGCACACAGAAACCGAGTGAAAACGCTGTGGAGGGCACTAGCTAAACTGATTGCAGCCCGAGGCATATTCGAACACTTTTCCCCGCCGGCGCTTCGATCTGCTGGGCCTCCGGCCCCTGTGCAGTGGAGATTCAGCCAATGAGGGGTAATTACACATTGGATATGGGCCACAGCCCAAACATGCTTATGCAACTCTTTATTTTTCTACCTGCAGTCGCAAGGCATGAAGTCATTTTCTTGGCATCACCTTAAAGGATGCCGACCTGTCTGTGAGTTTACCTGGACCCGATGACCAAATTGCAAGATGCATGCTTCCGATATTTCCGATAACGAGAATTATTTCTCACCTATTCGTGCTCAAGCCCAGGTGTGGGTAATGCTTTCCTCAAAATCGAAACTGCACGAAAGCACTCTGGCTTGCGATCCTTCATCGCTTCTTACACTGCTTGTCGAGCTGTTTCGACGGGGTGAGAAGCAGCAATGCTGACACGTCAGTCCGTTTCAGCGGCAAGCTTTCGGGAATAAAGCATGTTCCAAGAAATGCTCAGGCCTTCAAAGAGAAGCGGGTTTCACCTGGCCAGTTTGGGTCTGCTCACACATGGTTCTTGATGAGAAGATCTACGAAGCAAGCTCTTACATGCAGCACGGCCCTTTTCGGCCTTTCTCGAAAAAGCCCACAATTTGATTCGCCGCAGCCACGCCGGCCTGGGCTTGCCACTGCCATGCCACCTACTTAGTACTTACAGCTTTCAATGACTATCAGTTTTCCTTAGGATTGCTACCGCCAAAGTGGGAAGCTTCCAGGTTAGGAAATGATCTCCGAGGCGTTCCCAAGTCGAGCTGCGTTGTCATTGGCCTCTGCGGTTTGGGCTCCCATCTTCTTCTTGGTGAAGATGAGGCGCTTTCCGTACTTGTCACCAACAGCAGCCTCTGGTTGTGGTCGTGGACAGCAGTGCAAGGCTCGGCTAGACCGGATAGACCCATTCGACCGGTGCCCCACCTTGCCTTGTAGGGTTCGATGTCTTTGGGTGCCACGTCGCACAGATAGCAGAAATCTGGCCTTGTCTTGAGGACCTCGATCATGTCAGCCTGGCCGAAACAAGTAGACAGGCTTAAGCTAAAGCCATGGAGGCAGCTGCTACTGCTGCTCAACATTGCACCGCGGAGCTTCCACGAACGAGATCTACATTAGCACCTCGTGAACCACCTCCGTGCGCGCAGTGTTGATAAGAGAGCCGCCCTTCGGCATTTTCATGAGCAGCTCCTGCGGCCCGGCAAGTTCGAAACATCACAGACATCAAGGAGCAAAGCAGAGAAATGAGACAACCATGCCGAGTGGACGTGTGCTACATGTGCAACCTGAAGGGCTCCTTATTAATGGATGCTTTGGTCTCATCCGTCAGTGGCACATGCAAAGACACGTACTGGTGCTCAAAAAGCCCGGCCACAGAAGACACCGGCTCGGCTCCCATTTCCTTGATCTTGTCTGCAGGGATATAGGGGTCGTAGGCGAAGCTTTTCATGCCGAAACCCTGGGCCAGCTTGTGCACTGCACGGGCAACTGCTCCGAAGCCGTAGAAGGCAATTTCACGATTGACAAGCTCGAAGCCGCTGGTGCCATCAAAATTGTTTCGGGCACTGACAATCATCATGCCAAACACAAGCTCAGCCACCGCATTCGCATTCTGGCCAGGAGTGTTCATAGCCGTGATGCTCTTGGCCTCGCAAGCCTTGAGGTCAATATTGTCGTAGCCAGCGCCGGCACGAACAACGATCTTGAGCTTCCCGGCCTTGTCCAGAACAGCCTGATCCACAATATCACTTCGGATGATCATGGCATCAACGTCAGCCACCGCTGCAAGCAGGTCATCCTTGCTTTTGTAGTTCTCCAATTTTTTCAGCGTGTAGTTGGCCTCCTTGACTACACTCTCTATCTTCTCGACGGCGGCGGCGGCAAATGCCTTCTCTGTGGCCAGCAAAACAGTTCGGGCCTTGCCGGCTTCACCAGCCATGTCTTGCAAGTGGGCGGCAGAATGCGGCAGAGCAAGCTTGAGTCAAAATTGTACTGCGCACGAAACGAGCACTGTCCCTCATCATGACAAGCAAAGCAATTAAACTCCAGGTCGGGCATTGTCACCGTCATTGCAAGACACAGTCGTGGTTGAGCAGCCTCAGTCGGCTAGCTCCCAAATCTGCAGCAGACGTCGCCTCGGTCACGCGTCCTAACGTTCTCCAGTGCGCTGTTGAACCTGTCCCTGAATCGGGCAGTCTTCCCTGAAGGAGGCAAACGCCTCGTGTGCAAATTGGTATGAGCCAGGTTGCATGTCCGATGGCAGCAAGTATTGCCATGGCTTGTGGCAACCGATCGGCGTGGGATGGAAAATCGTCTCCACCTCATCGACGGCGTGTGCTCAAACAGGAGAATGCCGAAGTGCCGAGCCAAATGACACACACACACACACACAGACAGAGTTCAGACAATATGACTTTCTGGGATGATGGGAGGGAGAGGGCCACGGAGAGGCAGAGAGCGACAGACAGACGGAAGAGAGAAAGATAGAGATGGGGCGAGAGAGTGAGTGCGCGGAGGGAATCCAAATTCCGAGCAGTGCCGACCACGTCACAGAAAACTCTTGCGCCACCTGCGTGCACACAGCTCTTCAACTGTACCGGTATGGTTTTGAAAGCATAAAGTCTTGTCAGGCTTGCAATCTTACCTTCCGTGAAGGAACACGCGCTGCCAAGTCGATCGCTGCATGAGCAAAGCACATGTCTTCCTTAGATTGCTGGCACAGGAAGGAACGAATACATCTCTATATATATATATATGTATAGTTTATATAAAATAATATAATATAACATAATATAATATACTATATATGTATACATACAGCTGTTTGCATACAGTGATGCATGTCATCTTGCAGCACTCGCTGTGAGCAACAGGTCCCAAGCGATGTGTCTCTTACTGGTTCTTGCTCAACGTGAGATTGGACAAAGGGCCTCCAGAAGCCCCCGACGTCTTCGGAGGCCAAACTGTGACAAGAGCTCATGTGTACAATGTATCTACTAGTTGTACAATGTATCTACTAGTCGTGCATGGGGACATCTCTGGGAACGGTATCTCGAGAGCGGAACGCAAACTTCCGGGGATGAACCCGGGGGAATGAAGCATGGAGGAAACATCCAGACATCTCTGTAGCCCTGATTCGGCCACGCGTCGTTTCGCGAGGGCCATGGGGGTGCTACCTCGCCGGCAGCTGTCGCCTGCATGTGTCAAGCACGACTAGATACCATCAATTGCGTGCCTGCAGCACGCACAGCATGGTTCGAATATGGACCTGCATGTGGTCCAACGCGGCGTGCAGGAAGTCACAGTGCCTCACCGTTAGCCGAGCTTGCGGACTCCCACGCGCGCTACCGCAGACAGTGCAAATACAACGGATGTTACCAGTAGCACAGCTGCCTGACGGAAAAGCCACCATTGCCCACACAGGCTCTGTCCTTGCATCTGGCTGATAAGCCGCTTGAAGTTTGTTCTGCATGAGCACAGCACATTTCACTCCACACATTTCCAAACACGTGGTTGTCGTCGGTGAAAATACAGTACTTATATGTACTTATGAACTTGTGGTGCCACATCACGGGTGCCTCGCTGATGCCGCGGCAAATAGCAACAGCATGATCGAGGCCCCGATGTGCTTCAGGGCATTTTGACTGACACTCAGCTTCCTCTGCCCAGCTCCAGGGTGCCCCCACCAAGTCATAGCAAAGAAAGCCTCACATTGCTGCATATTGTTGTGGCTGCTTCGTGAGTGCCGTCCTCGTCCTACTTCCACACATCTCTAAGAAGCGACCTGTACTCTTGAGACCCTGGTTGCATCTGGTTGCGCTGCTGCACTATGTTGCACTGGCGACAACCAGGCCAGGCTGTCAACGGCTGTCATGATGACTCTTCATCTTCTGAATCTATCAAGCCAAGCACCTCGGTGCAGTCACGTAGCGCTCCAGGCCAGGACGCAAAAGCAAGGAGTCACATTCCTCGGATCTTTTCTCGCAGCTTTGCATATTGGAGCAGCGAGAGCAGCAAGACTGCAACGCCAGAGCATGCTTTGCTTGACTATCAAGTTTCGACGAAGAGGGCCAACTTACCACCAGCCGCGTTGATCCAGGACAGCAAGTCCTCCCGGTGTCAAAGGTCTTCCAGAGCAGCCTAGAGGCCTAGGCCTATGCGGGTTAAGAGAAGCGCAACACATTTTCACGGCGTCGCCAGCATGCCTGCGATCGGCGGAAGTTCGCATAGCCTTCACGCGTGAAGTTGGCCATCGGTAGGCAGTGCAGGTGAACGAAGGACCAGGTCCTCTACAGCCCATCCAGAGGCTCTGAAGTAGAACTTGTTGGCGTTCTCTGCTAGCACATGCGCACACACACAAAGGTAATGACATGTGTGATTCCTTACATCGTGCCCAGCTTGCCAGAATGAACTTGAGTGTGACGGAAAGAGCCTGTCCTCACTATCTGCTCGACGAACCTCATATTGCTCTCGCCACAAACAATGAGTAGGGCCCATGCACCTTGAGCTTGCACAGCTTGCCCCAAAGGGAGTTCAAGGCCAGTATAGAGATGGAAGCAAAGCGCCTGGCTCGAGCAGGCTCATCGCAGAACGGAGCACCACCTCGAGGTCCTCAAAGCGATGTGCGCACGAGGCGTCCAGGTGGTTGTTGCGAGTCAGTGTCTGTTCTTTCGCCACTCCTTCTTGCAGCGGTCTTACTTTTTCAGCATGTAGTGGGGCTTTGTTTTGGCCGGTACGCCCATGGCAGACCATCGCCCCCACTTCAGCATCCACGAGGTGTGCAAAGCATTTCTTACACGTCTTTTCGGAGTTCCAGTCGTGTGGCTCTGCAGAGTTGTTGTGCCTGACCTGACAAATATCGCCTCTTAGGAAAAGTGCTTGCAATCTATATGTCTTGGGCACCAGAACTCGTGGCTTTTTGAGTGCTGTGCCGCTGTAGGACGACTGGACCAGGCGGACAAAAAAACAGGCCTGCAAAGCCTAAGACCTGCGTCGTTCGGTGCTTGAACGCTGGCGCAATGACTGAGAAAGCGAAATGAGGGAGAAAGAGAGAGAGAGAGAGAGAGAGAGAGAGACTGTGTTGCTCCAGTGTCGGTTTTCAGAAACAATCTGTCGAGCTCCTCATGTTCGCGCATCTCGATCAGCACCACGACCCACTCCGAGAATCTGGGCAATCCTGTGCATTCAGGGATCCATGTGCATGTCCTGATTCCACTGGCTTTCGCGTCGATGGGATGCAAGCAATGCACATGCACTGCACATGCGCATGATTTGCACACGTCCTTTATAAGCAAGATGTCAGGTTGCTCGACACTGGCTCGACATAAAACTGGGGGCTCAGTGTCTGCTTAACTATACAATGAAACGGCAGCATCAGGCCGCTGCAGAAGGATCTGAGTCATGGGACGTCTTCAATTTATCCCCAAGCTGGAAGTAATGGAAGGTCGCTTCGCAACCGTTCTGCTCAATTGGCGAGAAGCAAAAGACTCCCATCTTCCATGGCTTGCTGCTTCGCAAGCTGGCAATTCGCACAAAAGCAAAATCCGCCGCGGTTGCTGCCGTGTCCCCTGGATGAAAAGGTGCTGCTTCCACGACAAGTGCGGGGCCCTGCTCTGGGCCTGGGCACTCGCGATGCACGCGAAGACGCAGGGAGGTGCTGGCCCCATCCCAATCGGCCCACTGCTGCGTGCTCCAATCTGAGAAACCATCGTTTGTGACGACGCAGGAGAGCCTGGGCACGGCATCGCAAAATTCAATGCCGGCTTTTACCCACGTGGACTCGTCGACCATCACCATCGCCCCAGCTTGATCAAACTGTGCCCGAGGATGCAAAGTAAACGCGACGGACATTGTCATCTCCGAGTCTTCCACAGGACACACCAAAATCTGGCCGTCATGTTTCACGAGCAATGGCTTGTAGAAGGTACGGCTCCAGAAGTCGCGCTTTGCTGTGGGCCGTATCCGTATGCCCTTTCCGGCTTCGATCAGGTCGTGCTCAGGTGCTGACGGCTCCCACACCAAACTGGCATCAGCAAACGACTCTACGCTGGGCATTGTGGCTACTTCCTCAGAGGCGCCCTAAGCCTAGCCATCTATGTACTTCTGCTCGGTCCAAGTTGGGCGGCGGGAGGGATTCATCTGTTTCTTGATGTGCACAAAACTTGCTAAGTCTACTGAATGCTCTATTCAACTGTACTGAAGCTACCCGAACATTATCATCCCATGTTGTTGGCCTGTGATGGGGCTGCTGTCCATGGCCCGCCGCTTCTGTGAAAGGTGTTCCTCCAATCCGCTCAGCACGTAAACCGATTAAGCCACTTTGAAGCTACAAAGATGACGAAATGACGAATGATGAGGAAGCTCTCAAGGGAACGTAAGCAGGAGCCGTGAGACGAAGTTGTGCTCAGTTCCGAGCCTTCCAGATGCGGTGGCTTTCACATCGCCACAAGCCCCAGCAGGCAAGTGTGCTGGCATCTCCTACATCTCCTGGACTTTCAAAAATGTTTGGGCGGCTACATGCAGCAACAAGCGAGTGATGCTCACCTTAAGGCAATCCAGGCTGTCCTTGAAGCTGGAGCTCGGAGAGCTCGGATAGCTCGGATGGGCCTGGACCATTCCGCCAGGTCAGGCCGCGCAGGACGTGCAAGGCAAAGCCTCAACGGACAAAGTTCACTGGACTCGACAGCATACTATTTACGACGATGTCGAGGGAACATGTGGAAACTTTCCTTGCCAAGACGCGCAAGGCTTCCACATCGTCGCCTGGTTGAAAAAGGCCTAGGACCTAGTTGATTCATTCTGCCTCGAACGCACTCCTGATGGCTTATGTATTATTGGATGCACCTGTGGTGTCATTGACGCAGGGTGACGCAGGCATCACCGCGCCCCATTGCTGAGAAGGGGAACAGGAGTCAAACCGAACGTGGCTGGCCTACCAAAGCCCATGTGAAGTTCTGCGCGCTACTATCCAAACAAGAAAAATCTGGCCTAATAATGAAGCACCTAAGCATCACAGACAAAAATGAGCATTGGAAACAGACGACTAATTTGTCAGGGGTATGGCGGGTATGGCGGGTATGGGAACCCGGGTCCAAACCCCGCAGTGCTTGAATTAGCAGTGAACACCGAGAAAAGGTTGGAGACTGATGGGCTGAGCATGGATCACCATGAGATTACCATAACTCACCAACACCGCAGTGCTGTTCGAGGACCGTCAACAAACGCTTCTCTGCTCAGCAAAGGGCTGATGAGCTGCCTGAGGACAGCTGCAAGTAGCCGAGCCTCCAAGCCAGCTTAGAAAGGGTGCCAATCCCCGTGTAAGCATGTAAGCCGCTGTAAGCCTTACAGTACAGGCTTCTGGCTTGGGGCGCTGCAACGTGAGCGTCTCGCAGTCCTTGGGCTGGTGACCTCCAGGAAAAGGAACATGCTTTTCGGCAAAGATCACAAGAAAGGTACATGATGACATAACGCGAAACGTTGGGTCTTCAGTCTTCAGTGCTGTAGTAGAAGAAGTTTGCCCAAAGGGCACCCCTTCCGGAACAGAAGAGGGTGGCTTTCGACCCCCTCCCCCCACAAGCTTTCCACGTGTGCGCTGCAATGTAGCCTCTTGTTCAGTCAATGGACATCCGGAACGGTCCGGAACCCCATGGAAATGAAGCAAATCATGCTACTTCGGTGCTTTCGGGTGTGTGTGTGTGTGTGTGTGTGTGTGTGTGTGTGTGTGTTTGTTTGTGTGCTTGTGTGCTTGTTTGCTTGTTTGCTTGTCTTTTTGCGTGTTTGCGTGTTTGCGTGTTTGCGCGTTTGCGTGTTTGCGCGCGCGCGCGCGTGTGTGTGTGTGTGTGTGTGTGTGTGTGTGTGTGTGTGTGTGTGTGTGTGTGTGTGTGTGTGTGTGTGTGTGTGTGTGTGTGTGTGTGTGTGTGTGTGTGTGTGTGTGTGTGTGTGTGTGTGTGTGTGTGTGTGTGTTCGTGTCTGTGGTGTTGGTGTGGGTGCTGTGTGTGTGCGTGTGGTGGGGGTGTGGGTGCGTGTGGGTGGTGTGTGTGCGTGCGTGGGTGCGTGCGTGCGTTGCGTGCGTGGGTGCGTGGGTGCGTGCGTGGGTGCGTGGCGTGCGTGCGCGTGAGTGGGTGCGTGCGTGCGTGCGTGCGTGGGTGCGTGCGTGGGTGCGTGCGTGGGTGCGTGCGTGGGTGGGTGGGTGGGTGGGTGCGTGCGTGGGTGCGTGCGTGCGTGCGTGCGTGGGTGGGTGGGTGTGTGTGTATATGTGTGTGTGTGTGTGTGTGTGTGTGCGTGCGTGTGCGCGTGCGCGTGCGCGTGCGCGTGCGCGTGCGCGGGTGTGCGCGGGTGTGTGTGTGTGTGTGTGTGTGTGTGTGCCGTGCGTGTGTGTGTGTGTGTTCTATGTGTTCTGTTTGTTCTGTGTGTGTGTGTGGGTGTGCGTGTGCGTAGTTTGAAACACCAGTGTGCGGCTTCTAAGGCACGACTTCCAGAAATCTTTGCCCTCAGTGATCCCAGGGATTTATGAAGACGGGGCACGACTTAATCAAGCAAGTTTCTGTATTGGAATGGTAAAGCCTCCAAAATAGTGACAGCAAGTGTAAGCAATTGCGAGATACATGCTTGCACTGCTAGGTCTAAGTTTGCGTCGCTTAGGCATGGCGGGGGTAACTTTCAGTTGATGACAACCAGTGGTAACCAAACACAGTTATTGCAGGCTAGTGCAGGGCAGAAAGTCATGCACGCATGCACGCTTGTTCCAAGCGCCCTACGCAAAAGCTCTCGAAGTTCCATCTCCGCCTCGTCGGCCCGACCTGCACCCACTGCCAACCAGATCGTGCGCAGCCAGTGATTACATTAAAACAGTCAAAGGATTCCAACTAGGTCCCTGGCCAGTTTGTTGAAGAGCCATTGCCTTGTCAGTCAAACTGCAGCCAGCCGCATCAGCAGGTAAGGGGCCCAAATGCTGAATCCAGAAGCCGAGGTTTGTGCCCGGGCAAGCCGGGCTGGACCCTGCGTCGGGTCCAGGTCTGTTGCCTTGGAACAATGAAGCGGAAGGCGGAAGCGGAGTCACTCACTCTCTTCTTGCTGCAAGGCATAACCCGTCAGTTGACTGTGTGACATACGTACAAGTACTGCACATGATCATGCCATGTTTGGCTTAACTATCTATGGACACCTTCCTCAAGATTCTTCACGCAATGCTACCATTCACATGATCTTCCAAGCAGCTGAGCTCAAGCTGAGCTCTGATCCCTGCGTGATTCCTCCAAGGCTTCCGGAAACCGCCGCAGCCTTTTCCAAGGAGCTCAGCAGTTCCGCGTGTGAGGGGCTAACTCGGGTTGACTGTCTAGGAACCAGCTAGATGCTACACCGCTACACGGGAAGGCGTGGGGAACATCAACATGTGGGCAGCAAGTCGTTTCGACCCCGTGGGCGTCGAGGCTTCCCATATATGGGAACACCTTGTTTTCAGTCTCATTCCCTTGGCAAATGACTCCTCCCCTTTTCTGTTCAAGGTTTGAATGTTTTACATTACCTGGAGAACCTCATGTGCGGGGACTTGGGTGACCTTCCAAGCCACGGCCCGACAGTCATTAGGGCCTAGGGGCCCTCAAACAAAGCCCCCTAAACAAGGGGGCTTTCTGTAGGGACGCGATTGCGGGTGCTGCATGTGTTGGACGTGTTGGTGATGCTATGAGGGATCCCAGCCGGCACTGAGCTTGTAGAAGGCCCCCCCCAAGCATCCCAACAACCGACACTCTCAATCATCCCAACCCGGCTTCACAACCCTTAGCCCATCCCCAAAATCTTGATCCCTTGCTCCCTATAGACAAACCTTTCCATTGACCCTGCTGCTAAACACGATGCAGGGACGTGCTGCTCCAGCAGAAGTGCGTGACATCAACCCAAAGAGCTTTTGCTCCTCTGTATCGCAGCGGGTGACTTTGCATCATCTGTCACATTGCCAGCCTTTTACTTTGCGAGGGTGAGGGCAAGCAAAGGTGCAGCTGTGGCATGAAGCCTGCTGCTGCACGAATGCACTACCATCAGCCCCCTGAGCCACCTGTGAAACGAAGACGGGCTGAGGCACAGTCGAACCATTGGCGAGCAGTTTCGGTGCCTTTTGACTTGATCAAAGGGGCTGCATGCTGCAGCTTGCGTGATTTGAAAGCCACTTAGGTACGTCACTTCCTGGGCAATGAAAAGGACCTTCATATGGCACTTCATGGGCCTTCCTGTGACAACTTTTCCTGGAAACCGTCGGCCCACTGGTTTGATGTGCCATGCCAGCGCAACACGCGAGTTTCGCGCCTGTCTTCAGAACCCTAATCCCCTGCTTCAAACCATGGCTTGGAAAAGGAGTTACTGTAAGGGCTGAAAGGGATACTTTCATGATCTGCCCCGCAAACAGAGACTAGCGCCCGGTGGTTATTGAGACACTCGCGGATTGGCTTGCATCTTGGAGAAGGTCCTGATCCCATGTCTCGAAGAAGTTACGCGGCCCACACCTTTCCATCATTGCATGCCACTCCGGGGAAGTCCCACCGGCTACCATGAGACAAACGCCTCCGTTCACTGAGATCAGCACTATGAACCTGCGCTGGACATAGCCAACCCTCTGAGGTTGAAGCAGCGATTGGACTCTTGAAGGTTTCTACTGCTCCGTCAGCGGCACGAACAACTAAATTGAACTTGTTCATTCATCTGAGTCATCTGGCTTGTGAACTGTAGTTGCCTGAATTGAAACCTTATTAGTCTTGTTGCCTGACCTGGTGGCTTCATTGTGGGTGGCTACAGTAGCGTCTCTAACCTTCTGATTTCTTGGAGTTTGGGCAGTGCCCAACAGAACATTTAGACTACGGCAGCGATGGCCAATGTTAGCAAATGCACATTTACTTACACAATGTCTTTTCTGATCACGCTTATGTCTCACTAAGTAGTGTACGTGAGCGAAGGCTGCTCCACTCCAGCCTCCTGTTGCAAACCTGTACTTTTTCGAAGCTCCGCCTTGTAAATCGAAAGCCGAACTTAGACTTTGTGCGTCCGCCGCTCGTCCTCTTGTGGCTCGTCACTGCGCCGGCAGCTCAAAAGACCTCAGCAAGCGAGTCTTCCCTTGAGTTTATAGACAGTTTAGGTCGAGATAGGCATTCTGTGTGGGCCATACTTGGTTCAGAACACATGCAGTTAACTTGTTTCACTTCCCACGATTGCAAACATGCGATCCAAGTGTGCAGGCGGGTGATGCGCAAGCAAGGCTCGTTTGTTTTCCTTAATACCAGTAAAAAGGACACCTTCCGCAAAGCTGCCAAGAGTTGCTTTGCCACTTTGCCCTCGAACTTGATGACGATAGACACAGATAGTTTTCTGCAGTGCGCACGGCCCCTAAGCCCTAGAAAGAGTGCCTCGAAATTGATGACGACAGACACAGATAGCTTTCTACAGTGCGCACGGCCCTAAGCCCTAGAAAGAGTGCAATTGTGCCGCTTGAGTAGCCACCTGCGACGCCAAAAGACCTACCGGAAAGACTAAGAGACAGAGAGCCGCGACAGAGTTTTTGCTGAGAAACCGTGCCCTGCACCAGACGGAACCCAGAGCAAACAAACCTCCAACCATTCGGCGTGTCTGCGCGCAAGAAGGATCGCAAACAAATGCACACCGGCCCGTCGCGTCCCACGTGATGTTCCGCAAGTCATGTCCGGCTCCGCTTGCCATCAAAGCACGCAATCGACGAAGCGCGCACGGCATGCCCTGCTATTTGAGCTGTCAAAGGCTGTGAGTGATGAACGGCACAAGGGAGCAATTTGCAAGCAGTGCTGTGCTGTGTGCATTTCTATGTTCACCGAAACTTAAGGCAACAGGTAGGAAAGCCAAACTAGTCGACGTCAAGGGGCCATCGGGACTCCGTGAATCACAATGCCCTCCTGCTCGAGTCCTGCATCTGCATCAAGTGCCACCTCGTGTCGATGATCTGCTCAGAATTGCTGCGGAGGTAAATGCCAAGCGATGGAGCAGCAAGATGCTCCACTAGCGATAGATGCCTGCTCAACCTAGCCGGCGTACGATTATTTTCAGACAACTATCTGTGCTGGTAACTTGTTGTTTCCGCCTCTTATTTCGGCTACCCTACACACAGGCTCTGGGACGAAGCCCCTGCACTGTAGATGCTTCTCATGTCGCCACATGCCAGAATGCAAGCATGGATCCCCCGCATTGTACTCACTTCCAGTTAATGCTTCTCAACCAATCTTACACAGGATGCTCAAAAAGTCGACATTTACATCCAGCATCTGCCCGCAAAGGTGCCGTAATGATGCTGCCTTTGTAATGAACCTGCAGGCAGGGGAACAATCGGAAAAGAGATGCCCTACAAATCTCTGAAGGCTAGCTGTGCTCCTACACGACCATGGCATGCCAGACGGCCCATCACGCCGATTGTTCCCGGTCTCCAGTGGCAAAACACTTTGCCTTGCGCAGGCACATGACAAACAAACGTGCCTGGTGGCTCTCAGTCTGCTCGAGTTTCCGGGCTTCCTGGCTGCACTCAAGCCGAAAGGCACATGGATTGCTGAAGTGTGACGCTAGCAGCACCACCCAGCTTCCAGCTCATTCCCACCTTCGCGGTGCTCACACGGAACATCGTCAACCATCCATCGCCGCGCCTGCCAATTGCTCGAATTTACACCCAGCAACCATGAGGAACATGCGGAATGTAAAGGTCCTGCTGAGGATAGGTATTTATGCTACATTTGTCGAGGGGGCCCTTTGTGTAATCCCCAGATTCAGGAAACACATTTCCACATCCAAATTGTGGCAACATGTGCCGTGGGAGCAGCTAATGTCCATCGTATCGTTAGCCCTACAATGCTAGTCTTTTTTCGCCTGGCAACGTGACCGAGCCTGAGCTGACAGTCCGAGAGTGGCCACAAGGTCCTGAGGGAAGGTTGCTGTGCAAGTTTTCGTGAGATCTTTCAAAGATCTTTCAGTGATTCCCAAGTCCGGTCGCAAGTTGCCAGCAAGTTTGTCACAATCGACTGACCCACTTTTCTTCTGTGGTCGCATGCTCAGGCATCGGCTCTTCCAACTTGGATCTCAGAGCAACGCCATCGCGTGCCCAGGGTGAGGCCTGGATTGCACAGCGGTGGTCACTGGTGATGTGTGTGTGTGTGCCATATAAGTGACAGATGTTGACATGAAGCCAGTGGATCTACCGTGGCCAAGGTGCAGATAACGAAATCATGTAGTCCTCACTCGTCCTCTTCTTTTCTGTACCTGGGCCATGCTGGGCTCAACACTTGCGTATTCCGCCGAGGCCTTCGGCTGTAGGAGTTTTTGTAGTGTTTCAAGTACCCATTAAAAAATCGCACCACCCAATCCGCCTTCCCGGACCCGGCCGACCAAGGGCCCCGTGAGCCGCGCACTTGCCAACAGCCAAGAGCTGTTCCATCTGTTCCGAACCCCCGACAAATACCCCCGCAAACATGATGGATCTGCTAATTGCCCCCCGGAGGCTCCCCTGTGGACCTGGCATGGTCTTGCGTAGGTCCCTGCGGACTTCCTATTCCCAAAACCCCCCTTACGCACGCTATGCACCTGCTGCGAAGGTATCCGGAAGCCCTCCAGGCTCTTTGTGGACCTCCTATGATGGTCCGTGCTTGATGTGAGTTGTATTCGTGGAAAGTACTCCCGCATGGTGCTTACAACTTCATTCTGTTCCCTACTTGTCGGGCGTAGTGTTTTGTTCCGAGAAGCGCCCTGCAGGCATGACATGTCGAGCGAAGTGCCAGTACGTTTGATGTGTGCATGGAAACTTGCAATATTCCTGGTGTCATGCTTTTGTTGGAGTTCTTGCAGGCTCCTTGTTTTTGCGCGTGCAATTTCCAAAGCGAGCGGTAGAAAGCAGTGCAGCTGTGGCGAGCGGGGATTGCTCCGTCTCGGGTTGCAGCATGACTCCCCACACTTCCACCATGTACGCCAAATCGTCGCAGCGTAGAACCATGCTTGTCCAAGCAAGCGGGGACATTCCTGCACAAGACTTTTCAGTTTCTTCAAGCGCCCGCCAGCGTTGCCGGATGGAGATTCTGCCAAGCAGCGCATCGTCACTGATGCCAATGACCAAAGTAGGACTCATGGGGATTAACGGTGATGTTCTGCACCGACCGACTACACGCGGATTCTGCTCAGCCGTGCTGCGTCGCGACCTGTTCCGGGAACATCTCGCTCTGCCAGAGATGTTCCCAATAGCACAGTGTGTCCAGATAGCCGACAGTGCTGTTTGCAGATGATGCCAAAAGAACAGATCCACCAGCAAGTGATACTGCTCAGTACAGCTCCTACCCTTTTTTTTCACTTCAGGCTCCTGCCGATGAGACGCGCAGATCCACGTAACATCGGCATGGCTTGTCTTACCTCGACGGTTAGAGGGCAATGTGGTTGTGGAATCCGGCAAGAGCCAACGGGCGCCATAGGCATTGCCTACCTGTGTCAGCGACATATCTGGCTATATGACACGAGTGTGTATTGGGGGATGATGACATCGAAGGAGGAATGCACGGCCCAAATCTGGAAGGCCGTGAAATGACGAGTTACTGTTGACGTGCGGAAAGAATGCCTCGCGTTGCATTTGCCAGTCTGCAGTCTTGAATGTGCGCTTGATTGCATGCCTGCCTTGTCATCATGGCACCTCGGACGAAACCTGCATGGAAGACACACGAACCTGCGCTGAAATGCTGACAAGGAGTTGCTCTTCCTGGAGCTGAGGAACCAAACAGCGCGCACGCCACTCACAAGCATGCACACTGGGCCGCTAGGCAACTTTGCAGTTGCCCCAGCGAACTAAGGCTATCCCTGTGGAAGAACACCTCCTGAATAAGAAGTCGCAACGCGCCGATGAAGCTCCCGCTTGGCTGGTGCAAACACGCTGCCAAAAAGGTGGCTACGCGGGTGACTCGCACATGAATCGAGCGATTCATCAATTGAAACCCAGTCTGCTGCATTATGACGTGCTAATTGTGTCGTGGTCCTGCTGCCTCTCGAGTGGTTATCTGTATTCGGATTCATGGCCTTTATCAAGTTGTTACTTTGTTGCTGGCGGGGTTTACGGGAGGATAGGGAGCAACACATAGGAACATGGGCGATCTGTGGCCGATCCATACAAACATGCTTCGACCCCAAGGCTACACTAAATATCGTTAAAAACTTGAGTACTCCTCCTACATGGCATGCGGCATGTGCTGAATCCAGTTAAGGTGCTAATCTCCAAGATACCTCCGTCGTAATACTCCACGGCCATCTTCGCATGATCCGGAGCATTGAACTGGATCGAGGCCACACAATCCTTGGCTTTCCAAGGTCGACAATCAACCTTGAGTACGCAATGCTGCAGGAAGAAATGACGAAGCAAATACGAGCAGCTTCCTCGACAAACACATTCACACGTTAAGAGCCGAGGTTCGTTCAGCACGCACTTCTCGATCGGGCCAACGTGCTTCTCAAAGATGTGTCTCGGATGGTCAAACTGAAACACTGCAAAAACCCACTTGTTCAGAACGTTCAAATAATATCAGCCAATATCTGAGCCAAAACCAAACTCTCCAGGCATAGCTGGCGCTGTCAAGCGATGCTGCCAAGAAGCTGAAGGTCCTTGGACTTGACGCTCTTCATGAGGTTGTACACCTCAAAACTCTTCGCAAAGTCATTGCCGCAAACCAATAAGCATGTCATGGCCACAGCATGTCCTGAAAATCGATTGTGTACATTTTGGACTGTGCACGTGTGTACACTGCTGTGTGGACTGTTTAGCCTGAAGTAGGATTCAAGAACTGCCTTTGTGTTGACCTCCTTGCACGGAACTTTTGCCAAGGAGCTTTCACGCGGTTCAGCCGAGGTCGAACCCTGCATCAATGTGCGGAATAAGTGGCTATGGCGGCTAAGCTTAGAGTACATGTGGCGGAACCCTTACAGGGTCGGATCTCTAAATTCCAAATCCTTTGAAGCCCCGGAGCTTTAGAGATTTTAGAGGCCTGACAACTTGGCACTTTGGCATTCGTGGAATTTAATTTGGTAATCAGTCCCAAGGCGCGGAATTCTAGAAACCCATCAACGAGCACAGCATCAAGCAATTGCTTTCAAATTTCAAACTCTTGTTTATCCCGTTGCTAGTGCGAGCAGTCGAATGCAAGAGCGTTTGGACCACACATTGATGGCAGAAGGGTCTATATTGCTCGGACACATCCAGCTGTTGGCTCTTCTAGATACCTTTGACTTTGACAGGTCACGTAGGCATGGTCTCCCAGGGGGAGCCCGACATGCTGCCGGTCGCTTGTCTTGCCTCAGAAACCACGAAAGAACCCGCAGTTCACCACGTTCACCATAGTTCACCCATCTTCAAATGGTTCTCTTATCCAAGGCCAGAAGCCTGATGCCAAGCTGCCTCGATGCCAGGCGGGCCCGGCTGCTCTTGGGCCTCAGCAATGGAACGCCTGGACACCAGCCAGGCTTGGACTTTGTAAGCATCTGCTGGACCCAAAAAAAAGTCGAGCAAGCACGCGAAGAAGGCCGCGACGACATCTGCGTCAGGGGACTTCCTGAGCCGGAGTGCTTTCATGTTGGGGCGCTTTCCGATGGCAACGGCAGAAATGCGAGCAACCATGGAATGCCATGGCACTTATTGCATCTGCACTCTCGTGTTGGCCTACCTCCTGGCTTTATTACCCGTTCCCCACGCCACAGGTTATTGTCACTTCACTCCGAGACACGGCCGGCCGAGTGCGAACTTTGGCCTGAGACAATGAGACAATACCAAGCTTCAGACTGCTGCGCAAGAAAAGCCACCAGTACCGAACCGTGACAGCCGCCAAGCCGAAGTAACTTACGTCAAAGGGGCAACGCATCTGGAAGTTCATCAGCACCAGGCTGGCTTCGCTGCCTCAGCTTGATGCTTCATAGTGCAGTGCAATGAGTTTAGGATAGTTTAGGACACTGCATGGCCAGTCGTTCTGGATTGAAAGTGCTCTGACAGCCGTCGTTTCAATCCAGCGGCTGGTCCTGATACTCCAGCATTGCCGCTAGCAGCTCCTGCCATAGGTGCTTTAAGGGGTGCTTTGGGCAGGACGGTGTAGACACACACACACACACATCATGCGCGTGGCTCGCAGGAGCCCACTCATAACATGTGAATCATAAGTGAATTGTTGAATGGAACCTTTGTGATCTCATTGACGCGGGGCCTGGATTGGAATGTCCAGGGAAAGGCCCAATGTCAAGGCCGGCGCGCCTCGAAACTGATTACAGCCTTCATCATCGAGCATCACGGTCCAAAAGCTGATCGTTGGAAGAGATGCTTTATGGTGCTAGCTGCTAGATGCACATGTGAGCGTCCATGTTCTGCGCAGTTCCACTGAGCTGGCGTCCTGTGGCTCCCGGGCCTTCCTGAGAAAGGGGGCAGGCGGAAGAGGGGAAGGGCGGTACATAGATATATATATATGTGTGCGCATGGAGAAGAGAATTCGATGTATTGACACTCAGGATTCCAGGCATCTGGTGCCTTCATGCCGATGGAGCTGCCCACGCAGGAGACATGAATCGGCAGGGAGTACCCCATGATTCGCCTCTACGTTGCACCAGGACTGAGCAGGACTGGGAATTAAGACTCACCAGGCCAACAGCATCAAGCATCATTGATCAACTACAGCTCAGACTGTCTGGCGCTACCCCTGCCTCTGATAGCGCGTATGCGGCAAAGGTGCGGCTAATTGCAGCGGCAACTTCTTGTAATCTCTGGTAATGCATTGTTCTGTAGCTTCGGATGATGGGCTTCGTTGGACAGCCTATGCTTGCAAGCTGAATTCAGATCTTGTTTGGCAAGCAACTGCGCAAATCTTGGAGCAACGTTTCCAGCTAAACTTAGGCCAAGAAATGACGTGCGAGATTGTCAGCGGCACGTGATCGACTCGCAATCTTGAGATGTCGCGGCCATTCTTGGCCTGTTGCCATCTGGACAGAGGAAACCATGGCGTGCGGTTGAATAGTGGTTGAATCATTCGAAAGGTCTGCCACGCAGCCGGGTTCCAGACCTTTCATTAGCCCTCGCTGCCAATCCGCATGTCTGGGCCTAATTGGCACAAAATCCAACTTGTGTCATAAAAACATCCTCGTAGTAGGCCTCCATTTGTTCTTGTTGCAGTGCTCCCTTCCCGGGCCGCTCACCAACAGCGTGCGGGCCACTGGCTTCCGGGTCTCCTGGGCCAAGGTTGAGGAGTTGCATGTCGTTGGGGAAAATTGAGGACGCGGGGACGGTGACTTCTGACGCGTCACTGATGCGTCATCAATGATTTCTGGTTCTTGGGCCCAGGCCACCCTCAGCGCCTGCTCAGCAGAACTTAATGCTCTGAGCGCTGCATCCTGGGCGCATCACGATCTTTGTCAGTGCAGGCCACGCAAAACAAAATGTCTTGGTTCGGCACGTAGTCTGCAAACTGAATTCGCACTTCGGCTAAGGCAAGCAGTGCCTGTGACCAGGTTGTGATAGCTGCTAGCTGATAGCTGATGTCAAACATGTGTCGGCTCGGTGTAGTTTCCATGTACTCCTCTGCTGGATGCTGCCTTCACATCGCCGGCTTCGCCGGCTTCCATTCGCACTGCCTCTGAAGCCAAACTCATCGCCTTCCAATGGGCGCTCTGTCGGGGCGTCATCGTCACAAGCAATGTGGTCTCGACACTGCCTTCTTGAAATCCTCAGCAAACAAGGCCACCTCATGGCAGGCGACAGTGTAAGCCAACAGCAGCTTCAATGCAACTGCAATCATGCAGTCAAACGTGCGAAATATGCGAAGCCCTCTGACTCTTGGGTACTCCTGCGTTTGGCACCTTGGCCTGCGCCTGCAAAATTCGGCTTCGCCTCGGATCTTGCATTCTCAGATCCGGCATTATCTGGCACTGCCTTCTCATGTCTGGTCTCAAGGTGCTGGCAGCGAGGCCACAGGTCGTGCTGAAGCAACGGCAAGAGGCCGTTCAGCAGCTGGTGCCTGTCCTCCACTCCACACACTGGCTAAGCATGGTTAAGCAAAGAACTGTATGGCTTGGCCTGCTGCTGCGTCATTAGTATGCACATTGAGGCATGGCATACTTCTACTGCCGATAGGCATTCAACAAGCTTAACTACTCATGCATTCACCCACCTCCTATCTACTTACATTGGGCCGCTTCCGGCCGCCATTGTAATGAAAATCCCAGCTTATTTAAGTTTGTCCCTGGAGATACCCACCTACCCTCCTGCGCTTACCCCCGGCAGGCTAGGGGCGAAGGCCCCCCGCAGCTTGAAATTTGCCGGGCATGGGGGTGCAGTACTTAGGAACTTGAAAAGCTTTGGCCTGGGTATTGTAGCTGAACCATCACACTGTAGGAAACTTGCATCTCCGCAGCGTGAAAGCAGCAGCATCAAACACAAAAATTGTGCGACTGCGTTGTGTGATCTTCAATCCTCTTCCGATCTCAACTCGTACGGACAGCTTGTTGGTAGCGGGCCGAGGTGGAGGGCGCGAAGCCGGGCAGCATGTACAATTTGCTTGTTCAAGTTCAATGGTTAAAGGCGTTATTCTTCACAGCTTGCTGCAAGCCTGCGGCAAGCAGCGCCTCAGCCAAAAGAAGATTGGCCTGCACGCGTGTGAGAAACATGAGGCAACATTTCGATGGTAGCTGCCAGCAGCTGTAGCTGACGGCTCGGCATGACTCAGCTCCTGGTGCCTCCGCATCCGAAGGCTCGGCAGCCTGGTGCACTGAAGCTTCCGATTTTTTTGGCATGCTTTGGTCATCCTGAAGCTCACTGTGTCACTGGGCCTGCAGTCGCCTGGCTGCCTGCGGGACAACGGTTCCCGGTACGCATTTTCCATTGTCCATGTTGTGCAGTTCTCTCTCTGTCTGCAAATGTCTCGATGAACCTCTTGTGCTGTTCTGCCATGGCCCGTCTCAAGCAGGCAGCGCACCACTCCTCTCAGGGCCTCTGGACATGCAACACTTTTGAACACTGCTCTCTCTTGGTTTGCCTTGCATGCGGTCACAGATCAAGAATCCTCAGCAGCTACTCTGAGCCGAGCACATCGAGATTGCTTCCGTCAGTGTCCAAGATCTTCCTGCTGCCCGAATCCACACGATGCGTGTCGCACGCTAGTAGGAGCACACCATGGCGTTGCTATAACGCCGTCCTGTACATTGCATAAGCCTGCTGAAGGTTTCCGCTGACCCTCTGCTCCTCTGCCTGCCAGTCACCGAGGGATTGTTTCAGGTTTGCAATTGCGTTCTGGAGGGTGGGGTCCCTGATGGTCCCTGGGAGGATCTCTAAACAGGAAGGTGCGGGCTCCGGCGACCTTCGCTTGCCTTAGAGCCTTTGAGATGGCCTCTGAAGCTGAGGCTTGCTGGGCCTCGCTCGAGAATGCTATTGCCACCCCTTATTGTCATCTCAGGAGATCGCAAGGGCTAGAGGCCTGCAGTGCTGCAGACCCCCTATACATATCATAGACAAAAAATGAACTGATTAATGTCCAACTGTGCATTTATGGACGTTTATTCGGATGCATGTGTAAGTTGTCCTAGTAGTTGTCCTTGCAACTCATCAGACTATCCTGTCTCTAGGGTTCCTGAATCAGGAATCCTGATGTAATGAAAAAAAGCTCAACGCAGTCAACACCGTGTCGTTGGGATGCATAGCCTCCATTGCCTCCTCCGATTCTCTCATACCAGGAGGACACTTTGAACTTGCGGACTTATAACCCACTTATAAGTGACTTAGGTTGGAGTATTTATAAGTGAGTTATAAGTAACTTAGAAGTAAGTTATAAGTAGACCTAAGTCCTATCAGGTTTTCACAAAATTGTATTTTGTACGATCGACGTCCGTTTGCCAGGAATGGTGATTTTCGCATCCCATTTTCGCAACCGCCCGCTGCACACTCTCGCTCGTCCGGCGCAGGAAGCGTAGCCCGTGCTGGCGGCGTTGGGAGACTTCCTTGCTCAAGCGGCAATTGTGGCACTGCAAGGTTTCCACCGTCTGCTCGGCTTGGGTTCTGGTAGCTGGGTTTGGGGTTGAGGGTATAGGGATCCAAGCAGGGAGCCGGGCATGAAAAACCTGGCCCTACATGTGTAGCCCCAGCAGAACACATTGTTTTGGCCGCGCGGACATGCTCTGTTAGGCAGAGGCCTATACTGGGGCCGAGGAGACCGCGGACATCCGCGGACATCCGCGGACACCCGCGGACATCCCGCGGACGCAGCCCGGGAGCTCTCCGCAACTCACTGCTCCGCAAGCACGTCGGCGAGAAAAGCGAGGATCTCGCAATTGGCAGCGCTGTCCGGTATTTTATCAGGGTGGCAAAAGGATGCTGCGGAACGTAGAGCAGGATGTTAGTGAGTTTTTTTGCGTGGCCCGGCGCGTGGAAACATGACGCACTGGAGCGGCTGACGTGCCGCCGTTACAAGGGGGACAACGGACAAAAACTTGAGGCGGCCGTGGCAAGTCGGGCTGCAAGGAAACCCGATTTATCACAACAACATGACACGAAAAGCAACAACAAATAGCACAAAAAAAAGGTGGTTCGTAAGTAGACCTAAGTCCACCTAAGTCAAGATAAGTCCGACAGGCCAAGTATTTATAAGTGACTTATAAACGTTTATAAGTTCAACAAAAATCGACATACTTATAACTCACTTATAACTCAGTTACAGGACTTATAACTAAGTCGTTATAACCAAGTTATGAACAGCTTATATCCAAAGCGCCCTCCTGGTATGAAATGAATGAAATCACACGACTCCTTGACCCTCATCTACAGTCCCGGCGCCTGCTGGAGATTGAGGCTGCGGCTAGGCTCGGCAAGACTTCCGCGCGCTCGGCCTCGTTGGAAGCATACTGCATGCTCAGTGGCCTGGGTCAGCTCAGCACAAGTTGCGAATCCAGGCCGCTTTTTCTCTTGGCAAGGGCTGGCGTTTGTTTCGAAAAAACCAGCAGCCATACGCGCAGAAAAGTTCGCCGAACACATGCAGAGTCCGACTTGCTTGAGGCCGCTTCGTTGTGTTCGCGGTGTGCCAAATCGTCTCAAGAACGGCCGAGCAGCGGATATCGCGTGAGTTCATCTCGCTGCTCGTCGTTGCTTAGAGCATCTCTTGCGGAGCCTTCTCGGTGTTCTCACAGTCCCAGTGCTTGGTCGCCTCTGGCATCATTTCGTCTGGACCGTCGCCTTGCGTGTCCTTCCTTGCAAGTCTGTCGTCCACCAAGAACAAGTCCCCCAACTCACCCAAGCTCTCTGCACCTTGTTCTACAAGGATTGCCGATGTCCATGTTCAAGCTCATTTCGCTCATTCCATTCATTCCTAGGTCCTCGACCATCTTCACCAGTGCTGCAGCAGAGCCCAGCATCGAAGTCGATCCAGCTGTTCCCTCTTGATGCCCTCAGCTGCTTTCGATAGCAACACGTCTTTCGGCTTTTGAGAGCTGACGTAAACTGGAAGCTTCAGTTCAGAGATGTCAAGGTTGATGGCGCGCAGCTGCAACAATCCTTGGCCAACTCAAGTCCAGGTTCGCCATGCTCGCATGCGGCGATCAAGAACATCAGCGAACATCGCTCTTCCTAGCACGTCTGCCGCTCTTATTTCCAGACTCTTTGGCTTGCAGTGTGACTATGAGACCCCCTGCCAAGCTGGAGAAGGAATAAGAAACGACAAGAGGCTTGATGTCTTGCAGAGATGGGGACCCTCCGTGTATCTGTTGTCGGAGAACTACGTTGTCACTGCGTAGGCGATGGCACTCCTGAAGTGCAGTTCTTTCCGCTGCTGCAACACCTAATCATAATCTCACCTAATTACAACAATTTGCAACATACTCACATACATCTACGCAACATGCAGCAGCGCATAGCAGCACATAGCAGGACTGTTTGCCACATCCGGTTGCTAAGGACTTACTGCATGCTTACCCCCCGGTCCTGCCGCAGGACCTTTCGCTGCTCTTCTACCTCCGCAGTTCTTGCCTGAGCCACTGACCTCAAGCGTTTGGGTGGGCAGTGGACATCTGAGCTCAACGTGGACTCTGGGGCACTGGGGCCAAGGCTCAGCAGCCGCGGCGCGCTCTACGTGCGCTGTCAAAGCACCGCACTCGCTGCGTAGCATGCCCTGTGCCTGGCAAACTCTCCGTACTTCACTTCACTTCATGCCAGTCCCCACAGGACATGCGCACACCCACAGCCCACCCCATTTTGACACGTCCATCTTTCGACGGTGCAATCAGAACCCAGCTGCAAGATCATATAGGCACCCGACGACAAGCCAGTCATAGCCAGTCCCAAGTGTGCACCACCAACGACACCAACACCCCCACAACAACGGCAACAGCAACGTCGAGTTTGCATCCCACGTCACTGGCAGCTTTATCTGCTTTGCTGGACCGTGCGCCACAGTGTGACACGGAGAACCGCAGAGACGCCCGCGCACACACTCACTGATTCACTCAATGTCCTATTATACGCACTTGTTATGCAAAAAGACTCGTCACCTCTTGTGCGGCAAGGAGAAGCTGTTCGCTGCGCCGCCTCAGATCGCCAAAAATGCCATGCCGCAAGACACCGAAACACACCTCACCCAATTGCTATACCTTGCAGACTGCACAGGCATGCACAGGCGCTCATGAAACACATGCCTCAAATGGGATCTAGCGGCTCGTTTGACGTTGCAGCTGCCAGCTCTCTGGTCTCACTCTCGAACCTAGACAAAGACATGCAAAATCATGGCAAACACACAGGCGCTAACTAACCGAAATACACAGCACGTACTCTTTAGTGCCCTCGCTTTGGCCTTGCCCTCATTGCAGTCAATTTGTCGATGGCGATCTCCTCTCTGGCTGCTGCCTCATACAGACACAATTTGATGGGGCGGTATCACCATTTGGGCTGCCGGAGGACAGGAGAAGGAAAACCTGACATGACCACTTGCTCATCAGCTGGACATTCTAAAACGTCATGGTGGCCGAAAAACCCATGCCCGCGCAATGCTGGTTCCCAGCCACTTGCACTCTTGCAGACGACTTTAAACAGGCGTGTCCAGGATCCAGGAGCTGCGAACCGTCCAAGTTTTTGCTGCAAGGCACGCTCTCTTCTGCATGGCGGATGTCGGACATCAGGCTTCGCAAGGACGCCGCAGCACGCTCTGACCTGCTCAAGAAATCTGCGCATGGAGCTCATTACATGGGAACGGCTTGGCATACAGGCTTCCGTCGGCTCTCCGCGCAGCCATATCCAGTGTGGCTCAATGCCTTGAAACCCCTTCGGTCAAGATCTTCGCTAGCTTCAAGATCTACGAAGGAACATGCTTCTTGAGTCTCATGAACACATGTGGCATTGCAACTTCAATGGAAAACTTGAGCGATCAGCGCGTATGGTTTAAGATCCATTAAATTCGGTAAGCTGGTTGCAGTGGCCAGCTCGGGTCGAGCACTTATGTAGACATGAGCAAGCTTCCAGCATCTCTGAGGGTGGAGGAACGGGAGCCATCATTCTGCCAAATGATGTCACATGCTCTTGCAGGACTGCATCTGCAGAGTCCCTGTGTCGGCTCGTGGAAAGCTCCATTTGGGCAACTGCTAGGCAACAGAGTTCTCGAGCACGTGTTCGACACTTGTATAACTTGTCGGCACCAAGCTGGAGACTTGCCAACAACCGCATCTGAGTGATCTGAGAGTACACGGAGAAGTACAGGGACAGATCACACAGCACCGTAGGAAGCCAGTAGAAGGGGCCTCTGCATCGCTGCGAGGTCCATGACGGACTGCTGCTGGACTGTCAGAAGCTCTTCCTCAAACACCGAGCTCAGAGCTTTAGGGGCCACGCCGGAGAAAAAGACTTTCAGTTTCCCTGCCTGCAGCTCGTTGCTGAACGCCAGAAGCTGAGCATTTGAAGACGCCACGCTGGCCGCCTTGCAATGTCAAACCACTCAGCATTCTCACACAGACCTCTCATAACCTTTGTAAGGCAACACCAAGCCTCTTCTTGGAGAGTAGCCAGCTCCGAGGCCATCGCGGCCGACGCATCCCGGCGCAAACCTGCTCAAACTAATTAATTGAGTGCGGCACAAAGCTTGTTCTGAGCACTGGCCATCTCGCGTAGCAATGCAAGCAGAGTCGCTCTGGCATTCTTGGCGCGACTCCTTCAGCTCGACGTGAGCCATCCTCGGTTCACCAAGCACAGCCGGGAGCCACAAGCCAGACTTGAATGACCCTGAAGGCATAGCCACATCGCTTGCGGAACTGCCTACAAAGGAACGAGTTAGCACACATCAGGCCCTGGAAGTGGACACTCATGCAGAGAATTACACATCATTCGAGAGAATACACATCACAAGATGCGAAACCCCAATGTGGCCGCCGTTTACCGTTCTCAGCCACTGATCGTTCACAATCCACCAAACCTCACGGACGCTGATGTTTCGGGCCACGTTTGCTTCAACGCGGCATGCATTTTGGCAGCAACTCCCCAAAGAGACGCAACTTTTTCTGCAGAAACAACTAGTTGTTTGAAATCCACCAAACCTCGCGAACACTCATTCAGGGCTGTGTGTCCAGTGAACCAAATCCTGCGACGGAGACCCCCTTGTGTATTGCTAACAACTCAACTTCCGCAAGGTCTTCCGCAAGCCACGGGCTTCTGCGAAACCTTCCACCTGCTTCCGCGAGCACAAAGCGATGGTTTTGGACCCAAATAACCGTCGTTGTTTGCGGATTCGTTAGTGCTTTCACAACCGCTTAAATAGACCGCTGCTCATTTGGGGAGAAGGAAGCCCAGGTCACATGCTGCCATTGCTCGACCCCCGTGTGGCATTGAATGCAGGCCCCCTTGTTCTTCCTGTGACGACGTAGTTTGCATGCAAGATCCCCTTGTGGACGCCCCAGCGACGAAAAATTGGAGCAGTTTGGATCGTTGCTGGGTCCTGATCCGAAGTGCAAACCGCCAATGTGGACGCCGACCGATGTGTATTTACACAGAGCGATGCGAGTTAAAAAACCAAAGACCAAGTACAGCCATCTTGGTCAATCAGAGGCTCAGCGCGAAGTTCTCCTCCCGGATCTCCGCTTCGATGCCTCGTACTGCGTGGTTGCCACCGGCATGAGTGGACTACGTGTATAGTCTGCAGTACAACATGACCGACACAAGCATAGCAGGCTCGAATGAGACTTGTGCTGTGGCCCTGTGCAGGTGAATGTGACCAACTGTGAAGAACCACTTGCTTGGCCTGTTTCCACGAGCTGCTGCTTGAGGCGCGAAACCTCGGCGGCCTGAGCTTGCGCTACCATGCGTACACGAGTCATGCTCCAGCTCGTCTTGCTGTGCTTCACTGCTTCACCTGGCTTTGTCGTGCGCACGTCACCTTGAAGCCCTTTGAGGAAGCAGCGTGTTTCCGTTGCTCTGCAGACACCTCCTGAGCGCAACAAGTGCCGAAGCGGCCTTTGGCATGTGGGCATGTGGATCTGCACAAATTGTGCAAGGCGGTCTCTGAGAAACCAGCTGTCTGCAGTTGGCGCGTCTGCTTTTCGAGCCTCAAGGGTCACAGTCTAACACAGTCCAACAACAAGCTTGAACATAAGGACTTTCTCAAGACAATTCTGATCGAACATGATCGAACTACTATAAGGATCGCAGGGTTTCCGGCTGCCGGCTATCGCAATGCCAGGCCCATTGTACATGTGTGTGAGAAGGAGAATGCGTTCGACCATCATGCCACCAAGGGAAGGCTGACATTTTGGTCTTACTAGACGAACCAGAGATGCAGAAGCTGCCAGGGGCGGGTCTCAAAGACAAGCGGCTCTGCTTCCGCCCGGCCGACCTCTGCGGCCACTGCACTTTCCGTCTGCGCTTCCTCATTCAGGGACTCACGGTGAGCGAAGATGCGGCGGTGCTTCTTTAGATTTCTTTAGACAAAGGCATGTCCTGCTGGATCTCGCTGGTTGCCTGAAGCTCCCTGCTGAAAGCCAGCTGAGCGTTTAAAGACGCCGCAGCAGCTGCCTTGCCATTCTTGACCACATCCAACAACACAGCGTTGCACGGATGTCACCCCCGATGCAACTCAGCATGACTTTGCATGAAGACCCAGACCGGACGACCTTGTATGAGGCAACGCCAAGCGCCTCTTCTTTGAGAGTGGCCAGCTCCGCGGCCATCGTGGCCGACGCATTCCGCAAACCTTGTCAAAGCAGCAACCCAAGTTGAACCGAAGTTGAAGTCCTCATGTCGCACATGCCAAATGCCTCTCCTGCCGTAGCCTACCGTGGAAGACTTGCTCTGGGATGTTCTGAGCACTGGCCATCTCGCGTAGCAATGCAAGCAAAGTCGCTCTCGCATTCTTGGCGCGACTCCTTCAGCTCGACGTGAGCCATCCTCGGTTCACTAAGCACAGCCGGGATTGACAAGCCAGACTTGAATGATCCTGAATCCGGAAGGCACAACCACATCGCTTGCGGAACCGCCTACAGCCATCTTGGTCAATCGATTGGATCAAAGGCTCAGCGCGAAGTTCTCCTCCCGTGTCTCCGCTTCGATGCCTCGTACTGCGTGGTTGCCACCGGCATGAGTGGACTACGTGTATAGTCTGCAGTACAACATGACCGACACAAGCATAGCAGGCTCGAATGAGACTTGCGCTGTGGCCCTGTGCAGGTGAATGTGACCAACTGTGAAGAACCACTTGCTTGGCCTGTTTCCACGAGCTGCTGCTTGAGGCGCGAAACCTCGGCGGCCTGAGCTTGCGCTACCATGCGTACACGAGTCATGCTCCAGCTCTTCTTGCTGTGCTTCACTGCTTCACCTGGCTTTGTCGTGCGCACGTCACCTTGAAGCCCTTTGAGGAAGCAGCGTGTTTCCGTTGCTCTGCAGACACCTCCTGAGCGCAACAAGTGCCGAAGCGGCCTTTGGCATGTGGGCATGTGGATCTGCACAAATTGTGCAAGGCGGTCTCTGAGAAACCAGCTGTCTGCAGTTGGCGCGTCTGCTTTTCGAGCCTCAAGGGTCACAGTCACAGTCTAGCACGGTCCAACAACAAGCTTGAACATAAGGACTTTCTCAAAACAATTCTGATCGAACATGATCGAACTACTATAAGGATCGCAGGGTTTCCGGCTGCCGGCTATCGCAATGCCAGGCCCATTGTACATGTGTGTGAGAAGGAGAATGCGTTCGACCATCATGCCACCAAGGGAAGGCTGACATTTTGGTCTTACTAGACGAACCAGAGATGCAGAAGCTGCCAGGGGCGGGTCTCAAAGACAAGCGGCTCTGCTTCCGCCCGGCCGACCTCTGCGGCCACTGCACTTTCCGTCTGCGCTTCCTCCTCGAGGGACTCACGGTGAGCGGAGATGCGGCGGTGCTTCTTTAGACAAAAGCATATCCTGCTGGATCTCGCTGGTTGCCTGAAGCTCCTTGCTGAAAGCCAGCTGAGCGTTTAAAGACGCCGCAGCAGCTGCCTTGCCATCATTGACCACATCCAACAACACAGCGTTGCACGGATGTCACCCCCGATGCAACTCAGCATGACTTTGCATGAAGACCCAGACCGGACGACCTTGTATGAGGCAACGCCAAGCGCCTCTTCTTTGAGAGTGGCCAGCTCCGCGGCCATCGTGGCCGACGCATTCCGCAAACCTTGCCAAAGCAGCAACCCAAGTTGAACCGAAGTTGAAGTCCTCATGTCGCACATGCCAAATGCCTCTCCTGCCGTAGCCTACCGTGGAAGACTTGCTCTGGGATGTTCTGAGCACTGGCCATCTCGCGTAGCAATGCAAGCAAAGTCGCTCTCGCATTCTTGGCGCGACTCCTTCAGCTCGACGTGAGCCATCCTCGGTTCACTAAGCACAGCCGGGATTGACAAGCCAGACTTGAATGATCCTGAATCCGGAAGGCACAACCACATCGCTTGCGGAACCGCCTACAGCCATCTTGGTCAATCGATTGGATCAAAGGCTCAGCGCGAAGTTCTCCTCCCGGATCTCCGCTTCGATGCCTCGTACTGCGTGGTTGCCACCGGCATGAGTGGACTACGTGTATAGTCTGCAGTACAACATGACCGACACAAGCATAGCAGGCTCGAATGAGACTTGCGCTGTGGCCCTGTGCAGGTGAATGTGACCAACTGTGAAGAACCACTTGCTTGGCCTGTTTCCACGAGCTGCTGCTTGAGGCGCGAAACCTCGGCGGCCTGAGCTTGCGCTACCATGCGTACACGAGTCATGCTCCAGCTCTTCTTGCTGTGCTTCACTGCTTCACCTGGCTTTGTCGTGCGCACGTCACCTTGAAGCCCTTTGAGGAAGCAGCGTGTTTCCGTTGCTCTGCAGACACCTCCTGAGCGCAACAAGTGCCGAAGCGGCCTTTGGCATGTGGGCATGTGGATCTGCACAAATTGTGCAAGGCGGTCTCTGAGAAACCAGCTGTCTGCAGTTGGCGCGTCTGCTCTTCGAGCCTCAAGGGTCACAGTCACAGTCTAACACAGTCCAACAACAAGCTTGAACATAAGGACTTTCTCAAGACAATTCTGACCGAACATGATCGAACTACTACAAGGATCGCAAGGTTTCCGGCTGCCGGCTATCGCAATGCCAGGCCCATTGTACATGTGTGTGAGAAGGAGAATGCGTTCGACCATCATGCCACCAAGGGAAGGCTGACATTTTGGTCTTACTAGACGAACCAGAGATGCAGAAGCTGCCAGGGGCGGGTCTCAAAGACAAGCGGCTCTGCTTCCGCCCGGCCGACCTCTGCGGCCACTGCACTTTCCGTCTGCACTTCCTCCTCCAGGGACTCACGGTGAGCGGAGATGCGGCGGTGCTTCTTTAGATTTCTTTAGACAAAGGCATGTCCTGCTGGATCTCGCTGGTTGCCTGAAGCTCCTTGCTGAAAGCCAGCTGAGCGTTTAAAGACGCCGCAGCAGCTGCCTTGCCATTCTTGACCACATCCAACAACACAGCGTTGCACGGATGTCACCCCCGATGCAACTCAGCATGACTTTGCATGAAGACCCAGACCGGACGACCTTGTATGAGGCAACGCCAAGCCTCTTCTTTGAGAGTGGCCAGCTCCGCGGCCATCGTGGCCGACGCATTCCGCAAACCTTGTCAAAGCAGCAACCCAAGTTGAACCGAAGTTGAAGTCCTCATGTCGCACATGCCAAATGCCTCTCCTGCCGTAGCCTACCGTGGAAGACTTGCTCTGGGATGTTCTGAGCACTGGCCATCTCGCGTAGCAATGCAAGCAAAGTCGCTCTCGCATTCTTGGCGCGACTCCTTCAGCTCGACGTGAGCCATCCTCGGTTCACTAAGCACAGCCGGGAGCCACAAGCCAGACTTGAATGATCCTGAATCCTGAAGGCATAACCACATCGCTTGCGGACCTGCCTACAGTCATCTTGGTCAATCGATTGGATTAAAGGCTCAGCGCGAAGTTCTTCTCCCGTGTCTCCGCTTCGATGCCTCGTACTGCGTGGTTGCCACCGGCATGAGTGGACTACGTGTATAGTCTGCAGTACAACATGACCGACACAAGCATAGCAGGCTCGAATGAGACTTGTGCTGTGGCCCTGTGCAGGTGAATGTGACCAACTGTGAAGAACCCCTTGCTTGGCCTGTTTCCACGAGCTGCTGCTTGAGGCGCGAAACCTCGGCGGCCTGAGCTTGCGCTACCATGCGTACACGAGTCATGCTCCAGCTCTTCTTGCTGTGCTTCACTGCTTCACCTGGCTTTGTCGTGCGCACGTCACCTTGAAGCCCTTTGAGGAAGCAGCGTGTTTCCGTTGCTCTGCAGACACCTCCTGAGCGCAACAAGTGCCGAAGCTGCCTTTGGCATGTGGGCATGTGGATCTGCACAAATTGTGCAAGGCGGTCTCTGAGAAACCAGCTGTCTGCAGTTGGCGCGTCTGCTCTTCGAGCCTCAAGGGTCACAGTCACAGTCTAACACAGTCCAACAACAAGCTTGAACATAAGGACTTTCTCAAGACAATTCTGACCGAACATGATCGAACTACTATAAGGATCGCAGGGTTTCCGGCTGCCGGCTATCGCAATGCCAGGCCCATTGTACATGTGTGTGAGAAGGAGAATGCGATGCAGAAGCTGCAAAGGGCGGGTCTCAAAGACAAGCGGCTCTGCTTCCGCCCGGCCGACCGCTGCGGCCACTGCACTTTCCGTCTGCGCTTCCTCATTCAGGGACTCACGGTGAGCGAAGATGCGGTGGTGCTTCTTTAGATTTCTTTAGACAAAGGCATGTCCTGCTGGATCTCGCTGATGGCTGCACGCGCAGAGTCCTCTTGCGACACCTGCTTGACTTGAATGTGGCAGACCGGCAGACTTTGCCAATCAGAAGATGCAATCCCTGCCTGGAGCTCCTTGCTGAAAGCCAGCTGAGCATTTAAAGACGCCGCCGCAGCTGCCTTGCCATCATTGACCACATCCAGAACACAGCGTTGCACGGATGTCACCCCCGATGCAACTCAGCATGACTTTGCATGAAGACCCAGACCGGACGACCTTGTATGAGGCAACGCCAAGCGCCTCTTCTTTGAGAGTGGCCAGCTCCGCGGCCATCGTGGCCGACGCACCCCGCAAACCTTGTCAAAGCAGCTACCGAAGTTGAACCGAAGTTGAAGTCATGTCGCACATGCCAAATGCCTCTCCTGCCGTAACCTACCGTGGAAGACTTGCTCTGGGATGTTCTGAGCACTGGCCATCTCGCGTAGCAATGCAAGCAAAGTCGCTCTCGCATTCTTGGCGCGACTCCTTCAGCTCGACGTGAGCCATCCTCGGTTCACTAAGCACCGCCGGGAGCCACAAGCCAGACTTGAATGATCCTGAATCCTGAAGGCATAGCCACATCGCTTGCGGAACCGCCTACAGTCATCTTGGTCAAGCGATTGGATCAAAGGCTCAGCGCGAAGTTCTCCTCCCGTGTCTCCGCTTCGATGCCTCGTACTGCGTGGTTGCCACCGGCATGAGTGGACTACGTGTATAGTCTGCAGTACAACATGACCGACACAAGCATAGCAGGCTCGAATGAGACTTGTGCTGTGGCCCTGTGCAGGTGAATGTGACCAACTGTGAAGAACCCCTTGCTTGGCCTGTTTCCACGAGCTGCTGCTTGAGGCGCGAAACCTCGGCGGCCTGAGCTTGCACTACCATGGGTGCACGAGTCATGCTCCAGCTCTTCTTGCTGTGCTTCACTGCTTCACCTGGCTTCGTCGTGCGCACGTCACCTTGAAGCCCTTTGAGGAAGCAGCGTGTTTCCGTTGCTCTGCAGACACCTCCTGAGCGCAACAAGTGCCGAAGCGGCCTTTGGCATGTGGGCATGTGGATCTGGACAAATTGTGCAAGGCGGTCTCTGAGAAAACAGCTGTCTGCAGTTGGCGCGTCTGCTTTTCGAGCCTCAAGGGTCACAGTCACAGTCTAACACAGTCCAACAACAAGCTTGAGCATAAGGACTTTCTCAAGACAATTCTGATCGAACATGATCGAACTACTATAAGGATCGCAGGGTTTCCGGCTGCCGGCTATCGCAATGCCAGGCCCATTGTACATGTGTGTGAGAAGGAGAATGCGTTCGACCATCATGCCACCAAGGGAAGGCTGACATTTTGGTCTTACTAGACGAACCAGAGATGCAGAAGCTGCAAAGGGCGGGTCTCAAAGACAAGCGGCTCTGCTTCCGCCCGGCCGACCGCTGCGGCCACTGCACTTTCCGTCTGCGCTTCCTCATTCAGGGACTCACGGTGAGCGGAGATGCAGTGGTGCTTCTTTAGATTTCTTTAGACAAAGGCATGTCCTGCTGGATCTCGCTGATGGCTGCTCGCGCAGAGTCCTCTTGCGACACCTGCTTGACTTGAATGTGGCAGACCGGCAGACTTTGCCAATCAGAAGATGCAATCCCTGCCTGGAGCTCCTTGCTGAAAGCCAGCTGAGCATTTAAAGACGCCGCCGCAGCTGCCTTGCCATTCTTGACCACATCCAACAACACAGCGTTGCTCGGATGTCACCCCCGATGCAACTCAGCATGACTTTGCATGAAGACCCAGACCGGACGACCTTGTATGAGGCAACGCCAAGCCTCTTCTTTGAGAGTGGCCAGCTCCGCGGCCATCGTGGCCGACGCATCCCGCAAACCTTGTCAAAGCAGCAACCCAAGTTGAACCGAAGTTGAAGTCATGTCGCACATGCCAAATGCCTCTCCTGCCGTAGCCTACCGTGGAAGACTTGCTCTGGGATGTTCTGAGCACTGGCCATCTCGCGTAGCAATGCAAGCAAAGTCGCTCTCGCATTCTTGGCGCGACTCCTTCAGCTCGACGTGAGCCATCCTCGGTTCACTAAGCACAGCCGGGAGCCACAAGCCAGACTTGAATGATCCTGAATCCTGAAGGCATAACCACATCGCTTGCGGAACCTGCCTACAGTCATCTTGGTCAATCGATTGGATCAAAGGCTCAGCGCGAAGTTCTCCTCCCGTGTCTCCGCTTCGATGCCTCGTACTGCGTGGTTGCCACCGGCATGAGTGGACTACGTGTATAGTCTGCAGTACAACATGACCGACACAAGCATAGCAGGCTCGAATGAGACTTGTGCTGTGGCCCTGTGCAGGTGAATGTGACCAACTGTGAAGAACCACTTGCTTGGCCTGTTTCCACGAGCTGCTGCTTGAGGCGCGAAACCTCGGCGGCCTGAGCTTGCGCTACCATGCGTACACGAGTCATGCTCCAGCTCTTCTTGCTGTGCTTCACTGCTTCACCTGGCTTTGTCGTGCGCACGTCACCTTGAAGCCCTTTGAGGAAGCAGCGTGTTTCCGTTGCTCTGCAGACACCTCCTGAGCGCAACAAGTGCCGAAGCGGCCTTTGGCATGTGGGCATGTGGATCTGCACAAATTGTGCAAGGCGGTCTCTGAGAAACCAGCTGTCTGCAGTTGGCGCGTCTGCTCTTCGAGCCTCAAGGGTCACAGTCACAGTCTAACACAGTCCAACAACAAGCTTGAACATAAGGACTTTCTCAAGACAATTCTGATCGAACATGATCGAACTACTATAAGGATCGCAGGGTTTCCGGCTGCCGGCTATCGCAATGCCAGGCCCATTGTACATGTGTGTGAGAAGGAGAATGCGATGCAGAAGCTGCAAAGGGCGGGTCTCAAAGACAAGCGGCTCTGCTTCCGCCCGGCCGACCGCTGCGGCCACTGCACTTTCCGTCTGCGCTTCCTCATTCAGGGACTCACGGTGAGCGAAGATGCGGTGGTGCTTCTTTAGACTTCTTTAGACAAAGGCATGTCCTGCTGGATCTCGCTGATGGCTGCACGCGCAGAGTCCTCTTGCGACACCTGCTTGACTTGAATGTGGCAGACCGGCAGACTTTGCCAATCAGAAGATGCAATCCCTGCCTGGAGCTCCTTGCTGAAAGCCAGCTGAGCATTTAAAGACGCCGCCGCAGCTGCCTTGCCATTATTGACCACATCCAGAACACAGCGTTGCACGGATGTCACCCCCGATGCAACTCAGCATGACTTTGCATGAAGACCCAGACCGGACGACCTTGTATGAGGCAACGCCAAGCGCCTCTTCTTTGAGAGTGGCCAGCTCCGCGGCCATCGTGGCCGACGCATCCCGCAAACCTTGTCAAAGCAGCTACCGAAGTTGAACCGAAGTTGAAGTCATGTCGCACATGCCAAATGCCTCTCCTGCCGTAGCCTACCGTGGAAGACTTGCTCTGGGATGTTCTGAGCACTGGCCATCTCGCGTAGCAATGCAAGCAAAGTCGCTCTCGCATTCTTGGCGCGACTCCTTCAGCTCGACGTGAGCCATCCTCGGTTCACTAAGCACAGCCGGGAGCCACAAGCCAGACTTGAATGATCCTGAATCCTGAAGGCATAGCCACATCGCTTGCGGAACCGCCTACAGCCATCTTGGTCAATCGATTGGATCAAAGGCTCAGCGCGAAGTTCTCCTCCCGTGTCTCCGCTTCGATGCCTCGTACTGCGTGGTTGCCACCGGCATGAGTGGACTACGTGTATAGTCTGCAGTACAACATGACCGACACAAGCATAGCAGGCTCGAATGAGACTTGTGCTGTGGCCCTGTGCAGGTGAATGTGACCAACTGTGAAGAACCCCTTGCTTGGCCTGTTTCCACGAGCTGCTGCTTGAGGCGCGAAACCTCGGCGGCCTGAGCTTGCACTACCATGGGTGCACGAGTCATGCTCCAGCTCTTCTTGCTGTGCTTCACTGCTTCACCTGGCTTTGTCGTGCGCACGTCACCTTGAAGCCCTTTGAGGAAGCAGCGTGTTTCCGTTGCTCTGCAGACACCTCCTGAGCGCAACAAGTGCCGAAGCGGCCTTTGGCATGTGGGCATGTGGATCTGGACAAATTGTGCAAGGCGGTCTCTGAGAAAACAGCTGTCTGCAGTTGGCGCGTCTGCTTTTCGAGCCTCAAGGGTCACAGTCACAGTCTAACACAGTCCAACAACAAGCTTGAGCATAAGGACTTTCTCAAGACAATTCTGATCGAACATGATCGAACTACTATAAGGATCGCAGGGTTTCCGGCTGCCGGCTATCGCAATGCCAGGCCCATTGTACATGTGTGTGAGAAGGAGAATGCGTTCGACCATCATGCCACCAAGGGAAGGCTGACATTTTGGTCTTACTAGACGAACCAGAGATGCAGAAGCTGCAAAGGGCGGGTCTCAAAGACAAGCGGCTCTGCTTCCGCCCGGCCGACCGCTGCGGCCACTGCACTTTCCGTCTGCGCTTCCTCATTCAGGGACTCACGGTGAGCGGAGATGCAGTGGTGCTTCTTTAGATTTCTTTAGACAAAGGCATGTCCTGCTGGATCTCGCTGATGGCTGCTCGCGCAGAGTCCTCTTGCGACACCTGCTTGACTTGAATGTGGCAGACCGGCAGACTTTGCCAATCAGAAGATGCAATCCCTGCCTGGAGCTCCTTGCTGAAAGCCAGCTGAGCATTTAAAGACGCCGCCGCAGCTGCCTTGCCATTCTTGACCACATCCAACAACACAGCGTTGCTCGGATGTCACCCCCGATGCAACTCAGCATGACTTTGCATGAAGACCCAGACCGGACGACCTTGTATGAGGCAACGCCAAGCGCCTCTTCTTTGAGAGTGGCCAGCTCCGCGGCCATCGTGGCCGACGCATCCCGCAAACCTTGTCAAAGCAGCTACCGAAGTTGAACCGAAGTTGAAGTCATGTCGCACATGCCAAATGCCTCTCCTGCCGTAGCCTACCGTGGAAGACTTGCTCTGGGATGTTCTGAGCACTGGCCATCTCGCGTAGCAATGCAAGCAAAGTCGCTCTCGCATTCTTGGCGCGACTCCTTCAGCTCGACGTGAGCCATCCTCGGTTCACTAAGCACAGCCGGGAGCCACAAGCCAGACTTGAATGATCCTGAATCCTGAAGGCATAGCCACATCGCTTGCGGAACCGCCTACAGTCATCTTGGTCAATCGATTGGATCAAAGGCTCAGCGCGAAGTTCTCCTCCCGTGTCTCCGCTTCGATGCCTCGTACTGCGTGGTTGCCACCGGCATGAGTGGACTACGTGTATAGTCTGCAGTACAACATGACCGACACAAGCATAGCAGGCTCGAATGAGACTTGTGCTGTGGCCCTGTGCAGGTGAATGTGACCAACTGTGAAGAACCACTTGCTTGGCCTGTTTCCACGAGCTGCTGCTTGAGGCGCGAAACCTCGGCGGCCTGAGCTTGCACTACCATGGGTGCACGAGTCATGCTCCAGCTCTTCTTGCTGTGCTTCACTGCTTCACCTGGCTTCGTCGTGCGCACGTCACCTTGAAACCCTTTGAGGAAGCAGCGTGTTTCCGTTGCTCTGCAGACACCTCCTGAGCGCAACAAGTGCCGAAGCGGCCTTTGGCATGTGGGCATGTGGATCTGCACAAATTGTGCAAGGCGGTCTCTGAGAAACCAGCTGTCTGCAGTTGGCGCGTCTGCTTTTCGAGCCTCAAGGGTCACAGTCTAACACAGTCCAACAACAAGCTTGAACATAAGGACTTTCTCAAGACAATTCTGATCGAACATGATCGAACTACTATAATTTATAAGGATCGCAGGGTTTCCGGCTGCCGGCTATCGCAATGCCAGGCCCATTGTACATGTGTGTGAGAAGGAGAATGCGTTCGACCATCATGCCACCAAGGGAAGGCTGACATTTTGGTCTTACTAGACGAACCAGAGATGCAGAAGCTGCAAAGGGCGGGTCTCAAAGACAAGCGGCTCTGCTTCCGCCCGGCCGACCGCTGCGGCCACTGCACTTTCCGTCTGCGCTTCCTCATTCAGGGACTCACGGTGAGCGGAGATGCAGTGGTGCTTCTTTAGATTTCTTTAGACAAAGGCATGTCCTGCTGGATCTCGCTGATGGCTGCTCGCGCAGAGTCCTCTTGCGACACCTGCTTGACTTGAATGTGGCAGACCGGCAGACTTTGCCAATCAGAAGATGCAATCCCTGCCTGGAGCTCCTTGCTGAAAGCCAGCTGAGCATTTAAAGACGCCGCCGCAGCTGCCTTGCCATTCTTGACCACATCCAACAACACAGCGTTGCTCGGATGTCACCCCCGATGCAACTCAGCATGACTTTGCATGAAGACCCAGACCGGACGACCTTGTATGAGGCAACGCCAAGCCTCTTCTTTGAGAGTGGCCAGCTCCGCGGCCATCGTGGCCGACGCATCCCGCAAACCTTGTCAAAGCAGCAACCCAAGTTGAACCGAAGTTGGAGTCATGTCGCACATGCCAAATGCCTCTCCTGCCGTAACCTACCGTGGAAGACTTGCTCTGGGATGTTCTGAGCACTGGCCATCTCGCGTAGCAATGCAAGCAAAGTCGCTCTCGCATTCTTGGCGCGACTCCTTCAGCTCGACGTGAGCCATCCTCGGTTCACTAAGCACAGCCGGGAGCCACAAGCCAGACTTGAATGATCCTGAATCCGGAAGGCACAACCACATCGCTTGCGGAACCGCCTACAGCCATCTTGGTCAATCGATTGGATCAAAGGCTCAGGGCGAAGTTCTCCTCCCGTGTCTCCGCTTCGATGCCTCGTACTGCGTGGTTGCCACCGGCATGAGTGGACTACGTGTATAGTCTGCAGTACAACATGACCGACACAAGCATAGCAGGCTCGAATGAGACTTGCGCTGTGGCCCTGTGCAGGTGAATGTGACCAACTGTGAAGAACCACTTGCTTGGCCTGTTTCCACGAGCTGCTGCTTGAGGCGCGAAACCTCGGCGGCCTGAGCTTGCGCTACCATGCGTACACGAGTCATGCTCCAGCTCTTCTTGCTGTGCTTCACTGCTTCACCTGGCTTTGTCGTGCGCACGTCACCTTGAAGCCCTTTGAGGAAGCAGCGTGTTTCCGTTGCTCTGCAGACACCTCCTGAGCGCAACAAGTGCCGAAGCGGCCTTTGGCAATGTGGGCATGTGGATCTGCACAAATTGTGCAAGGCGGTCTCTGAGAAACCAGCTGTCTGCAGTTGGCGCGTCTGCTCTTCGAGCCTCAAGGGTCACAGTCACAGTCTAACACAGTCCAACAACAAGCTTGAACATAAGGACTTTCTCAAGACAATTCTGACCGAACATGATCGAACTACTATAAGGATCGCAGGGTTTCCGGCTGCCGGCTATCGCAATGCCAGGCCCATTGTACATGTGTGTGAGAAGGAGAATGCGATGCAGAAGCTGCAAAGGGCGGGTCTCAAAGACAAGCGGCTCTGCTTCCGCCCGGCCGACCGCTGCGGCCACTGCACTTTCCGTCTGCGCTTCCTCATTCAGGGACTCACGGTGAGCGAAGATGCGGTGGTGCTTCTTTAGACTTCTTTAGACAAAGGCATGTCCTGCTGGATCTCGCTGATGGCTGCACGCGCAGAGTCCTCTTGCGACACCTGCTTGACTTGAATGTGGCAGACCGGCAGACTTTGCCAATCAGAAGATGCAATCCCTGCCTGGAGCTCCTTGCTGAAAGCCAGCTGAGCATTTAAAGACGCCGCCGCAGCTGCCTTGCCATTATTGACCACATCCAGAACACAGCGTTGCTCGGATGTCACCCCCGATGCAACTCAGCATGACTTTGCATGAAGACCCAGACCGGACGACCTTGTATGAGGCAACGCCAAGCGCCTCTTCTTTGAGAGTGGCCAGCTCCGCGGCCATCGTGGCCGACGCATCCCGCAAACCTTGTCAAAGCAGCTACCGAATTTGAACCGAAGTTGAAGTCATGTCGCACATGCCAAATGCCTCTCCTGCCGTAGCCTACTCTGGAAGACTTGCTCTGGGATGTTCTGAGCACTGGCCATCTCGCGTAGCAATGCAAGCAGAGTCGCTCTCGCATTCTTGGCGCGACTCCTTCAGCTCGACGTGAGCCATCCTCGGTTCACCAAGCACAGCCGGGAGCCACAAGCCAGACTTGAATGATCCTGAATCCTGAAGGCATAACCACATCGCTTGCGGAACCGCCTACAGCCATCTTGGTCAATTGATTGGATCAAAGGCTCAGCGCGAAGTTCTCCTCCCGTGTCTCCGCTTCGATGCCTGCCGCACACCGCGTGGAGTATGAGTACACTGTACATGATTGGTGCACATGCGCGAGGCTCGCACGAGCACCCTTGCTCTGCATAGCAGGCTCGAATGAGGCTTGCGCTGAGGCACGGTGCGGGCAGGATGCGGGTGTTTTATGTCATCTGCGCCGTGCATGTGAAGCACCACTTTGCTCGGCCTGTTGCCATGAGCTGCTGCTTCAGGTGCGAAACCTCGTCAGCCTGAGCTTGCGCGACATTGCTAACACGGATCATGATCTCTTCTTGCCGTGCTTCACACGTCAAAACAGTGCGAAGCGAAAACGGCCCCGCCGCGGTAGCTGCCAGGCTGCCACCCATCATGGAAGTCTAGCGCTGTGTCCAACCGTAAGAAGCTTCACGTTCAAACCGTCTGAGGACGCAGCGTGTTGCCTTTGCTCTGCACGCACCTCCTGACCAAAAATATGCACAACAGCTTCTGCTCGACAATGCCCTCCCGCGACAAGCATTCGGACTCCATCTGACACCACTCACGGCACTGCTTTCGAGGCACCTGCTCCCTGAGCTCCACCTCCTCCACCTGCTTTTCGAACTGCTCTGCGAACATCAGCTCCGCGTCCGCCACATCCTCCAGCAGCCTCTGGGCAGAGGCCTCGAGTGCTCCGAGATACTCCGAGTGCTCCATGCACAAAGGTACATAGCGGCATCGGTTACGACAACTGCCTGTGCTTGCATCAAACCTCATTGCTTACCTTGTTTTCTTGGTCGGAGGCGAGACCAAGCTCCAAAATTCCGAGGGGCTTCCTCTGCAGCCTGGATGTCCATGGAGTGCTTCTGGCGCAAATGAGCGCACTCCTCGTCGAACCTGGGGATGCCACCAGTTTCCGCGTGGCTTTGGCTTACTGCTGGGGATCTTGTCCATGCGACCGAGGAATCTACAGACATATAGACAATTTAAGGAGATCCCGGTCCGAAGCCTGCCTTGCGTACCTTTCGAGCCTGTCGGCCAATGCAGCCACTTCTTGGGAGCGAAGTTGGGCCCCTATGCCGTGAGGCTGGCAATGGTTCAGGGGCTAGCTGGCCGGGCTACGATCGAGGTCAGCAAATGTCAGGAACATTGGGCACGGGCTTTCATATAGTCAGTCCCCTCCTGGACCTGTCCCGCCCCCGTAACGGACCTGTCTTGCCGGAGTTGGCTCCAACAACCCCACACGATGCGCCCACAACCGCATCTGAGTGATCTGAGAGTACACGGAGAAGTACAGGGAAAGATCACACAGCACCGTAAGAAGCCAGTAGAAGGGGCCTCTGCATCGCAGCGAGGTCCATGACGGACTGCTGCTGGACTGTCAGAAGCTCTTCCTCAAACACCGAGCTCAGAGCTTTAAAGGCCACGCCGGAGAAAAGGACCTTCAGTTTCCCTGCCTGCAGCTCGTTGCTGAACGCCAGAAGCTGAGCATTTGAAGAAGCCACGCTGGCCGCCTTGCAATGTCAAACCACTCAGCATTCTCACACAGACCTCTCATAACCTTTGTAAGGCAACACCAAGCCTCTTCTTGGAGAGTAGCCAGCTCCGAGGCCATCGCGGCCGACGCATCCCGGCGCAAACCTGCTCAAACTAACTAATTGAGTCCGGCACAAAGCTTGTTCTGAGCACTGGCCATCTCGCGTAGCAATGCAAGCAGAGTCGCTCTCGCATTCTTGGCGTGACTCCTTCAGCTCGACGTGAGCCATCCTCGGTTCACCAAGCACAGCCGGGAGCCACAAGCCAGACTTGAATGATCCTGAAGGCATAACCACATCGCTTGCGGAACCGCCTACAGCCATCTTGGTCAATCGATTGGACCAAAGGCTCAGCGCGAAGTTCTCCTCCCGTGTCTCCGCTTCGATGCCTGCCGCATACCGCGTGGAGTATGAGTACACTGTACATGATTGGTGCACATGCGCGAGGCTCGCACGAGCACCCTTGCTCTGCATAGCAGGCTCGAATGAGGCTTGCGCTGAGGCACGGTGCGGGCAGGATGCGGGTGTTTTATGTCATCTGCGCCGTGCATGTGAAGCACGACTTTGCTCGGCCTGTTGCCATGAGCTGCTGCTTCAGGTGCGAAACCTCGTCAGCCTGAGCTTGCGCGACATTGCTAACACGGATCATGATCTCTTCTTGCCGTGCTTCACACGTCAAAACAGTGCGAAGCGAAAACGGCCCCGCCGCGGTAGCTGCCAGGCTGCCACCCATCATGGAAGTCTAGCGCTGTGTCCAACCGTAAGAAGCTTCACGTTCAAACCGTCTGAGGACGCAGCGTGTTGCCTTTGCTCTGCACGCACCTCCTGACCAAAAATATGCACAACAGCTTCTGCTCGACAATGCCCTCCCGCGACAAGCATTCGGACTCCATCTGACACCACTCACGGCACTGCTTTCGAGGCACCTGCTCCCTGAGCTCCACCTCCTCCACCTGCTTTTCGAACTGCTCTGCGAACATCAGCTCCGCGTCCGCCACATCCTCCAGCAGCCTCTGGGCAGAGGCCTCGAGTGCTCCGAGATACTCCGAGTGCTCCATGCACAAAGGTACATAGCGGCATCGGTTATGACAACTGCCTGTGCTTGCATCAAACCTCATTGCTTACCTTGCTTTCTTGGTTGGAGGTGGGACCAAGCTCCAAAATTCCGAGGGGCTTCCTCTGCAGCCTGGATGTCCATGGAGTGCTTCTGGCGCAAATGAGCGCACTCCTCGTCGAACCTGGGGATGCCACCAGTTTCCGCGTGGCTTTGGCTTACTGCTGGGGATAGACAGCATAAACGAGAGCCCCGGGCCGAAGCTTGACATAACACCACACTTGCATTGTCAAAATCGGTATTGCGTTCCAGTTCATTGTAGCCTAAACTTTCCATGTAATGTGGAAGTATGATCTTCAGCCACCGCTTGCTTAGCCAGCAGGGCCAGCACACTATGCCCGAGTGTTCTGAGTGCATGCAGAACGCATGTTCTAGGTGTTGCAATGTCTTTCTGATTCTGCAAGCAAAAGGGTGGGAGGGAGGGTTCTTAGAATTAGAGAAGGAGAAGGAATTCAGAAGGCCATGGGTCGTGTTTGTGCCAGTCCACCTTGTTCTCAACTTCTCATTCTGCCGCTGCCCATCAGCAACCAGCTCCTTGGCTGACACCCGGTTCCGAGCTTAAGGGCACGCAAGATGCAACTCTTTTGGCTTTTGCAGATCGACTGTGCAGATAAGCATCCTCTGCATGAGAGCTCGCTTGCAAGGCATGTTGTAACCTTGGCTTGCGCTGCAGTTGAACTCTGTACGAGCCGCGATCCTGTTGCTTTGGACCACTTTTGGCCCACCCCCACCCCCCCCCCACCCCCCCGACCAGTTTGTTGCATCCTGTTTACAGAAGCACTCTCTCCTGCCCACCCCCCCTCCCTCCCCCCCACCCCAGAGAGAGTGCAACAGTCCAAGTTGCAGTTGTTGATTTTCCTCGTCTGCCTTTCGCTTGCTCGCGAGGGCTGACTCCAGCTCACTCAGCCTCAGTGAGCAGGCTTGTTTTGTTAATGTCCTGCAACCTGATCAAACGATGAAACGCTCTGTTTGCAGCTAAGAGTCATGGGGGCCTTAGAGGCTTGGCGAGATCATACGCAAAGCATCCCGAAGCTCAGCTCTCTCTCTACGATAGACTCTACAACCTGCAATCACATTTACGAGATGGCGCCTCCTCGGTTTCAATCTCAAACGATGTGCTTGCTCCCATGGCGGAGAATCTGCAAGGAACGGCTGTCTCTTAATCAAGACTCCAAGAGAGACTCGTCGCCACTGATCCAGCCTGACCGGTGAAGGTGATGAATACTCGGAGCTGGAGGGAGGCGCCTTGCATTCAGACGCTCAAAGTACTGGAGCTCGATTGCGATCTTGTGGCATGCAGTCCGTTATTAGCACAGAGACGCCGAACTTCAATGCAAGATGATCTGCATTGGCAAGTTTCCAGCCTCGAAACTGGAAGTGTGTGCGCCTTTCTCTCCTTCGCTCCGTCACAGCGTCACAGTGTCAGCAGCATCAGGTTTGACACTCCTCCCTGCTTTGCATGACAAGAACCTGCTTTGCAGCGGTTTTTATGTGCCGTGCAATGCCTGGAGACCAGCCAAGTCACGCTGCAACTCCGCCAGCTTGGCACCAAAGAGTCGAACAGACTGCCTCTCTGCCACCCAAATAGGAGCAAACGCTTTCAGGTGCAGCAGCAGCAACGGCGCTGGGCTTCTGGTGACGGCTTAATGATTAATCAAATGCCACAGTTTTCTGAAGAACCATTGCCACAAGCTTGTGTGAGGAAATCGTTAGAGAACCCGTGCTGGAGTGCTGGAGTTGCTCCTCGACTTCCTGGAGGATGGCGATTTCGGGGCCTTCTGCATCTGGGTGATGAGGTTCAACTTCCTCGGATGCCAACGGAGATCATCTTGCAAGACCCCACGGCCTCATCACACACTTTTCTGGGGTCCTCAATTTATTAATTCTAAGGCGGCGGACTCCTGTTGCAGCTGCACCAGCTGGTCTTCGTACCTTTTCAATCGCTGCAAAACACCATGCCGAGCAGAATCTGAGAGCTGTGCTGAGCTCTGCAGAGCCATGAGCCACGAGGCCAGTGAGTTAAACCGAGTGAAAACATCCGGGGGCCCGGCTCCTCTGCCTCCTCTGCAGCTGCCCGGTGCTCCAGGCGCGCCGCCGCCAACTCATTGAGGGCCTCAGCCTGCGGAGTTTGGAGTTCGCACTATTTACACTCTTTCGTTTCTTTCGAAAGTCAAATTTTCCCGCTGGCTGAGACTACCACCAGAGTGCACGCAGTGCCGGTCTCGTTGCCATCTTGCTCCTGCGCAAGGAGATCTCTCATGTCTGGGGTCCGCCGCAGCACCCGATTGGTGCACGATGTGCTCTCAGTAGTCTCTGCGTGCAGGAACCAAAACCTCATAGCTTAGAGCCTGCGCATGCCGATGCATCCCGTTACTTCCTTGCCTATTTTTATTTATTTGCAAACTTAGAGTCCTTCTGCATCAAGTCGTTCTGAAGCTTGCTGACCTGCACTGTCCAGTGCTTAAGGGCCGATTCGCGAAGAGTTTCGGTGCCCCTTTCCATGGTCAGTCATGACTTTTCTACGAACAGTCAGGGTGCCAGTCCAAAACCCTACTTATCATCAGCTATGGGCCGGTGCTGTTGCGCGTGCCTGTCACCATACTTTGGAGAAAGCTAGGCACAAAACCGACATGCACGTAGCAAGGAACCGCTCTGATTGAGATCGGGCTGCCGTGACTTGCGAGCGCCACTCGAGCAAGCCAGAGAGTCGCCTCGCTGTGTCCGCTATGTCACTCATTTGTCACCGCCAGTCAGAAAAGGATCCAACATGGCAACCGGTGAGGTGCAGCCGCAACAGCGCATCATAGGCCCCCCTCATGCAATCCGATTTAATCCTGCAGTGTTTCGCCTCTGAAGAATCAAGTTGCGGCGGATCAGATCCTTCCAAAGCATGTGGCTTCAGTGGCTTCAGGCCAAATAAATCCCGCAAATCCGCTCACTGGTGTCGCGTGCTATGCAGGTGGTCGTCGGCAGCTCTTGTATCGATGCTCATGGCTAACATTGCTTGTCCATGCTCGAGTACCTGATATGCCAGCAAAGTAGCTGCCATGCGCCGCACCAATTGTGGCTCTGCACCTCGGGATGTGCCTCGGCGCAAAGGTGGTGGCTTTCGCAACAAGGAACAGGTAGAGAGCGATGCTATCTTGACTTCTACTCATTGCAGGATGTTGATTCCTTTATGTCTGTTTTGCTTTGTGGCCTGCTGTCGTGGAAAAACTGAGCACAGAGCCTGTGATTGCTGCGGTTCCGCGGAGGGCTTGCTCTTGCAAAGGCTCCATGTCCAGGGCAGCAGACAGGCTGTTGCGTATCCTTGGCTCTAGGTCTGGAGAAACTGGTGCAAGTGCGGTCACCAACTTTGTCTGTTCAGTCTGCTCTGTGACTATTTGTTTGAGCGCAGTAGAAAGGAAAGAGCAAGCAACAGGAAAACCCAGGGTTTAAGTAATTCCATATCAGTACTGGCAATGTGCTTGCAGTAGAGCAAAGGCACATTGCAAAGAGGCATTCTTTCTTGAGAGGAACTGCGAAGTGGGCGAAGTGGGCAAGTGGACCGCGCCTAAATCTGAGCCAAGATACCCGAGTCTCCTTAGGCGCCAGCAGTCGGCAGCATTTGCATTTAGCATTGACAAATTGAGCATTGCATGATCCAACTTTTCACACCTTGAGGTTCTAACGGATGTCCTACGTCCTCTTCTTTGACTTCTTTGCGAGCCGGGGTTCATCGTGGCTTGGGCGCTCTCCAGCTGTGAAGCTTCCAGTTCATCTTGCAGCTGCCAGACGTGCTGCTTTGCAACCTTGCACTCCTGTGGCATGCACCATCTCTCACTAGCTCTCAGCACCTGCATTGACCTCATTGCTATGCACTGCTCGGCTCTTACATGTGTTTGCTCCTCCTCTGTAGATTTCAACTTCTCCACCGTGCTGGCCAACGCCTCCAGGCAGTGCCTTGCATGTCAGGCACTTCGCTTCAGATCACGTCCTCATCTTATAAATACGGAACCTTCAGGAATGGTCTGGAAGTCGCCACACTGTGTGGTTGACGTGAATCGGGTTTTAGCTGCCATGGCACTCCTTTTCTGCTGCCTCATCTTGGACCTGGCCAGCTGGTCAAGTATGCTCAGTATACTGCATGTCCATGTGCGTTCTCTTTTTCTGAAAGCTGTAGGCGCCGGATGACAGCCACGATCAGAAGCCCCGTGAAAGAGGTAAGAGGCCGAACTCGTGGGCACTCTGGGCTTGGCACCAGGGACTGTGCCAGCTGCAGCTTCTCGAAGTGCAAGTGCCGCTGCTGCTGCAAGCTTTCCTGGGCTCTTGAGACAAGCAGATCTGGAATTGCAAGGATGCAACACACGGTTGGGGGATGATGCTCGTAAAGTCACTTGAACCTTGAAGTCTGCAGCTGCAAGGGTGTTGTCATATGCTACCTGCTCAATGTGCCTTGGACACTGCGCTGTGTGTGTGGCTGGCTTGCTTACGCCTATGTTACGTGCTGGGCAGACAATGACGAATAGCATAGCTGTCGTGGCGGAGAACTGCCGGGAAACATGCGGAGCAAGGAGCAATCTTCTCTTGTAACTCCTTATTGCCTTGGGATCTCCACTTGAAGCTTCAACTGCGAGAAGCTGCAGTAAGCTGAGCATGATGTTTGAGCCGCATCGAGAAAGCTTGCCAGGCTGCGCTCGGTCAACTTCTGGCCTCGAAGCAGCTCGGCTTCTAGTTGGCTGTCCGGTTGCATCCTCAGCAACAGCGCTACGCGCTGCAGTGGCAGGATGTTGCAAGCGTTCATGGCTCTGTGTACTGCGTATGCGGCGTGTGCGTCGTACGCGCTACATTGACGGCAGGCGTCGACATCAAGCCTTTTGTCAGACGCGCCCATCGGTTCGCCATCATCATCTCTCGGATCCCTTCAGCTTCAACTTCGTCCTTGGACCCAGGAAATGGTCTTGACGTGGTCACATGGTCACAACTTCACAACCCTTGAGAGATCACGTGCTGTGCCACTGCTATCTGCCATGCTTCGGCTTCATCTTCGCTTGACGAGTTGTTTCCTTAGAGAAAAGTGCTGTTCGGTGCTCTGCATCACTCAGCAGGATTCTTCATTATTCCTTCTACAATATTCCGTCTACAGTTACAGTAGGCATAAACCAAATCACTCGCGCCAGTGCCCCTGGAAACATGCCAGGTTGCGTCGGCGCTGTGGCCGAAAGGAAATCTCCAGATCCTCGAACGCCCATGAGCAATAAGTCATTGCCAATAACTGCCACAAAGATGACACTGAATGCCTGAGAATGCATGCCGTGGCTTCATGGCCTGAAGGGAACTTGTGCTGCTCATACGCGTCCGCGCAAAGGAGTCCTGCAGCGCTGCGGCATCATGACCACAGCAACGTGCTGAAACTCGTGCACAATCTTGCATGCAGCAATCACGCATCCGGGCAAGCTCCTGCCGTGATTGATCTTCGCTGCCTGGGGCTTGAACCAGGCGATCTTTGGAACGAGCGCTTCAATCACGTGAAAGCCCTATGCTGCAAGTGGCCAAAAGTGAAACCTAGTGGCTTTCCATAAAAATTATCTGGCTTCGTAGATCTTGATTCTCCTTGGCCAAAAAGTGTTTGGAAATGAACATGGTCGACATCATGAGGGTGTGCGGTACGACTCCTCCATGTAACCGGATAGCAATTCGTAGATGCTACTTCATCACCACGCTTTCTTGGTCGACCGGGTGACCGCTTCCAGCCGGGCGATCTCGTCTGGGACGCCATCGAAGGAACGCAGGCTCATGGACTGCAAGGGCTCCGGCAGCCAAACAGAACCGTACACCCCGAATGAGTACGGCAGCCTGGGTTGGAAGCAGTTCTCCTATCGTGGAACGCCGGCTACGACGGGAAGGCGCCCAGGTTTCCGAGGAGGCCGAATCCTCAGAGGCTTTCGACTGTGTCTGGTGCAGCTTCAAAGCGGATGCTAGGGGCATGCGACGGACAGGGATGGGAGAGGTCTTGGAAAACGGCAAGGCACTCGCTGGAACTGTCATTCTGAGCTGCATGGAAGGCAGTGCTGTCAACTAAGTCTGCCGCTTATCGACTGCTTGCATGAGTTGCAGTACAGCTGATTCAGCTGTCTGCTGGCGCTGAGGGAGGGAGGGAGGGAGAGAGATAGAAAGAGACAGAGAGAGTGAGAGAGAGAGTGCAAGCGGCACTTGCTGATAGCGAAGTATCTATTCTGTCAAGTAGCTGAACCAGAAATTTCTTCACCAGGAAGCAAGCTGAAACTAGTCTCGGCAATGATGGCCGTCCTCCTGCTGTGTCCGGCAATGGTTCAAGTGGTCTTGCTGCATAGATGTGCGACTCACTGTGTGACGACTCTCCGCTATCTTTGCTTCTTCAACATCGCAGTGTGTTTTCGCTTTGCCAAAGGCCCGTCCTTTGTTGGCTTCGCGCAGTGGAACGCCGCCGGTCTATCCGATTCAGCTCACGCTCAACCTGGCACTGATCTGTACACAAAGTTGCCCAACGCACAGTTTACATGTCGAGCTCCGGTCCACCAGGCACCTTTCTTACAACGCCAACTCTGCTCCTGCACCCAGCCTGGCGGGTGTTCCATAACTCTTGCTCCAGCCCAGTTGCTCGACTCTCCTGGCTGAAGTCTTGCCCGGAGACCCTAAGAATCTACCCCCCCCCCCCCCCCCGAAACATCTTCGAAACCCTGTCTCGTTTCACGCAAGAAAAGTCTCAAAGAATCCTTATTGCTGGAATTTTCACATTCCATCGCAAAGCGAAATTCGGGACATTCGGAAGATTCAAAACGGCAAGGAGGAGCTCGCTGCTCCCGCCTGAACTCTTTAAGGCTGCAAGGAGTGCTGCTGCCTGTGTCACCCATCTTTTTGGTCAGCATGCTTTGAGGAAGTGCTCCCTACACACAAGCCACCAGAGGCAGCGGACCCTGCAAGACTGTATTGACTAATGTTGCAGATGTTGCAGAAAAATTATAGGAGAACCCCTTCAGACAATGGTTGCCTGCAACTATGCGACAGGGATGATGGGGGGCGGGGCGGGAGCCAACAACTACAGACAGTCTCTATATACATTCCTGTTAACTCGAGAAACAGGCCCCAAACAATTTTTCAAGGAAGTAACCCACGAGCTGCCATCGTGCGCTTTAGTACATTCTTTCGGTTCCTCGCATTAATTTAATTAATTAATTCACGACCTTTCCTGGGCAGGGAGCCACAAAGCCTGGAAGCTTAGACCCTCAAGCTTCAAGGCTTCCCTCAACCCTCGACCCCTACCCGCCCTCCCCCCGTTCCCGTTCAAAGTTTATAGAGGGTGAGCAACAACCCCGAAATTATTTGGGGGGGCTTAGATACTAATTTTAGGCGAGTGCAACAGTACTAAAAACACTTCTCGATGTGAGTTGTCGATTTTCGGAGCTTCACTTGTAATTATCCCAAACGGTGGCGACAAGTCGGAGGGCAGCACGCGCCGAACAGCGCCGAGCCCTTCTTACTCCTGCTGGGTCCACCCGAACGCAGCTTCGTGGGCAAAAGACATGCCCGTCAAATGCCCGTCCCCCTGGATCCACCCGAGCGCAGCTGTCAGCCGACCCCCATCACTAGCTTGCAAGCGATCCATTAGCCAGTGGCTAAAAGGCCCTGCAGACGCACGCGCCAGCCACCGAAGGCTCTACAGTCTACAGTACCTCTCCAGAGCCTTTGTGCGCCGCGGGCGTCTGAGGTCAGCTGATCGAACGATACATTTTATAGGCAATGTGCACCCCGGTCGTGCAGAGGATTCCTCGCGTTGCAGCTGGCGTCGTAGCAAGAAGTTGTCGATCGCCAAGTTCTTGGAGGCCATGGTCCTGGAGCAAATGCTTTCTACTATCCTTCTTTTGCGTTGTCGCGAGAAGTCACTGGACACATGCTACGCCAAACTGCCAGGCAGGAGAGAGCAGCGCAACTTTACTCAAGAAAAACCAAAGGATGTTATAGGAGTATGAGAGAATTCGACTGCCATGCTGTGCCTTTCCCCGCTGCTCTTAGCCTTACGGCGGCCAGCAGTGGGAAGTGCAGCGCCGCATTGCTCGAACCCATCTGCCAACCGCAGGCCAAGGTGAAGGATGGGCGAACAAGCAGTGCTTGCTTGATGTGGAACGCCATGCTCACAACTCTGGGGACAGAATGGGACACTAAAATGCAACTTGGACCACTTGAGCATGCCAGTGAGCAATCGGCAATGCAGCTGCGCTGCTGCAGCTAACTCTGCTAAAGAGATCGCATCACTGCACCATCCCGTCAAACTGGCCAGTTGTGTAAGGTCCATTAATTGAGGACGTATCCATCAGCAGAACCAGCACGACCTCACAATGTCATGTGCGCGGCAATTCAAGTGGGCCCAATCAACGCGAAACACCATTTACCGAAGATGCATGCGTAGCACATGGTGTAATCAACAAGCAGCGCCTGGTGACCTGGTGTAGACACCCTGTTATCAGATGGTTGACAATGTCTGCATGAGGCCCCTACGATCAGCAGAGCCCATTCGACCTGATGAAGGCAGGGCTTTGCTTTGGAGATTGTTCCGTTCAGGCTGCTGGAAACCAATTCCAGGGAGATAGATTTAAATATGTATTTGCCGATGCTGTATTACATAGTATGTAGTTTATATGTTCGTTCGATGGAAGGCCGCGGCGATCTGCAGATGAGAAGCGGCCTGGCACCAGCGCAACATTCACATTGGAATTGGAGACAATTTCGCCTCTGGGTTCGGCAAAGGCGCTGTGAGGCAAAGCATTGAAACGTGATGGACGACATGCTTCCTCCCAAACATGGCCTCGACGCTCCGCAGAACCAGTTCTACCTCGGTCTCTGCCGCTGATGTGGGATGTCTGTGCTAGTGGCGGACATTTCTCAGACACACGCACAGCGGAAATACGCGCATGAGGACCAACAATGTTCTTGAGACACACAGTACGATACCCCAACCTCTTTTGTCGACCCCCAGCGCGTGAGCTTCAGCACAGAGGTGTTGTACGGCTGGGAGCGAGCAGGGGAGTTGATGGATTCTGAATGCAGTTGGGAGCTTCTTTACGATCCGCATGGGCTCATGTTGCATGGCTCTAGACTCTAAACCCGAAGCTGGGCTGTTTGTAACTGTTGTAGCTGACGCTTGAATGGTGGGTGGAACTTACGTGCATGATGCATTTGTCATGAATGCTTGCCGAATCGGCGCGGCGCGGACCCTTTGTTGCAGCATTGGCTCTGTCTTGCATATGCTGCTCTTGTTGAGTTCTGCATCCAACTGCATCTGCACTGAGCATTGGGCGGTCTGCCGAGCCAAGCCGACCTTTGTCAGACGTGATGAACCGCCGGCCACGTGACATGGTCCCTCATAAATCCTTGACACATCTCGGCAACCCTCGGACATGTGTCAAACTTGTGCGATCTTTGTGCGAACTGCCTGACACCATCAAGGATGTGCGCACATTGCCAAGTCTGGCACATTCAGCTCCTCCGCGGCCTGCACATATTCCAGAAAGCGAGATGCAGAAGCTAGGTTCATGGTGGGTGTGTGCGTGTGTAAGTTCCAGTCTGATCTGGCTCATGACATCTTAACCTTAAAGTGGCGTGCAGTCAGAGCCAGATTCGCAACAAGATGTGCTGAAGCGGGATCCTCCGCAAGAGGCACATGTCGCATTTCGCCTCCGACCGTCGTCTCCGAGGCTGGTAGTCTTGCTGCTCTGCGCGATGCTCGCTGAAGTACGCGATCGAGACATCCAGACAGACAGGCACATACAAGCAGGCGCTTTAGGCCCTTTAGGCCTCACGGGCATCACCTCATTCTCCAAGGCATCATGTGTATAGCTACTATGCGTAGCTACGTGTAGCTATGCGCAGCTAGATGTGTACCGGGGCGCATGCTGAAGGCTTGACGGTGCCCAGCGAGGTGGCCAGAAGCACGACCACGGAACCCTTCAAAGATCTCAAACATCTGCCAAATCTGCCAATTACTCGCTCCCTCTCGCTTCAGAGATCGGTGATGGCAAAGGGTGCGAAGGGTCAGCCATGTCAGCCTCGAGCACCCTGTCGGTCTCACAGGTTCGACAATGACACGTAAAGCCAAACTTCTCCATCTTCCGCTGACGGACCTGCAGTGGCTTGCCCACCACGGATGGCACATAGGCCATGAGCACTTCGTCGCCGGGCACCAGAGGACGGCGCGTGACACAATAAACCCAAAGTCCTGGTCCCTTGGCCTCTGGCTGGCTTGCAGTGGCAAACTCTATGCGACAGTTCGGGAGGCAAGAGTGATTGGTGAAAGCCAGAGCCTCACACAAGGCCGTTCCAATGATGTTCTCGAAGAGCTGACCAGATTGCGCGGAAGCCAAGACCGCTCGGTCTGTTCGTTCTGCGGTATCTGCTGTTTCGGCTGTTTCGGAGGTTTCGGACTCCGTGTCGCTTTGGAGAGGCTCCTGGAGCCTTGTGACCGCATCAGCAAGCTGGTCCGTCATGCAGTGGGCCACATCGGTGTGGCTGTTCAAGGGGTGCGGGAGGCTGATGCACATATTTACCAACTCATATGTTCCAAGTATTCCGCTCAACAGATCAGCATCTAAGAAATCTGCTGCCATGTCCTCTGCCTCGAAAATCGTTTCGATCAAAGGGATGGCCCTCGACAAGCACCGCCGCCTTTCTTCCGGCGTGTCGCTGCCTCCATCTGCAGTAGTAAGGCTGTCCCATGGGGCTGAAGCAAACTGAGATACAAAGCGATGTTTAACAGAATCCAATGATTGGCCAGATTTTCTAGCCAGCATCATGCAGGCAATCTGGTGTGCGAGCAGGAGGAGGTGTTCTGAATCTGTCTCGAAGGCAAGGTGCTCCAAGTCTTGCAGAGCAGCCCAGCTGTTCGGGCCAAGTTGGCTTTTGCAAAGCACGGCATGGGAAGACTCCGAGAGTGCCCAGGCACGGCAGGATTCGCTGCAGAAGACCTCGGCACAGCCCTCAGTGCAGCCAGTGCAGGCGATGATTTGGCCGGGGCAGAAGCCATCCGGACACAACTCGTCTGGATAAGTTGACAAATGGATCTCTTCGGATCCTGGTGGTGGCTCCAGGTTCATATATCTCAACTGTGAGGCTAGGCTGCCTACTGGCAGCATGCAAGCGACGCACACTTGCGCACACTTGCGGCTTCCTGGTGACTGAATGTACGCCAAAGGCCTCTCCTTCCAAAGGTGAGCACCCCATGTCTGGTATCTTGGGACGTACAGGCCTCGACCTTGTCCATTGCATGTCTGCCTGACCACGCACTCTTCGAACCGGGCCAGAACAACTGGATTCTCTACTTCATCACGCTTGGCCAAGAAATCTTCGAGCACCTTGGCATACTGCTCAGCTAGATGTGTGCTGACACCCCTTGCGATTGCAGCTCTCAGCACCTCTCGTGCAGAGTCATAGTCCTGTTTGAAGATGCAGGCTGTGAAGTTGTCAATCCAGTTGGGGTCGGGCCCACTTCCCAGAACACCTGCCCCTGCAAGCATCTTCTCCCGAGGTGAAACTGCCATGCCAAGCGAGCCACAGCTGGAGACTCTGCCTGGACGTGAAACTAGTTTTGCCTTCGGACAGCTATCTGCTTGATCCGGGATGTTGCATGTACTTCAGAACTTCATACATGGTTGAGTCGCAAGCGCAGTATCGCATTGCAGAGGTTGAAGCCTGTATAGCGTCTATAGATCCCCGCAGCGCGCCACTTTTTCGTTCCAGGGTATTGTGTTTGACTTCAGACAAAGTGTCTTTGGTTTGTTTGTCAGTGCATCCCGTCGAGCGCGCCTCTCGAGTCCCAAATGCGGACTTCTTGGCTTGGAGCTCGAGCATACTTCTCTGGCATCCTGCCATCAAAGCACACAGTCGCAGCGCAAGCCACTGGCCGATGTCTCCCAAGATAAGGGGGCGATTCATTTTGTGTGCGCATTTGGTACGGGATGGTACGAAGGTCCATACTGTGAGCTGCCAAGGCTCTGCAGGCTGCGATTTGGCCCGTTCAAGATCAGCTCGGACTGCCTGCATCTGTACCACGGTCGTATTTGTACCATGCTGACATGTACTGGCCACCGACAGGCACGGGTTTGCTGTGTCGGGATGGGTGTGCTACTTGAGAGTAATTGAGTCTCTGAGTTGACCTAAGCTGATTGAGAATGAGACATGCCGGATGGAGAAAACCTGATGCTGCACTTGACCCGCAACGAAATTGTGAAAATCGCAGATCCCCATGCCAACACACGCACATGAGCAAAAGCGCATGCCTGTCACCGCGGGTGTCACTCCGGGCCCAGAGGTCCCCTTCGAGGGGCGCCCGGTCCACGCAACTCTGCAGTTCTCGGGCATAATCCCGATTACTGGGATCAGCCTTAAGGCAAGCATGGAGAAACTTCCATGAACCTGTGCAGCCAACGCAAGAATCCAACAGAATGCAAGAGATAACTTCCAAACAGTGCAGACATCAGTTTGCCTTGGGGAATGCTCCAGTGAGTTTCTGAATGACCTCTGAGCTTCCCTGCCTTCAGGAGTCTCCGGTAGCAAGCGGCTGCCTGTGCCCATTGATGGCGTTCCCTGTGAAGGCCAGCCAGCTGGTGCTGCACCTGCCAGGGGCACGGGCGATTCTCACAACTTGAGGGGCAAGGCCTGGTCAACAAAAGCTGAGCGCAGCCAGGCCCATGCACATCGTGAGCAGGAAAGCGTGAGCGTTGGGGGAGCGGGGGGGGGGGGGAGAAGAAGCCTTTCGATTGAAGACTCAATTGGTCTGGGTTCTGGCCACTGCTCCTGACCACTGCTGGCACAGAAACGGAAGACTAGCTACGTGATTCGGAATGCACAGGGCCTCCGAAGAAACAAGGGTTTTACATGAAGGGGTCTAAGAGTGGAACCTTTTCGCATTCTGCGTGTGGCTTCTCGCGATGCCTCCACTCGTACAAAGGACCAGAGGAGTGTGTATTTCGCTTCCGGTTGCCGAAGGGCCCCCCGTCTCACTACTGTACCAGCCACGCCCTCGCAGTGGTTGTGCACTGAGAAACTGGCCGCCATGACCCTTACCTCGCACTTGAACTCGTCAAAATGAACGTCTACTAGAGCCCGTGAGGCTGAGGAGGTGGTCTTTGACTCAAATGGCTCAACTTCTAAAGCTTGAGACGCAAACTCCAAAGAACACCCCCGCTCTGCACTCTGCACATTGCACCCAGAACTTTCCAGATCAAACTTACGGATGCCTGAGGCCTGAGGTTTCTTTTCAAGACGCAAGTCTACAATTCTCATATTAGATGCAATGGCACTGTGCTATACCAACTTGTACCGACCGTGGCACATAAGTTCACAGGTCTGGATTCACAGCGGCTGCTTTTGAAAGAAGGATGCAGCATGCACTGCGGCAGACATGCCTGCATGTTGAACTCGTCTACTTCTTGCCTGACTTCAACATCTGATCAAGGGATCGTGGTACACGCTCATGCAGTGCTTCTCTGTAGCAAACAGCCTGCAACGGACGGTGGCGGTCCCTCACCAATATTGCTAGTTTGATGGCTGCTGTATTGACGTCCTGATCAGGCACCCCCTATACCAGTTTCTGCTACAAACAGAACTCTTTGAATATGTTTAAACTGTTGCCGAGTGTCAAGTAGTTCCGCAGCAGCCACAGAGCCTGACAAAGGCAGAGAAGTGACGATGATGTGCAAGCTTTGCAAAAACCCGCTTATCTCTCGCTCTAACTCTAAGCATCTCTAAACATCTCTAAACCTTGCAAGAGAATTCTCAAGGTTCCTGAAGACCCAAGTATGCGCTTGGACCGAACTCGCGTGAATTTCTGCATCTCGTTCCAGCCTCGGAGAAATTGCCGGCACGCTGCTCCAGCACAGCGACAGCACGCAGGACACGGCTGTTTCGCTCGTCAAGGCCTTTGGAGGGCAAATCGCGTGTGAGGACACTCTAGATTCACTCTTCCATTGTCATTCGGCTCCTTCGCAACGTTGATACATGTCGAACTCGGACAAAACTGCTGACTGTGATTGCACGGGCCCAATGGTGTATTGAACAGATTTGAGATCCACAAGCTGAAGCAAGTTGAAGCTTGAGCAAATTGAACCCGGACCACGAAAGAACCAAATGCAAAAACATTGTCTTGCAATACGAATCCCTGAGTCTCACGCGGTAAGCCTCTCGAAACCAGTGCAACGCGGCATCCTGCGAAATCGTGAAAAGGATTTGGGCGTCTGCGCTTCATCCACTGCTGAGGTTCAGATCTGCAGGCAGATACGCAAGTCCACAGCCGCATGAAGTGGCCAACTGCTATCTAGAAAATCGATCGTCTCCTCATGACTACATTCTGCATGCCCCGCTGTGCTGGGCTACTGAGCCCACGCAGCATGTGCATGGACTGCCTCATCACCGCGCTCAAAATACGCCGCGCCCAGGTTGCATCGTGCAGGCGCGCTCCTCTGCTAGACAAGTCAAAAAGTGGTGTAATGACAATGGGCTGAGGCTGAGATACAGTAGAGAGCTGGACCTAAACAAGTTTTCCTGATCTGTGGGAAAGAAAGGATAAGGATTTAACAACAGGCACTCGGCCGCAATGCGTGTGGGGAGACACACACAGACACATGGCACAAACACAAACACAAACACAAACAAAAACACAACCAAAAACACAGACACACACACACGCACACACAGACACACACACAGACACACACACAGGCACACACACACACACAGACACACACACAGACACACACACACACACACAGACACACACACAGACACACACACACACACACACACACACACACAGACAGACAGACAGACAGACAGACAGACAGACACACACACACACACACACACACACGTAAGCACAAGCGCAAAGCGCAAGCGCAAAGCGCAAGCGCAAGCTCAAGTGCAAGCGCAAGCACAAGCGCAAGCACAAGCGCAAGCACAAGCGCAAGCACAAGAACAGACACCCACACACACACACACACACACACATATATCATGTCAAATCTCTGCCATTATTGACTATACAAGGCCCCACGCGATTGCCTCGGCACTCTGTTGCACACGGTGTGGAACTCGCGAATGGCCTCCTGCAAGGTACAAGTCGATTTCCATGTCGTCAGTCAGAGGCCAGAATGACATGAGCACGCACCGGCTTACTGTTTCATTGCGAGACAGGGCTCGATCATGCAGCATGCAGGATTCTAGTGACAACTGTGACAACTCTCAAAGTCAGTCAGGCTGGTATGCAAGAGATGCAAGGTCCTCCACCCGACCTTCGTGCAGCAATCGTGCCCCCTTTTGTGTTCCGCGAACTGCCTGAAGCGCAGGCGGCTGGGCCAACCAGGATGGGTATTTCGCAGATTTTCGCAGTTTCTAAGCCAGGACTCTTGAAAAACATACATGAACAACCCTGGATTGCGCAGCAGAACTTAACACCAAACTCCCCGGCATGCCGTCCTCTTCACCAGATCCTAAGCCGCCATACCCTCCACTAAAGCCCTACCACCACACCTCCGGCATCTCACCCACCCACCCGCCCCGCCCCTCCCGGCCCACAGCACCCCAACCACATCACAAAGACTGAACGCACCACCACGCTTCCTCCGACCCCCACACCACGCCCTCGTCACCCGCTACAGCACACGCCCAGCACGCCCTAATGACACGTCCAGCACACTGCCGCCACACTTACCCCGCTGGTCTCAGCACATCCACCACCGCCAGCCTCAGCACCACGGCACCATGCCCCTGCCATGTCGGCACCATCGGACTGACATGAGGCACAAGGCGCCTGGGATGGTGGTGATGATGGGGATGATGACGATTATGATGGCGAAGGACGGCGACGATGATGTGGATGTGTGCATCATGATGCCCACGATATGGGTTATGAAGAGAGGGGGTTGAGATTGATTGTTGCAAGGGAACCTGCCCTTCATTCCGTTTTTTGGTGGGGAGGGGCGGGCGGCAAAATGGGTTCTTGGCAAGCATTGTGTGCGTCAGGGGGGGGGGGGGGGTGCATTCATGATGGTTTCTTGGCAAGTTTGCATGCGTCATGCGTTGATGATCATCCACATGTTCAGGCCCTCGTCACCATCACCATCAGCCACAAAATCACCAACAGAAAGCGCACACCATGGTGCACATCATACGGTTCAACAATCCCCCTCCCCCCACCCTTGCTATCCCATGATAGATTCGGTAGTTCACAGCTTTCCGGACTTGTCTAGCCAAGAAACCCAAATCTTAGTTCTGGTCCCCTTCATGATTTGGGTGGGGCCCTGCGACGGCCTCCATGTCTTGATGGTCGATGGGGCTCACATCAAAGAGGCTGAGCAATGAGGAATCCAAAGGCTGCCTCAACCGGACAACACTGACGTGACATGAATTCCTGTGAGCTGTGCTGGCGCGTATGGCCTCTCCCTCCCTGGTCCATAGCAGGATCCACAAGAGGCCATGGCCTCAGCTCCCATGTGGTCGTAAGCTTTCACGAGTCATCCCACATGTCGGATAACGCTCTTGACTT